TATATATATATATATATATATATATATAGTTTGGGATTGTTACCAGGAAACTAATTTAATAAACTATTTATTTTATGAATGATATAATTTTCAGTATGTTTTTGTATATTTCATTTGGTTATATTTTGTATTGTTTACCTGCAGTTAAACTCTGTGTAATATTAGTGTCGCACATGATGATTGGCCAAGATTTATTCCTTTATTTCACATTACAGGATTTTACTTCATTCATATTGTATTTTTTGTATATGATGTATATTTACATATTTTACAAATAAATATTTTAATATGAAATACCTTTTTGATTTTCACTTCCATCATAACAATTTATTTAACTACATCACAATTATAAATCCCTTCAGAATTACAGACTTCTACAAACCTTACGCATTGATTTCACGTAAAATAGATTATATTCTATAACTGTCCGCATTTGTCAGATAATGTAATTTCAAATGTCCCAATTCACGTCTGCCCTCTATTTCAATTGGTAGATCACCTTTCGACACTCATTGACTAATGAGGGGTAGAAATGGCTACTTCCTTCTGATTTGTTGCTTCTGTCGGAGTGGGGGATCGTCCTTCCCACCTCCTTAAAAATCAGGAGCTTCGGATAAACATTGAGTGCCGTGTCTGTTGTGTACTCTGTGGCAGGGAGTTTTTTATTTCTTGGCGCATGAGGGCCTCTCATGTGCTGTCTTTACGATGGAATTTTTCACCGTCTCATGAAATATGTCACAGCGTCTTCTGTGCGTTTTATAATCTCTTGAAAATCGATTTAACGTTATGCGTTTTGAAGCTTTAAACCGAATCACTGTGGCATCATGAAATAACTTCTGAATGACTTCGTAAGTTTTAAAAGTGTGAGGTTAAAAGTATTAACCTCAAGAATTTTGAGGTTAATATCTCATCATGGGGCATCAGTTTAAAGTGTTGGAATTGTACAGTGGAATTGGTGGGATGCATTATGCTGTTGAAGGTAATCGAATTATATTGAGTTTATATTAATTACACTTAATTACATTATTTGTATGTTTATGGTCGAATGAACACAATTTCAGAAAAATGCCTTTGGAGAAAATATTGCTCTATTTAACAAAGGGTCTAATGAATTTTAAAACTTTTATTCAAATCACACATTTTAAAATAAACTTAAAGCTTATCCATATCAATGTAACCTTTGTTTATTTTGATCCATATTTGATTTCTCAAAAATGTCCAAAGGACAGAGACTGACGCCCTTCCCCTCCTCAATCTTTGTTGTAGAACAATTATTAGTTTTATTACCTATTTTCAAAATGTACCATCATATGTATCTGATAAATGAAAATAAAAGTATATTGAAAAAGTTTTAGTGTTGAGAACTTATTTCAAATTCCCCAAATTTATAATAGAAAAGTTAAAAAACTAATAAAGAGGGTATATTTCTTAGACTTCTATAGTACAGCAAAGAATGAAAATTTATTTTGTATTTAAAATGTAAAAAAATCATAAAAAGTTGAAGCTTAGCTGCCTTACCTGACAAGTGGCAATATGTTTTTTTAAATTTTAATTCATTATATCTGGGAACCACAATATTAGCAAATCTACCTTTTGAAAATATAAAAGAAACAACTAATACTTTTACTCACAATACTTTCAAACTCAAAAAGTACATACACATTACACATGTTGAATTTAATTGTACATTATATTGCAAATAAGTAATACTATACTAACCACCTGGAATGCACGTATTCCTGCATTCCAGGTGGTGTTGACTATAATGATTTGTGTGCAGTGTAAAAGTTGTGTTCATAAAGGAAAGAATGCAGACACTTTTAATTTGTCATACATACATGGTTTGTGCTTTATTTTTAAAAGTATGTTTCAGTTATATCTTTGAGAGGATTTGGTAGATGATTGAGCAAAGTCAAAATGGACGAACAGATTGTATAATTACATTTAAAAGGAAAAACATCCTGTATATATTAGTGGAAATTTCCACAATAAAAATCTGAAGGATATGAGTAGAAACAAAGAATAAGATTTTGAAAGTAATATAATGTGCATTCAACATTCATTCAGCTCAGCATTTTAGCAATCTGCCAATACTAACTGAGGAAGTGTATTTTTGTGCATACTAAGCACCATGATACTCACTTAGGGATTAATTTTTAATTTATTTAAAACCAAAACTTATTGCAGTAATTTACTAAAATAATGAGCCTGATGCAAAGAACATGTTGGGCACACTAATGTTGTCCATTCTAAAAAATCAGTACTTAATTTGTTAAACAAAGTCATTGTGAGCTTCTGCTGAATAAAAAACAAAATTCCCATACATTTTGTGCATGTTTTTATTACCCTATAATTCTTACTTTTTGAGCCTGCTAAACACACTGGGTGTTCTAGGCAGTATAATATAACAGTTTATTAATAGCATTTATTGCTTTAAAATCACAGTTTGTATAAATAGATAATTTTCCTAAGGATTTATCTCGGTACTCTACAACTTGTTCTTGATGTTTAGTCCAAGACTTCTGTAATTAAATTGTAAGAGTGTTATTGTTGAAGATATGTATGTTTGATTCCATTTCTTACAGAATCTGGCCTATCAGCTTCATTTGTAGCAGCTGTTGATATAAATGAGGTAGCAAATTCTGTTTACAAACACAATTTCCCATCATCAATGTTACTACAAAGGAATATATCTTCCTTGTCACCTAAGGAAGTAAATGCACTAAAGCCTGATGTTATAATGATGAGTCCACCATGTCAACCATTTACTAGGTACTGCAGTCATTTAAAAGTTCTTATTCCGTTATTAAGTTGATTATTATTTCAATTTATTTTTCTTTAGAGTCGGTTTGAAAAAAGATATTGAAGATGGAAGAACTGATTCTTTTCTGCATGTTTTGACAGTATTACCTGAGTTACACTCAGTTCAATATGTCCTGCTAGAAAATGTGAAAGGTTTTGAAATTTCTGAAGCTAGAAACAAACTTATATCAGCATTAGAAATGTCTGGATTCATCCATCAAGAATTTTTATTGAGTCCACATAACTTTTTCATACCTAATGTACGATTAAGGTATTATCTCATTGCAAAACGAAGTCCTCGAAAGTTCTGTTTTCCCATTTCATCAGAAGTGGTAGGTATCCATTTTTATAAATTGTTTGCAAAGATTGAATGTGCACTGATATCTATTAATTATCAGATTGCAGTATATAATACTATTTCATGTTTTTTTCATTCAACATCTAATCATATTAATACATTGTTACTTTTTTTATTTTTCAGATGACTTCATTTCCATTCAGTCTTTATTCTCCAGAGAGGGAAAAGATTGTGGGGAGCAGTTGTGAAGTTTTGATAGCAGAACTACAGAAAAAACTTCATGACATATTCAATTTACATACTGAAGACTTGCATTGTGAAACTTTTTCTATTAAAAAAATTCTTGAAAGTGACCTAGATGAAAATCAGTTTCTTGTAAGTTCTAAGACACTTGCTAAGTATGCTCCGATTCTGGATATTGTGACTCCAGAATCAAAGAAATCTTGTTGTTTCACAAAAGCATATGGGCACTATGTAGAAGGAACAGGTTCTGTTTTATGCCCATTTTCAAAGGAGTTGATTCACCAAACATTTGAAAAATGCAAAGATTTGGATGAAAAGTCTGACGAGTATACAAATCTTTTAAGGAACTTGCATATGCGTTATTTCACTCCTGGAGAAATTGCTCGACTTATGTGTTTCCCTCCAAACTTTTCTTCTCCTCAATCAATCACTCTGAAACAGAAATACAGATTATTGGGAAATAGTATAAATGTTCATGTGGTTGCCCTGCTGTTTGTGTTATTGGTACATGAAGAGTGAAATTCTTCATTCCACTGCAAGAGGTGTTAGCTTTTATGTGTATATTATTGCCAACGAATCATTCATTGTACTTTTATTTTTTTGATTCCTTTAAATAGTTTATCTAAAAAATTTTAAGCAAATTTATAAAATATCAATATGTGTTCCGAAGCATTAGAAATACAAAAATGAACTCGTATTATATCTTTGTATAATATTTGAAAAAAATGTATGGTAATGAATATTACAGATTTTCACATAAAATTATTATTTTGCATCAAGGTCATTAGGCCTACAGGAAAAATGTCTGACTGTATTAAGGTCTAACAGAAAAAATGTCTAATGAAAATGTGGTCTACAGCTATATTAGTCTAATGATTAATCATCCACAGCTAAAATGTCTGCTAAAAAAATGTCTAATAACTATAAAGTCTTTCAGCTAAATGTCTAACGAGTATATGGAGCAAGTTAAAATATTGGTATAGTGCTATGAAGACTATAGACAACAAAATGAAATATTTGCCTATTTGAAAGGATTAAGTTATCTCTTGAAATTGCAAGCAGTTGTCGTAGAAGAAATGAATAATTGTAAGGAAGCTCTGTCCAATTCATATTCTGCATATATTTTATAAATATATTTTTTGAGTTGAACAAACAATTTATAATTGTACTTACTAACTAGACTAATAACTTTCTTATGTAGATCCTTTTTACATTTAGGCATTTGCAGTATCCATTTTTGCAAGTAGACCCCTTTGCCTGTAGACATTTAGGCACTAGACATTTCTGTATGCAGACTTACTTTCATTATATTTATTTCAAGTAGACTAGTGTTTTATGTAAACATGTATTATGTAGACCTTTTAGAGTAAACCAAGTGTTGTTGGACCTCAAATATTAACATTATTTACAGAGGCCTTATTTCTGTAGACCTTCTGACTGGTAACCTTTATTTTTCTTTGAGATCAGTTTATTTAATTTACTTTCTCTTTTTGTTTTTGTTATTTTAAATTCTCCGCCATAGTGAATTTTCATATTTTCTAAATCTTATTAGTAAAGAGAACAATTAATATTCTGTAAATTTATTAATGAAAAAAATCAAATTCTGCAACAAAGATTGAGGAATGTTTCCATTGGAACCATTTATTTTAAATGGTATGGTTCCTTACATTGGTAAGGGACCCATTGGGGAAAGTCATTGACAGACCACAGCATAGTTTTCTTTCTTCCCCCACCCATTTACGGATGGAGTTACTGTTTCATCATTTGGGCCTTTTGTTGTGAGAACCTTTCTTAACTCGTAAGTGAAGTTTTGTCTTTCAGTAGTTATTGGCAGTTTACAAAACAATTTGAAACTTGCATTTACTGATAACATATTGGAGTAGTGATTAATAATATAAACAATTTTCCTTTATTATCAATTTATTTTGGATCATTTGTCCTCTGTCTCCCCATTGGTGTTCTTTACTTCTTCAGGTCTCAGAACTGCATTGGTATGAGACAGTTAACATCAGTGGCAGCTTGTGCTTATGTAGCACAACCCATTGATAATCGAAAAATGTTATATGATATTGAAAGAATACACACACTCATTTGAATGATGTTGCAGCAATACCGATGTATGTGAAATCATTTTGAAACCAAAGAAGCCGGCGCTCTCTCTAGCGCCTGCTGTGCTCTCTGGTATTGCTCTTCGCTCTTCAACTATCAATACTGCATTTTCTCTGTGGCCATGTGCTTCAACAATGTTGAATCAACATAGGGCTTTCGGTGCGGCAACCAATGGGTGGGGAGGTTGATAGCCGAGCGCTGCGCAGTGTTACGAGAGGAATCCTAATTTTCTGCCTTTGTTTGGCACAAGCTGTGACTTAATTTTATGGATTTTGTGTGTTATTGAAAGTAGACAAGTTAAGTCAATTATTGATGCTATTGAATGCATTATTCATGATGTTTGGAGAATTCATTTGGTACTAGTTGGTCCCCGCCGCGTTGGTGTCGGAGAAGGAATAACGGCGGTAATATTCCTATTCCTCTCTTCCTTTCCCTCTGTCGCTTTCCCCTCCCTTTTCCCTCTCATTTTCTCCACTCTCTCTTTTCCTCTTGCCTCATTTTCTCTTTCCCTTTGTCTCTTCTTTTCTCTCTCTCTTTTTCCCTGCGTCTCATTTCCTCTGCGTCTCTTTTCCTCTATGTATCTTTTACTTCTGTCTCTCTTTTCTTTCTGTATTTTTTCATCTATCTCTCTTTTCCCTGTTTCCCCCCTTCTCCCTGTCTTTTTTTGCCATCTCTTTCCCCTCTGTTTTCCCTTTATTGATCCCTCTCGCTTTCCCCTCTTTTCCCTTTCCAATTTCCCTGTCTTTTCTCCCTCTATTTTGCCTCCCCTCTCTCTTTTCCCTCACCCCTCATCAACTAGCACCGCCCGCTTCTCCTGTCCTCCTGGACCTTGCCGCACGTCACACGGCAGCGCCCAGCAACAATGAAGCTCAGGTGGATTGGGAATTGCATTTAACTGCAGCGCCATCTAAATTGTCCTGTGTCTATGTTCTTCCCGCAAGCACAAGCAATAAGTTGACGAAGTTTTATCGCAATCGACTGAACGGTACGGCAGTGCATAAAATACGAACCAACTAACAAATATTGATTTTTATGTATTAGATTGGGTTTTTGATTCATAATGTATATTTCATTATGAGTCAGTTGTGTAAAGTTAGCCATGCTGGGATGCTGGTCCCTTTCTGTCTCTTGCGATGGGTGCATATATTCGGCTGCAGTAACAGGTGAACTACAGTCTGCAAGCGAAGTTGTATGAGTGGAATGTCTTTATTACAAGATATACTAGGGTAGTGAGATATAAAATAATTTTGTGAAAAACGTATCCCAGCAATAGTGCTTGTTTAAAGAGCTGGATTGCGATCACCGCATTTTCGAAACCAAGTCCTTTTTTGTTTTGTATGAATTCTATTACCTTCTAATACAGAAATAATACAAAAACATTAGGAATGGATCAACTTTTAATTGGGTCCTTATCGCCAATATATGCAAGGGGGCTCACCTTATGTTTGTACTGGCGATGTTAGAGAGAGGATGTTGAACAAAGGTGATACAGAGATCATTTGGGAGTGGGTTATTTTACATTATCCATTATCGCACACCACACTACGTTGTCAGCGGCATACTAGACGGTTCCATAAGTTTCCGGCCTTATTAAGATAGCACTCATCAAAGAGAAAACCTTTGGATCAATAGTGTTGTCTTTCATTGTTGTAAACGTGTAAGTTTGTAGTCATCTCAGTTTTGTGCAAGAGATTTACTTGTGTTGGAAGGGGTCCGTGAAATCTCGTGGAGTTTGGTTTCTTCGTGACAATGCATCTCTGTTTACTGATCAGATTGCACGCACATAATAATGTGAAGAATTATGGTTGCAAGGTGTTAGGCCATTCACCCTACAGTCCATATTGAGCTCCCAGCAACTACAACCACATATCTAATCTCAGCAAAGACCTTAGGAGGAGATAATTTTCAGATGAGAATGAGCCAAAAGAAACAAATTTTGACCATTTTACGAACAAAACTTTGATGTTTTTCAAAAGCATAGAAATGCTCATATACTTGTATAAAACGTGAGTTGAAGTAAAGAATGATAAAGTTGAAACATTTTTTCTACTTTACGTAGTTTTTTCTTTGTATGACGAATAGATGTTAGTGAGGCTAGAAGCTTACGATACCCACCTTGCATTTTCTCGACTCGCACGAAGACTATAGTCATCTACAGAGGAAAAAGTAATGGGATTAGTAAATAATTTAATTGTATTCCGAATATTGCAATGTTTAAGTCACATTTTACAAAAGCACTACCTATTCGGCACTGACGCAAAAAAACGCTTCGTAGGGCGGTTGAGAAGACTCCAGTACCTTTGCAAACAACCTTTGCATGCCTTCCTGAGTTCCAGATTTGCTAGTCTTACTTCACACACTATAATGAGTGAAGGTAGAAAGCAGCATTTTGAAATAAGAAATGTTCACCTCTCTGTGATACAACTGCAAGGGACATTCAGATTTGATTTTGAATCCACTGCTAACAAATAATTTAGCAAATTATTTGTTAATAATTAATAACAAAGGGGCCCTTTCAGCACTTGCTCAAAGGATCAAGAGGAACTGGACGAAAAGCCTGATCGAGTTGGTGTCATTGATCTAACAGCTGAATTCCAATACTACTTTACTATTATTATTATTAAAATAATAGTAAAAATTTTTGTTAGGCACTCTGCTTGTATATCAGTCCTACGACAATTTAACACAAGCAGGAAGGGATATGTCAGTTCTTTTTTCTTTGTTTCAGCTCGAAACAGTCAACATGAAACACAAAGTCAAATGGAATGAGAATTTTTATTTATTTATATATTTTTGGCGACGTAGTGTTGTGATTTGTATATTACTTCATAGTGTAGAACATATTGTTAACCAACTGACTTTTCACCTTATTTTAAATGTTTGTCTTGTGTATTGTCTTTAATATTGAAACGACCCACTTTACATCCCGGCTCCGTTCAACGTGCCCAAGCTCTTGTAATAAGAACGCTTTAGTCTCGGAGATTTCATCCAAGTAGTTCTAGGGAAATCTACCTGTCTCGAACCGAACAATGAGACGTCCCTGCGCAGCTGGCACACGCCGCTTACCCCCACCCTACCCCGCAGGGTCACGCGTCACCCCGCGAAGATACGATGTCCGGAAAAGACATACAAACACCCTTTCACGTCATATTAGCAATTCATTCTGCGACTCCGAAGCCGAATAATTCACCCGGCAACTCCGAAGCTGACCTAAGAAGATGAAATTTTCCAAGCTCCTGACTAAAGGAAACCTCGACCAATCAAGATTAAAAGTTCGCAGAAACTTCTAGAAGCGAACCGACGCACGGGAAGCACCAGTGGTGTCGCTACGAGTCCCATGTTCCGAAATTTGTGTAACACCTTTTTTGAAAAAACGCGCAGACGATGTGGGCAAAAGATTTTGCGCACAAGCCGAGGTTTTTAGAGCACAATCGTTTCGCGAGAACGAGCAAGCTTTTCGGACAGAGAGACAGACGCGAGAGAGGCAAGTGACATTCATAGGGAGAGAGACGAACGCGAAAGGAGACAAGTCATGACCGCGAGGGAGACATTTTACCGACTTCAGAGAGATGCTTCTTACTCGACGAGAAAATATAAAAATAATGTTATGATTCGGAGTTCATAATGTTATGTTGGAGCATTAGTTCAACAAAGTCTCGCGGTTAGTGCACACGTACTCCAATAAACAGAAAAGAACTGTATCATCACACACGGAGAATCCACCGCGTTGGCCGTCCGTCGCCTAACCGCATATAAATCATCGTATGCGGGGACTTGTGAACGTCGACCGCTGACGAAGCAGTCGCCGCCAGAGAGTGTATATCGCCGCCACTGCGCGTCCGCTAGCAGTGTCCTTCGCCACTCTCCTCTATGCGACTCATTCCACCATGCTCATCCGTAGAAGGCCGCACCGGTTCAGGACGTGCGCTCGGCAATAGTTCCTGCCCTCGACCGCCCATCCATGCAGCCTCTTCTCGACCACAAGTTCCAGTAATTGCAAATAAATTAGTCAAAGCGTGTGCGAAGCGAGTGTTTCCAAAATAATTTAATTTTAATACGAGAAATCAAGATTTAAAAAAACGTTTATGAACTCAATTAGTACTTCAAGAAAAGAAGATTGAACCGAATTACATGCTATAATTTAAATTTTATGTATAGTTATTGACGATTTGAGGTCACTGCAGAAATGTACTGGGAATTGCTTGGCAGCGTGTCGAATGAAACTTTCCATGCGTCCAATACACGTTTCACTTAGCTTCTGCGAACAATGTTATTAGGTGAGTAAAAGGACATTCGCAGAGTGGGATGCTGTTCCCACAGTGCAAGAGGTATTGAAGAGCGTCAAGACAACACTACTATACTTAGACACAGAGGACAATGCACAATCAAGTATGGAAAGAGCACGAACTCTGCAGAGGAATTTAGAGAAATTACTAATGAAAATCTACGAAGCAAACAATTGAAAATAAATTATATTTATGGACAAATAAAGATATTGAAAATTTCAGTTCATTTTATTGTATAATTATTGTATTATATATGTTGTGTTGTTTTATTGTATTCATATTAATGTATTTCATTGTATCTATATTAATAAAATCAATCGTTTTGTAGAAATTCTATTAAATTTGATATCCTCGAATATAGTGAACCTTTGATGAAATGAACCAAAATAGTTAATCCCTATAAGAAGTTCAATATAACCGGAGTCGACCTTTGCTATGTGCATTTACAATGTCATAATTTTTGCTTGTTTAATTACTTTTTTGAGTCGAATTATAAGTTTTGTAGAATGTAATGAAGTTGGAGTTTTAACGACAAGTAATGTAAGACCAATGTAATGAAGTTCGAGTTTTAAGACATTTAAAGTTTTTCTATAATTTTCTTTATTAAACGAATTATCCATTTACGTTTGACCACGAAATGTAAGTTCTTGTTTTTTAAGAAAGCACGTTACATTAATTAAAAGTTTTCAGATTTAAGGCCGTTCTTACGCTGTTTTTACTGTCCTTATCTCTGAAAAATCATTCAAAAATAGTAAACAGAATGGAAAATTTAAACGGGAAAAAATAAACAAAACGCTTTATTTATTTATTTATTTATTTATTTATTTATTTATTTATTTATTATCTTTTATGAACTTTTTATATTATCCGGTTCATCTTTTAACATTAAAATGACAATATTTTTTATTACAAACGTAGATGTTGAGTTATAATTTGTTTTATAGTAAAATAGTACTCAATATTATACATTAGAAAACTTTTCCGTTTATTAAAAATAAAATATAATTAATTATTTTAAATTAATGTAGATTTTAGTTTAAAATAGATTCGAAGTACACTGCTGTTTCTGAAAATTGCAACACTCAGATGGAATGGTCGGAATCGCTTAAAACTGGCAGTTCTTTAGAACAGTGTGTTCGTTAGAAGCGTGTTATTGTCAGTGTGTTAGTTTGTTAAATTTGCCTAGAGGTGGTGTACACTTTGGTCTAGCAGCGCTCTCCTTTGAGTGACGGGTCAGGTCAGTGATACGCCTCATTCATTCGGTGTAAATATGTCAAACAACGTGGAAACGTGCAATCATGTTCCAGATGTCTCTTCGACGCCAAAGAGCGCACTATCGGCATCTGAATGAGTTTGATCGGGTCAGAAAGATCCGTTTACTGGCAGCGTGTATGTTGTACTGTGACATTGCGGCTCGAATGGGGAACGTTGTTACGACAGTGATGCCTGTCTGATACCAGTGAGTAGAGGATGGTCATACACAGCGACGAGCGGGTACTGGACCACACAATGTGACCACATCGAGAGATGACCTTGTTCGCATAGCCGTAGGCGACAGAACGGCGCCGTTCAATGCCGGCAGTTCAATATCTTCGTCGACCGTTTGACGCTATCTGGCGAGGGCTGAACTAGTGGCATGCATACCACTGCGTCGGATTCTGTCGGTCAGAAACCATCAGCCAAACCAACGCATCAGACAGCAATGAACGTGTAGACTGGTGTGCTGAGTGGCAAAATGTAATGTTTTAGGACGAGCCCCGCTACAATTTGTGGTACAGTGATGGCCGCGTACAAGTTCAACGCTACCATGATCGCAATTTGCCAGCTTGCATTGTTCCGCTCCATAGCCGACAAACGCCATGTGTGATGGTTTGGGGCGCCATTGGCTACAATGTGCGATCTCATCTCATACGTATTTTGGGCAATCGGAACAGCTACCGTTACATCAGGGAGGTGTTAGAGCCCACAGTACTGCCCCTCTTCCAAACTGCACCACATGCAAAATTTCAGCAGGGCAGTTCCCTACCTAATGTGGCGAGGAAGGTGCAAGCTTTCTGCGAAGAACGACGGGCACCACTGCTTCCCTAGCTTGCACGTTCGCCTGACATGTCGCCCATCGAACATGTCTGGGTTATGATCGGTCGGCAACATGTTCGTTCTGGTCCTCCTTCAGTCACCGTCGATGATTTGTGGTCACATATAGAAGCAGCGTGGGAGTGTCTTACCCAGCAGAATATTCTGGCTCTCTTTAAATTCATGCCACGGTGTCTAGAGGCTGTAATGGTAGTGTGTGGTGGCTTCACACCATAGTAAATACTTAAGTTTAAAATGAAGGTGGCCTAAGGGTTGCTGATGCGTAGTTAAAACCTCTCACAATGAAATTCCAACCTCACCTTTCTGGGGAGTCCTGTTAACACAAACGCAGAAATGGCGAACGACAATTGGCGAGATAACGTTTACAGATTGTTAACAACGAGAGGAAATACCCATGTAAAAAATGCTCGTATATAATCCAAATGAGCTAGGCCAGTGTCCAAGCCGAATGATGACAACCCTATAGTGGACACTCGGGGGTATTAGCTAATAACCGGTATTTCTCTTAAATCCATTTATTAAAGAAGCCAAAGCAAAGAATGGCCGGACTACTTTGTTGAAGACATTTGGCATGAAAAGGACAACACAAATTGGATGCTGGAATGTACCTACTTTGTTAGGACCAATGAAATTGAGGGGAGCAGAAAAGAACGTGGTGAACTATCGTCTGTAGATTCTTGGAATGTGTGAAATCAGATGGAATGATTTTGGCGATAATGCGGGTACAATTCTGTAATTTCAATTTGTGTATTGTGATATTCCTAATCTGTAGAATTAATTTCATTGTAATTATACGTCTCCTTCTTGGTGTTACAATTTTCACAAAAAACGTATAATTTGATTACTAACTCAACGTATCCTCAATGTGGAAATGAAGCCGTTTTTGCGTAAATTAACAATTAGAAAAAGACCATGAGTTAAATCTTAAACTATTCTGTTACGTATAAAAGTACAGAAAAAATTAAGGCTGTGATTCTATTCCTTCGTAGAGAAATTACTCTCTGAAAATTGAACTTGGTTCATTCCCGTTCCATAGATTTGATTGCCAATGTTTCCCCAATAAAAACATACATGGAAGCTAGATAAATAATATTTTGATATGTGTACTTGGTTTTTATTTTTTGGCGCGTGAGAGCTCCTTCATCGTGGAATATCTCAGGGCATTTCGCGTCTTTTTCGGTCGTGCCGTTAGATGTCGTATAATCGCCAGCACTTCTCGATACGGTCGCGATCATGCGACATGTAGCGGTACGACCGAAAAGACGCGAAATGCCGTGAGATATTCCATCATGAAGACAGAGCCTCACGTGCCAAAATGTAAAAACCCAAGTATAGGTCAGAGTATACTGAAACCAATGCCTTCTATTTTAAAATGCTAGAACAACCCTGTGATGAGTACTTTAGATTTTTTTTAGATGGTTGAGCGCCCAATTTATTAAATTCTAAATATTTAAAATGGATTGACACGAAAGTATGATAATGCCGAGGGGAAAATGGCGAATTTTCGACAGAAAAACTCTTATTGCCGAACCCTGGTAACAAAAAAGTAGATAAATCTTCCTCTGACGCTGTGTAGTCAAAACCCATATTTGGGGATTATTGTTTTTTATTTTGGGGGTACTTTATCTGAAGCTCCTGGGACACTTTCAAAGACTTCAAAGAAATGGAACCGAGTTTTTTGATTAAAATTTGTTGTCAGATTTTCGTTGAAATCATTGAAGTTTCAAAAATTGCGAAAGTTCAATTGTTGGGGGTCGTCTTCCTACAACAAAAATATTGTAGATAGACATTTTTTCCGCGATGAAAGCTGTTCTTTAAAGACAGATCTTGAAATAAGATCATGTACATTTTTTCAAAAATTTGAGTTTTCGCGTAATTTTGCCAAACAAAACAAAAACAAAAAAATCGGATAGAAAAAGAGATAATTTTTTTGAGATACACCATCTTGTTTCATTTCCTTTGATAACCGCGGCTTGTTGCCTATTATTTATAGTTTTTTTACGGTTTGTAAAGTTAATGTAATGATTACAACTCGCGACTTTTCCGGTTTATGTTAGGAACTCCATTCACAACATAACTCTTTTTATACTAATTGGATAGGTACATGATATTTCCATCAGGATAATTGCGAATTTATTTAAAATGATGACATTATTTATTGTGTTAATAAAAAACACGACTTCCTACAGATTCTATAGTTCCCGCTTAAGTTCCGTTCCTTATAGGTGTATTCCATTAATAATGTAAACACAATGATTCATTGTACCATGATCCTTCACATAATGAGGGCCGATTCACTACTAGTGAACTCCGGAATGGCATGTACGAAAGGTGGACAAAGTGATTGACTTTTTGTGGTTTCTGTCAGCTGTCGAGCTGATATGATATTTGACTTAAGGCTTTGGTACCTAGTGATTCATCTGTGCGCGTGACACACAAGAGAAGCAGGACTTACGATTTGTATTAGTCATATTTTGGTACAACCTGGACGGCCCCTCGACTTTGTGTCGCTCCCGGTTTTATACGTGATAAGATTACGTTTACTCTCTCTTGTTAATTCTGCAAGATTGTATGGTTTCGATCTGTATGTAAAAAAAATATTTTCGTAACTACTGGTACAACTGTCATTTCTACAATGTTTCGTTCTACTTCTAATTTTGATAAACTTCTTGGTAAGTTACTGTCATCAAATTTATCAGATGTGAATTAACATAATGTACGGCGACTTATTAATAAATTCAACATGTGCCTATAGTTAATTATAGAATAATCAAATATACAATGTAGTTCACATGTTAATGAATTCCAATTCAGATACTGCCAAGTATTGTCAAGACTTAGAAATGAAATAATAATATTACATTCTTATTGAAGAATAGGTATTGAAATTAATTTTCTGATTATAGAGAAAGCAACTAGCAATCTCCGCCTGGAACCAGATTGGCCTACAATTATGCAAATATGTGATCTTATACGGCAAGGAGATGTTCAGTAAGTATAGATATTGTGTTAATTTTAACCTTCAAGCAGAATTGCTTTTTTTGAGGTTTTATGTGTAGGTAAATAGACTTTAGAACAGTGTGAAAAGGACAATATTTTTGAAAGATATGTTACTTTTCCATTCCCAAAACAGTTAAATTTTGTCTGATAATTCTTGTTACATGCAATAACCTTGTCTCATTCTGATCAAATATTATATTCTATTTTTTGTTTTCGATCATTTTTAATGTATAGAGCAGATGATAGATTTTTATTTTTTTGCTCTTGAATAAGAAATACCTTTTGCATAACATTGTAATGTTGCTCTGATACGGAGTGTATTGATGTTCCTATCTTATGTTTTCAGGCCAAAGTATGCCCTTGGTGCTGTGAAGAAGAAGTTATACAATGCAAATCCTCACAGTGCCATGTTTGGATTGTTGGTATGTTTCAGAAAGGCAAACATTGAAATAGTGTTGTGTATATGTTGTAATTGTTTTGAAACACCGTGGATTTTGTCTTGTCACTGAAGATAACATTGTTTCAGTATGTTGTCAAAGTGTGAAGTGTTGTATACAAAACCATATCTTGACAAAATCAAAATTGGTAGTCAGATCACAAGCCAACGTTTTTTAAACTTGAAATCCCCAATTAGTTAGCCTGTTGTTAAGCCCTTGAATACCATAAACGAGTATTGATTAAATTTGTTGAAGCATTCATTATTTAGTAAAGTTTAAATGTAATACCACTACTCAGAACATTCTATCATAGTGACGAAGTAATCTATTACTAACACTACTATCATAGTGTGCTGTAACATGCTCAGATGAGAAAGACTTATTGACCCCAGCACTTCAAGTGATGTACTTTTCTCTCATTTGGAAGTGCTAGAATTTCTATTCTTTCTAGAATTAACCTTGAGAAGTCAGATCAGAATCTAAGTAACTTTGCTATTAGATGCCATGAATATTATGTATTTTCCTATAATGTCCAACTTTCCATCATTTTATATTTTTTTAAATGTCCTCCAATTTTAGATACACATCCAGAAAGGTAGATTTTCTTCCTCAAATGATTTTTTTATGTGACTAAAATCCAAGATTTTATTGCCTTAATATCTTAATGTCCATTGTCACACCACTGTTCTTAATCACATTGAGGAGTATATACTCAACAGTTTGTTTGCACAAAATAGGTTCATTTTCAGTTCTAAAGGTGCCTAAAATAGAACATTTATTCAATAATCACTTTTAAATAATCACTCATAAAATTGTTTAATAGAAGCATATGTAACATAGTAGAACTTATAACTATTATTAATAATAATTTTATAATTAAAGTTCATAATAATAATAATAATAATAATAATAATAATAGTAAAAAATGATGAACATGTGATTAGGATCATGATAATAATTTATTTATATGTCATGTAATACAGCAGCACCAGTCAATTGAAACATTATTTTAAGTAGGTTTAATTGTTAATTGACATTTATCTAAAAGCAAATGATGTGTGTCAAATAAAGTTTGGTACAAACAAAGTTTCTTGTAATTTCAAATAAGATGATGTTATGGGTGATGCAACTTTGCTGACAACATAGTGATTTTGAAATTATATGCTGAAGTGAAGCAGGAGATGAAATATGACTTGCTGATTATTTTGGGTTTGATTTGATTTATTCTCATCAAGAAAATACTTTGCATTGGATTGGGGAGAAGTATAATCAGCGCTCGTTTTCTTGAATTCAGAATCTCTTCTTTCCTTTTTTCCGTGATTAGTTGAATGATTAATAAATATACCAGCAAAACAAGGTTAACATCTATATCCTAGAGAAGTATTAGTCCTATAACTTTAATTGAGTTCCTTGTAATCCATAATGAAAAATGGTAAGTGTAGAAAGCTTTCTCTTGAACCTCTCTTCGGCAATAATTTTTAGAAATGCCATGGATTTATGTCCTGGAGTGTTATGAATCAACTATTTTAAGTGTGATTTTGACAGGTGCTGGAATCATGTGTAAAAAACTGTGGGCATTTAATTCATGATGAAGTTGGTACCAAACAGTATATGGAGCAGTTGCGGGAGTTGGTGAAAACTACTAGTCATGACAATGTAAAGGCCAAAGTCTTGGAGCTCATTCAGGCTTGGGCCTATGCCTTCCGCAATAGTCCTAAGTATAGAGCAGTGCAGGTGGGTATTTGATTCATTCAAAGTAAGATGTTGGTTATTTGAGTTTTCATGTGTCATTGCTATTTCATATCTAAAGATGAGTTGGCTGATTTACAAATCAAATGTGGAACAACAAAAAGAAAATTTCCTTTAATGATACCAAGCATACTGACTAGTTGTTGTCTGTCCTATTCTTGGATGTAGGAGAGTTTCAACTGTAGATTGTGCAACATTCACAATTTATTTGGATTTTTTAAATTCATTCTAGAACTATATCATGTTAATGTACTTTTCTCAAAACTGGTATCTACAGCCAACATGTTGCAAAGCTAGGTGTGTTACTCACTTTTTGAATTTTATATTTTGTATTATATTTGAATGTTCTATTATACTTATTTTGTATTTACCACAGGTCTTTCAAAAGTTCATTTGATACTGAGACAAACATTGTTCAATCATTAGTAATCATAACTTGTAAATTTTATTTTTGTTTGGTAATTGTTGTTTTAATAATGCCGTTTTAGTGATTTATTTTTAAATCTCGTTGTCAGTAGACCTGTATCTCTAAACATTAATAACGCCAATTCTTTCAATAGCTCTTGACAGAAAGTGAATCATGGCAACAAAACTTAACTTCTAGGTTTCATTAGTTCCAAATATTCAGTGAGCCAACTAGAGGCTTAATCTAAAGAATTATTAGGAAAGTTTTGTTCATTGCTGAAAATTGTTTTTATGAAGATATTATGTCAGTGTGAGGTAGTTTGCATGTCTGAGGAAAGATGAAGGTTTTCTTAATTTGCTTTTCTGTAATATCATATGTTAATACCAAACAGTATTGGTATTGGATTGTGAAACAATCTTATTTTTATACTTTTTACTATTGAAATGTTTATTTAAAAAATTCAATTAATTGTAGGATACCTTGAATATTATGAAAACAGAAGGATACAAGTTTCCCACGTTGAAGGAGAGTGATGCCATGTTTTCTGCTGATACAGCACCTGAATGGGCTGATGGAGATGTGTGTCATCGATGTAGAGTTCAATTTGGCATGGTGCAACGCAAGGTAAGATATTCACTTAGATACAGCATTTGAAATTAATTGTGAAACGTGATTTTAACATACATGGAAAACAAAATTGCTTTCCACTGAGCTTTGTGTGGAATGTTGTTTTTAACAGAGTATTGCTTTAACAGAGATTTTTGTATAATTCATACTCTTGTGTTCTCTTAAATTTTATTTACTTTGGCCATAATAATTTCCCAAGTTTTTAATAATAGTGTGATACATACAGTTTCACTATTTATGATTAGCAGTATGATAAAGGAACTATGTAAATAGAATATTATAAAAGCAAAACTATTTAAAACATGATTTGTTAAGAATTGTTATTATGTAGATAAGTAAGTGTATTTTAAATTTGTAAGAAAAATAATTAGAACAATCTCAAGGCTTATTGTCTTGAAGTACATGACGATGACTATTTATTATGATTTTATGTATTTATTACTGTAATTTGAATTGTTATTTTAATTGAAGATAGGCATCGGAACTTGAAGCACATTTTATTTGTTTGCTCATGATGAAATTATTTTTGTGGCTCTTTGTTGGCAGCACCACTGTCGTGCATGTGGTCAAGTCTTTTGTGGCCAGTGCTCGTCCAAAACTTCAACTTTACCAAAATTTGGAATCGAGAAAGAAGTTCGTGTTTGTGAAGCATGTTATGACAACATTAACAAGTGAGTTTGTGTCTTACATGAATTATTTATTTATCATATGACACTATTTGCAGGGAGTCTGCCCTTAGACCGTTGTTCCACACCTGAGTATTTCGAAACAGGCTTCCTTGGAAGCTTGGAAGCAGTTGTAGCCCACATAGGATACGTCCTTTGTTTCCACAGTGAAACTGACTGGCATAAGGTCATCAGTAAGGTTCCCATTCCGGATGTGCTACCATCACTCAGGGGAGACTTCTTTGATTATGACCTTTGGCTGACAATATTTTTTTTCAAGCTACCTAGCATTGGAATTTGGGGCTTTGAGGCGATATTCCAGGAGGGAACTAATTTCCAGGACTTAGTATTTCCTATGTTCACTATAGCCAAGGTTCAGGTTTACTATAATCAAGTCTTCTTACTCTTATTTGTAATATAGTGAAACAGGACTAGTGACTTACATTCACTATAACCAAGGGTTCTCTATATCCGAGTTCACTATAAGCAGAGTCAACTGTAGTTTTTCAATTTCAATTATTTTGCCTACTACCCAGAACACTATTCAATTTTAAAGGCTATGTTGATAAGTAAATGCATGGATTTGTTTTTATTGGGAAATGAACAGAAGATATCAGAGGCATTCTGTTAATGGGTTTACACTTACCTAAGTCATTTTTTGTTTCTTTATTTTGGAAATATAAAAATACATAAGCCTCGTGCTCGAGGCTTATGTATAAAAATAGAATTAGAAAATAGAAAGTATTTTTAGTGTATATGTGATAATCTCAAAAGAAGTTGGTTGTAACAGAAGTTACAAAAATGGAACAATAAATAGAGGTTCTTAATAAAGAAGACATAATTTCTGCAAAGTGCAACACTCTTAGTTTTTGCATAGGAGCTACAAAGTTTATGAAAAAAGTATGCACTCTTTGGTATCTTTACTGTCTTTATTACAAAAGGTAATTATTTTAAAATAATATAACAGGTGCTACATATTTAGGCCGTGTTTTTTGTTAAGTGGTAATCCTCCTGGCTTCTAAACTGATTTGGTTTACTCAGGATGTAAATTTGGATTTAAATGTCGTATTGAAATCATCTATCCCCTTCCTGCAATATGAAAATTTTGATGGACCAATGATACAAAGTGGCCACTTCTTGGAAAACCTTAAAAATCAGGAAATTTCATTGCTTTGGAGAAGTTGGAAGAAAATCAGGGAATTTGTTGAATTAGAAGAATCGTTGAAAGTCAAAGAAAATTTTGAGAGGTTTATAAAACTACATGTTATTCCTTAAAACATTAATACAATGTTATTTTTTGCTCATATATATATTTTTTTTGTGAGGAAGATAGTGTTAATTTTTTACTTTTGTCATTTACGTTATTTATTATTACACCTGATGGTCTTTGTCCATATACAAATTCGGAATACAGAAATAAAATTAAGAAAACTGTGATCGTGGATATCATGATAACAATAGCTAATGTATAATCCACTCGTAACATAAGATTGCAAATACATAATTCAGTAAAAAAAATGTTTTCCTGGAATCCAAATGTTGCAAACTGACTGTGTTTACCATCCTATGATAGGGTAATTGGCAGTGTAGGTATTTGAATAGGTCATGAAAAAGTATCTTATTTCTGAGCGAATGGCAGATATGTCTAAATTCAATTCTTTGAATAACATTTGGCAATGTGCCTCTAGTTTAACTAACTTAAACCTCAAACATGAGAAATTTAAGGTCATTAAGAGAAGCAAAATGGGCATGTTTCAGGTGAGGGATGAGGACCAATGAAATCATGACAATGTAAGAGGTAGCAATGCTCCAAACCGTGTTGTACTGCGATTTTTGAAGAAATTGTTGTTTGGAAAATTCAATTTACCTAGAATAATGTAAAAACATGAAGATCAGACGCAGAGATGCAAACAATTAAATATATCGTTCAACAACCATTGAATACAACAGTTTAGATACAGAGAGTCTTAGTATCTGGTTCGCTATAGTATTCTTTAAATAGGTGAAATTCAAATCATAGCAGGGAAAAATTAAAAATGCACTAGATATCACACACACACGCACACGCACACGCGCACACACACACACACACACACACACACACACACACACCCACCCACACGCACACGCACACGCGCACGCGCGCACGCACGCACGCACGCACACACGCACACACGCACACACGCGCACACGCGCACACGCGCACACGCGCACACGCGCACACGCACACACGCACACACGCACACACACACACAAATTGAACATGTCTTTTTCTTCCCATCAATTCTGGGCAAAAATTCACAATTGATCCATTTTTGTTTTTCATTATGTTATGTTGTCAAGTACCTGATAATATTTATTAAGCTAATAAAAGTAATGTCACTTTCGGCCATTTTAACCCTTATCCAGGCAATATTGGACCCACAAACAAAATTTTAAATATTTTACATGAAGACTATCGAAGATATTAGGTTAGTTTTCTCTGACTTTGTTTCCACAGTGTTTTTTAAATGTACACCCAACCATCGCAAAAGTGTTACTGTATTTTAAATAAAAAAATCGTAATAATATTTCAGCTGCAACCAGGCATGCGGTGTTCATTGGACCAAGGTTGCTGAATCTACATGAAATGCACAGTATCTGCATAAATAAATTGCATTTTCTGGGATTGTTTGGTCGATTACTTGACAATCCCTTTGTGTTCAAGGGATGGACGGATGACGGGGTTTACTGAGTCTTTTCATTGCAGTGTTATTTGACACTATATGTGTGCAATTCTAGAACAACGGTGTTGCTGCGGGTTCATATGTAGTCAGGAAAGTGAGTTTTTGAAGTCTTGTGTGATCCAGATTTGGCTGGAAAACAGCACAGTTGCTGACACTGATTGAATGTTAGAAAACAATGAGATCGTACGATTATTTATTGATAATGTTGCAAAGAATTTGGTTTGTACACAAAATGTAAGGAGACAGTCAAACAGGATTCAATAACAAGTGTTGCCTATCAATCTCACACGGTATTGGAGAAGAAACAGATTCTACAGCTCATAAAAATTATAACAATGCAAAAATATGTTGTGACCTTTGGAAAGAAACAGGACACAGAGATGTTGCATCTGTTCATATCCTGACTGTAAAGAACATATCCAGATAAACAGTGTGTGCAATCTGTAATAAAAGGAAAAAATATTAAAAAAGCAATTGTAAAGTATTTTGAAAGATTTTGTTAAATTAAACAACAATATTAGTGTTCTTTTTCTTTAGCCACGCCCAAAATGTACATCTGTAAGCATAATTCGTATCTCAGACTTTCCTGAGTCTGCTGGACTCCGCCTGCCTGGTTGCGTCATTAAAAGTGGTTGCCTGGACAAGAGCTAAAAAGTCATTTTCAGCAGCATATTTTTTAAGTATTTGGAATAGATTTTATATTTTAAAATACAAATTTTCACATTAGACCAATATTTAAGTTATTTTTTTGAAAAATTAATGTATTTCTACTCTAATGTATCTATCTGCCAGATTTCAAAACGGGACACTAAAGAATGTCTGAAGCATGTAGGCTACCTGCCCATCCGGCCCCCTGCCTAAGTGGCTACTTGCAGTCAGTCTTCCATGACATGGTATATAAAAGAAGTTATGCAAGCCTGCTACATTCATGTCTACGTCATGTTATGAATCGCTAAACCATGCTCAGGGTCATAAAGAGGAGGCATCCGATGAAAATCTACTCTTGGGTCTATTTAGAAAGAACTGCTATTCTAGGGTCTCCTTGAATAAAGGCTCAGCGTTCTTTCTCAGATAAACCAAGTCAGTTGTATCCAAGAAAGATCCAGACAGAAGTATCCTAGTAACACATGCGTTGTTCTCTGAAGTTAGTGATAGCCTTATGGATAGCCTTACAAAAATATCAATACTGTTGTTATTTTCACCATTTTAATATAAAAAATATTACAGAAGAATTGTATGATTATGTTGTTACAACCAGTATTCTTAAAAAGTTAAAAATTGGTTTTATGTTGTAAAAAAAAATAATAATAGAATTAAAAAAATAATAATGATAAATTAAAAAAAAAGCATGTGTTGTGTACCAGGAAAAAGGGTTTTCAAAATGTTTCTCGTAATGTGTCTAGTGAAGTTTTTGCAAGAAAGTGAAAATTGTCCAAATTCATGAATTGTACCAGTTGGACCAGTTGTACATATTGGACAATTATTGTGATGAATAAATAAGCACAGCTGGTCTTTTATTTGAATAAAATTATCTGAATTAAAAATGACAGACCAGATTACTTCCAAATATTGGGTGACTGTTGATAGATCAAACAAAAGACACAAAGAAAATACAGGAGTTTCATTTCTTTATGAAGAAGCAAATAAATTATATTCTCTGTCAAATGAAGCAAAGTAAATTTAATTAATTGAATTATGTACTCTTATTCAGATATTTATTTTGCCTGTTTAATACTTAATTGTATACATTTAATACTTTTTATTTTGAGTTGAATGAGCAATGAACGTTGTGAGTACATGTTCAGCACATTGCAAGATGTGAAGGGATATTTCTATTTATTGCTCTGTGAACATATAACAATGGTAATTTTTCTACTGGTGATTGGCACGTGCTTTGGTGACAATCTTATAGATGTTCCACCAAAATAGCAAGTAGAAATTTTTATGGTATTGAATGTCTCAGAATCCTCTCGAAGTCCCACTTCAAAACATTATCAGAATTTTGTAGAACAATTTAGATAATACAATGATTTTTTTCAGTATTTAAATTAGCAAGTTAAGGAAGACATTTGAAAAATAAAATTAAGTCAGAAACATTTTAAAAACCTGTGGCATTTAGAACATTTTGATTTCTGGAGGCTTCATATATCTCAACTAATTTAAAATCAACATTTGCCAGTGTATTGTTGCTCTGTAGTGTTCATGGCATGTAGACCATTGGATGCAATCTAGTTAAATTTTTTTAACTCTTCTTTTTAAGTTTCTCAATGTAAAATGTATTTGTAATTATTTTCCTGCATATGTTCCAATGTCACGTAAAGACTGTAATATTTCTTTTATAATGTAGGCATACAATTAGTAGTAGTTCGTCTTTTGCAATAGTAATAGATTTCCGTATAATTTGTGTGTTAACATTCTCAGTGATTGATTTTCAATGTACCTTGAACCTCTTGTCAAATTGGAGTAGTTTGGGCAAAGCTCATTAAATTCAGCAAAAGCTAGTGAGTGTTGAAGATAACATCCCCCTTCTTCTGACTTTTAGGAGTGTATGAGATCTCTTGCAGCTGCAGCTGCAGCCACAGTTACTATGGCTAGGCAGGGCAAACTATTGAGGAACACCTCTGGGAACACTTTCCCCATTATAAGTCCAATAATTTAAATGAATCTGCTCTAGCCTTTCACTCATGGAAAACTGACCATGCCATTCTTTTTCACAACACCTGTCTCATGACCAGGGAAGACCACTGGGGACCAAGGAGGATAAAAGTGGCAGTGGAAATCATCAAAGACCTCCGAAACTTGAATGCCAATCGAGGCCTGCATTTCCACGAAGTCCAGAAGCCTTGTACCACAAAGTGTGGTTGTGGTTCATGCTGCTCCTTTACATTTGACGATGTGTGGTCCCCTTCTTTCACTACATCCAGTAGGACTGCTGCCCGATTACCCAATTCGTTCTCCATGTTGGCCGATTGCTCGACGAACCGGCAGACAATGGAGGGGAACCCTTTCTTTACAAACCACCCCGCGTGTTTTGACCTGAAGGATGTCACATGATGATGGTTGATTCGCATCAGCATTCACCTATGACGTGCCAATTCCCGACAGCCAAGTATCAATTAGTGTTGCTCTGAGGAAGCTTAAGCTTTTATTCTAACACATCTCATCCTCTTTGGATGCCCTCAAAATGCAGAACCCTTTGGGCATCTTAGAAGCCTGATGCGTGATAGTTTATATTAAAAAATTAGTCATAAAATAAGATGACAGCTAAGTTTGACAGTGAACACTTATTTCATTGTTGTAACATAATTTAAAAAAAATAACTTTTAAGTCAACATTTCAAATTTGCTTGAGACTGTCAGGGTTGGTAAAATTCATCACAATTCAACTATAAAACTTCTTGAACTTTACTTCACAGTGTGTATTCACATTTAACGGTTTTTTTTTTTTTTTTTTTTTTTTTTTTTGCTAGTGTCTCTCAAGCGGCATTGATTATTACTGTGTGTTTGTTAATGCGTTTGAGTTGAGAGAATACTATGTTGTGTGCTCTTGATGATAAAATATTAGATTACATCTGATAGTTAATATCATTTTAATGTAAATAATGGAAATAATTTCTTTCTTTTTTTTTAAGACCCACTACTACCACTGCTACTAGCCAAAAGCCAGAGAATTCAGATTTACCACCAGAATATGTATCCAGTGTCTTGTCACAACAAAGTCAGGTAAGTTATTTAAGAATATTAAAAATCAATTTCCAACTTCTCTAGTATTTTGCACTTATATTTTGCCTTGTTTGTATATTTAGTATAGAGAAAGTTATGAAATAATGGAAAACACTAATGTGGGCATTTTGACAGAAATACATTTTTTGGGGCTCCTTGGTACAAAAAAGTGAATATAGGTGTGCGGAGAATTTTTCTCCTTTCCTTCTTTTTTCTTTCTGAAAAATGTCTATCTGTTTCATTTGTGAACAACTGTATTACCAAACCCATTAAAAGGATTTTCACCTACATCGATACTCTCCAAATGATCTGCCTAATGTTGTGGCCCTTTGTTTGTTTTTCAAATGAAATGATTTTGAAAAGTTTAATTTTGAAACAAAATTTTTACATGAAGCTCAGAACTTTTCAAGATTTTCTCAAAAACATTTTTAAATTTCTTGCTTGCCATTTGGGCTGAACTGTCACCAGCTCGTGATGATTGCAAGAACTGTTTGAGGATTATTACATAGAATGGACTTAAACCTGTTTTGTTTTATTCTTTATTAATAATTATGTTTTTCGTAGATATCCAAACACTTACTATTTCAGAATTAAAGTATTTTAAATTGTTTATAACATTTTTATTTATGAGCATGTAAACATTTTTGTATATTTATGGCATTTCAAAAATGTTCAAAGTATTTGAGGGAGTGGATGCAAGATCCTCCTTTTAAGTTATGGTTATGCTTCAGAGCTCTGGAAAATTTACATATAAGAATTTCAAATGGTACTGTTAAGAGTTGGTTAAATTTCAAGACAATCCAAGTGCCCAGGATGGTGACGTGTTGGACAAGAGTGCAGCAGCTTTGGAAATACACCGTCAGTAAACAGTGTACCTTATTTAGGTTTAAAATCACAATAGACAGAATCTTTCTAGGTCTCACGGCGCTTACATCCCTGCAATCTTGCAGTACAAAAGAAGTCCTGTTACTGTCACATGATATTAATTCTCAGGAGCACCATATCTGACATGTTGGCGCCCATTGAATGAGAATTGATGCTGCATTAGAAAACTTATGGAATTGATGACCATTTTTATACTAAAACAGTAATCATTGTGATTCCTAATTTTTAAGAGAAGGCATAGGATTAAGAATTCATTAGATTTTTTCAATTATGAACTTTCAAATTGACATATTTTTTTCCTGCTAAGATTTCTGCTGTAAATAAACTTATTGTAATACAACAGAAATGCTTTTCCATAACTTCAGTGTGTAATTATATTAAATAATTTATAATCATTATATAGGGTGAGGGAAGCAAGAAGGAAGAGATGGGAGTGAAAGAAAGGCTCTGAGACATATGTACAAGTTCCTCTATATTTTCTTATGCATAGTTTAGTTTTTTAGATGCTGCAAGAATTACATTCTTTTATATTGAAAATAAGGTCATTGAAATTTACAAAGTTCAATCAAGACACAATATGATAAAATTCCTTCTCATTTGTACTGGTAGATGGATTACTTGGAGAATAATTGAATAAGAAAGAAAATAATTTCTTTCTCTTCTTATTTCTTTCTTTCTTTTTTATACAAATGTAGTAGGGTTAGAATCAGTATAGGCCTATATAGTGACAAGAACTTGGTAATTTTCCTTGAGTGGAGGAATATTATTATAAAATAAGTAGCTGGATGTTATATTAACAACGTGATAAAAGTGTAGTATTGTTATATGTTACAGTAAACGGATATGTTTAAATAAAATTTTCACAAAGTTTTATTTTATGTATGTCCTGTTTTTCCTTTGTTTCCAAAGTACATTCTTCAGAGTATTCAGTGAAAATAAGTATAGAAGGCTTTGAAGACAGATGAAGATACAAATTAACATTTACTGTGTATATGAAATTATTATTTAATGGTTTCCCATCAGAATTTTATTTAAATGAGGAGGTCAAGGCCAGAGTCTCCTAGGCAGTCTGCATCTCAACCCCGTAGTACTGAAAATGCACGATCACCTCACACAGTAAGGAGGTTCATTATTCACTTTAGTTCTGCTTCTTTGAAGAAATGGAATATTTTTTTGTACAGTATACTGTAGTATTCTTTCTTTTTACTCTTGAACAATATTTTTAACCAACATGTGAAGTTCTTTTTTGTTTGATAATTAGTTTTGAAATATCAGTTTTGACCAGTAAGTAACCAAATAAGTTAAATAAAATATTTTAGTTCTTTCTTCATGTTTGGGAAGATGCTTCCAAAAATATAGTATTTTATTGTAGATCAACTCTGTATAGGGAATGATATGTTGTTCATTCTTCAGGCAATACAATGACAAGAATTGAAAGATGTTTTTTTCATAAAATTTTGAAAGTGAAAATAGTATTTCACAGACCTTAATTTTGTACTATTTGTTTTGTTAGGCTCCTCCACCACGGCGTACGGAGGAAGAGCTCCGTGAGGAGGAGGAACTGCAATTGGCTTTGGCACTATCAAAATCAGAGGCTGAACATAAGGAGAAAGAGGTGAGTACCATGCAAGAGATATCTCATTTGTTTCACTCATAATCACTTCTTTGGGGTATTTAAAATGTCCTTAAGAGTGAAACAAAATCATCGAAAGAGAAATCTTTGTATTGTAAATGATCTTGGCTCTCTGGGTGATGTCGTGTGGAAGGCTGTTATACGAACGTTTTAACCATCTCATCACACTCTTTTTCAGGGCTAAAGTTCAATGTAGAAATGCATCACAGCTACCACAGCCTTTAATGTGGCAGTACCCAGACAGTTAAATTATTCATAAGACTGGCCATAGAAGCCAACAACAAAAAATTGGTATTGTTTTATTATAGTTATAAAGCCACAATAGTATAAATTTAATTAATTTAGTTCAATTGGTTTGATACTAAAAGATGATGATACACTTTCTGTTATCTTGAGTTTTATTTTAAATTTATTTTGTCTATTTCACTGAAATGGTCATATCATCTCGAAGAATTCTCGGATGAATAAACATATTGAACTATGTTACTTGTATTGGACCAATTAGCCTGTTGTTTGATTGATAAAAAATAATAAGAGAAAGTTTAAAAGTATACACAAGAAAGATGTCGAGGCTGATAATTAGTTTCAGAAGTTTAGTGAAGTTGTCTGTCTTGTGAAAAAAATCATAAGTAACAGGATCTCTCTTTCTCTCTGTTCTTGTCCCCCTCCACCTCTCCTCCCTCCTCTCCCCTCCCCCATCCCTTGCCCCCAGAAATCGTTGCTTTCTGTGTTATTTTCATCTTTATGAAGGGCTTGGGGCAGTAAGAAAAGAAGACACTGTGGCTAAAATCTAGACCTTTACATTTATGAATAGTGTGAGGCTTGCAATGGCTGTTGTGGCTTATCTTGTTTCTGCCCCCAGCTCTTCATATGTTTATAATATCCTTTTTTACCAGTTTTTTCAATTGAGTACCATTTGTTGTAATGTATTTTTAGATTACATTAATGTTTTTTGATCACCTGCATGTATTATCTTGTGATTTTTTTAATGTGTCTACTTTTAGCTTTTACTGCCCACTTGTTATGCATTTAAAATTATTGTTGGTGTGGTGGGAAAGAAGAACAAAGGTTTTTTTGATCAATTTATAACCTTTCATAAAAGCTTGTGTTTCTGTTTTCAGAAAAAGCGAACAACTTCTGCCCTTATGTCCAATGCTGCAGCTGTACGTGCTAAGCAATATTCTCCTCCTCTACCCACAGTAAGTGAATTTATGAGTAATTGATCTTCACAGGTTCTTTGTATCAGTGTTGTAAAGATCTTTTAGCAAGACCTTTTTACACGCACCATTCGGTTCTCTATTTTTGCTTTAACCCTTTGCATATGAAGCTGGGTACATGTGTACCCCAATTTCACTTTTTTACTTGTGTACATATCACTAATTTTGTAATATTGAAATTTTGTTACATTGTCTGAAATACTGCCATTGACAATTACATCTTAAAGAAAGTAATAGTTTTAAGGTTTTTTCATTTTCTACTTAAAAACAAGCACTGAACTACATTTATACCCAACTTTGTGTTCCGCATCACAAATTTTTATTCCTCATTAATTATTAGAAATAGATAGAAAAAACTAGAACAAGATGCACTAAGTGTTTGTTATTTACTTGTAATGAATATTCAGATACAAAAACAATAAAAATATGCATCAGTTGCCTAAAACATGAATAACCTTGAAAGCAGTATTTTGATGAAGTGTATTGGTGTACTTAAAAGAGAAAGATAGGAATAAAGTTACTTAATTCTATTAAATTTTTCGTTCATTATATATTAACCACTCAAAATGTTCATATTTTAGTTCATTATTTCATATTTCAAAGAAATATTTCATAATATTTGAGTGGGGTACATGTGTACCCAGCTTGGTATTCAGTGTTACATTTAGAGCTTGGTATAGGAGAGGGTTAAGTAGACAAGTAGTTGGGTTTTTAATTTATTGAGGGGTGAGAGTGTATGTTTGGGTTGTGAGTGCAAGGAAATGTGGGTGTGGTTTGCATGTGTGTGTGTGTGTATACTTCTTGTACATGTGTGGTGTGGGTCTGACAACCACACGTGTGTGGTGCACTTACTGTGTTATGAGCTTGTGTAAGTTTAAGTGCATGCATAACAAAACTAATACAATCTCATGAACTGACATCTTTTCAATTGTTAGTTATCATAAGCCTTCCACTTAGTATGTTATAGATTCTCAAATAATGTAAGTTGAGAACTCACCTCTTGGTTGTTATGCCTTCTTAGCGCAGCAGTCCAGAGCCAACTGAAGAAGATATGGATCCAGAGCTAGCTCGTTATTTGAACCGTTCATACTGGGAGAAACGCCAAAGTGAGGATAGATCTAAGAGTGGGGCATCGTCTCCTGGCCCAGCTAATGAGCGGGATCGGCGCAGCCCCACTGGCCAACAGCCTTCTGCCCCCAGCACTGCTTCCAGCCCGCCTGTGCAAATCACTGCAAGCTCAGCTGCTCCCACCTCCAAGCTAATGGTAAGTGAGGAAGTTGACCAAAATTAGATAGTGCTGCCATTAATAGAAAAATTCTGAAGATCACTCTATATTTATTTGAAATTCAGGTGTTTTATTGTCTCATTGAGAAAACCATGCAAGTCAAAATGTTTTGACAATCATTTTAATGCAGTTTTTTTTTTTTGACTAACAAAAAGCTGTTTTTTCTGAAACTGAAACATGGTCAAACACAATTCTAATTATAAGAAGTTTTTCACTTGAAAATGTATTACACAAGTCTGCATTATTTTTGATGTCTGTAATATTTTATTTGTTTCTTTATGCATTTTTCATTTCAAATCTGTAATCAGAATTTCCACATCAGCTTTTTGCTCTACAAACGAATGTTTTTGACATTTGTGGTTTTTATTCGAAGTTAATGCCAATATCTCTTTTTTAGGCAGATTCTTATAATTACTTGAAATTTAGTTATCTTTAACATCTTCTTAATAGTACATGTCAAAGATAACAAAATTTCACCAATTTATATGTATGTTGAGCTGGAATTCATCTGCCAGCTAAAACATTGAACACATAGTATATCTTTGAACAAATTTATCTCAAAACTTCATTTTTCAACTAGATTTGAGCCCATGAACAATATGCATACAGAATCCATTTCATTTCTATTTATTACATTAGTCATTAGTCATACATTATATTATCTGTCAATCCTTCAGCCTGGTCACAGTGGAAAATAATTAGTTTTCATGTGTATGTTTTTGGTTCTCAGCACCAAAAGCAGGAGAATGGTGAAACAGATTCTCAGATTGAAGAGTTTGTGGGCGGTCTCAAGAGCCAACTTGAAATATTTGTTAATCGAATGAAATCTAATTCAAGTCGAGGACGCAGCATTGCTAACGACAGTTCTGTACAGACGTTGTTTATGAATATCACAGCCATGCACTCACGTCTTCTGCGTTACATTCAACAACAGGATGATGGCCGAGGTAATTCAAATAATTAATTTTTTGGTTTGTTATTGTTAATGAGATAGTTTTTCTCTTTGTCAGTGTTCTGTTATATAACTCAGTACTGTACATAAATTTTGAGATAGTTTTTCTCTTTGTCAGTGTTCTGTTATATAACTCAGTACTGTACATAAATTTACAGGAAGAGACATTTCTACTGTTATAGTGAATGTTTTAAAGAATTTACAAAAAGGGCTTTGGCATTGCAGTGTACTTTGAGGGGCTTCAAGACAAGATGGCACAAGTGAAGGATGCACGTGCTGCATTGGATGCCCTGCGTGAGGAGCATCGTGAGAAACTGCGCCGGCAAGCGGAAGAAGCTGAGAGACTGCGTCAGTTACAAATGGCACACAAGTTAGAGATAATGAGAAAAAAGAAACAGGAATATCTGCAGGTATGTTCCTTTAATTGTATTTCAGTATCAATCAATATGTATGTTGCACTGCTCCAAACTAGTTATTTAATTATAAATCATTTTGAGGGCAATTTCTGTTTAATATAGTTCCGAAATATATTGAATATTATTGTGTATGATAATCTTCATTTTATTTTACAAAAAGACACTTTTACATTAACTTATTCAGTTTGTAGCATAGAGCAACTAGTGAGTAGATGGTGTAGTAAGTGTTCAAATTATTCACATTCCTGATTTCACACATTGCATATGGTGTGGGTATGGGCATAACACAAATAATATTCTCACGTAGGCGTGCTAAATCCTCTCATCGAATATTGCTTAGCAGTCAGTGGAGTCACAACCTGTAATTTATTTCTGCCATGGCAGCATAATTAAAGATCTTCACTTCAATGCTAAGGGAAATATAATTTCACAGTAATCAGCGTTGTGCTTCTGAAGGATTTGGAATTCTAGAACTTACAGCAAGATCTGTCACTTACATTGAATTCTATGTAGTTGAAAATGTAACATAACATGCTTTGTATTTCTAAAGTTTTGTATTTCTATCATTTTGAGTCCAGATTGAAGTAAAATTGTGAGAATGTTGATATTTGGCATCAGTAACTTACTTTTCAGTAACTTTCCAATAGCTTTGCATAAGACAGTGATATCCAAAAAAACTGTTCATATTGTTCAATTTTTGTTTTCTATTTGTCAGAGGTTTTATAATTATGAGGCAATGTTTATTTGAAAATGTCATTAGTTTAGTTAAACAATATTTAGACATCTGAGTTCCCTGAAGTGTTATCCAATATGTGAGAATAGCTTTTAATTTTTATGTTCCTTCATCTTAGTACCAGCGGCAGTTGGCATTACAGCGCATTCAAGAGCAAGAAAGAGAAATGCAGATGCGTCAGGAACAACAGAAGCAACAATATTTAATGGGATCTATGGGACCCATGCCACCAGGTCCAATGGGTTATCCAATGCCCCCATACATGACTCCAGGTACACAAGGAAACAAATTTGATAGTAGATCTAAATTTTTAAACTACTTTCTTTCTTAGGAGTCAAACATATCTCAGCTTAAAATAAATCATATATGTACTTATAAAAAAATTGAATGAATAAAAGTTATTTACTAATAATTCAAGCAACTTTCAGGTAACTTTGAGAAGATATTAATTGTTTATTCACTAGTACTTTCAGAAAACCCAGGGCCATTGTCAATTTAGAAGGAAGCATCAGATTCATAAGGACAAATATGTTTTAAAGATTCGTTTTAGGTTTTCTGGCCAAGAACTTGAAAACATGTCTTGACTGTTGAGTGCTTTCAGGATTAAAATAATAATGCTTATTTTAATTTGAACCAACCTCATCTGGGCACTATTACTTAAGGGCTCAAAAATGGTTTGTACTATTTTAAAAATAAAATCCAATGCTATACAATTTAAATCGGTTGCAGGTATACCTCAGAACTACCCTCCAGTTGGTGTAGATGCACAGCATCCACAATTTCCAATCATGAGTCAGGGGCCTCCTTCCAACACATTTAACAGTCTACCACCAGGAGGAGGGTCAGCACCTATGCCATATGCCCAGTTTTCTCCTGGCACAGGTAGGCATGTGAGGTTGATTGTAGCTTAATACTAATTAATACTTTTCATTTCTAATTCTCCATGCTTGAAAGAACTCTTGTTTTAATGTTTATATAATTAGGTTGTTCAATGTCCAGAAATGTTTTGTGGTTAAAAAATACTATCGTTTAAAAGGATTTTCACTTACGTTGGAATAGTAATAAAAATTATCTCTATTTGAGGAAAATAAAATTTAATAATAAAAGTAACTCATTTTCATTGCTGAAAAAGTATAGAAAATTTGCAATTACATTTTTGTTAAAGTTTATGAATATCCTACGTTATGTGCACTGCTTTGATGTTTACCTTTGTATGCAGCCATGGCAGGTATGCCACAACAACCTGGCCCAGCATCTGCAAACATGGCAATGGGCCCTGGCCCTATGCTGCCACCTCACATGCTGGGGCCCCGAAACTCCCTGCCTCTAGCAATGGGTGTGCCTTCTCAGGGTCCCTCTCCTGGCGGACCTCCTCAACCACCTCCTGCCCAACCTTTGGCAGGACCCTCTCCTCAGGGGCCAGCACCAGGCCCCCCACAGGTAAGGACAAAAAAGTTCCATTGCATGTTATTGTCAAATGAAAATTCTGGAATATTTTTTATGGAAATAAAATAAATACAAATCCAAAATAAAATAAATATGCAACATCTGGTTTTTGCCCATTGTTTTTTAAAGATCAGTCAACAATTACTATACTGGAGGTCATACAATTAGGTGAGTCGCTCTGCTCTCGCTCCATGACTGCTACCACTACATTTCCTTCTTAGTCGTTGACTCTCCTCAGTGCTCAGATGAAATCTTGCATCTTCCACGGGATGTCAGGTGAAGATTATTGTTGCTTCTGAAGTGAGGTTCTCAGAGCATCAGACACAGAAAGAGCTACATGAAACTTGGACAATTACTATTTATGGAGAAGAGGATAGAGGGTAATGGGGAGGCATCCTTGAAGATGATCTTGAACTATCTACATTTTCTGCTTCTGGAATAATTGGTATACAGTACAATGAGAGAATGTGTTGAACTCTTGCTTGCTCATATAGTCAGGGAGTGTATTATGATATTTTCTCCTTCCTAGACAATGGAATCACTTTCTGAAAAACTGGGAAAAGTCAAAAAATTTCATTGATCCAGAAAAATTAAGGAAGTTTTAGAAGAAACTTCAGAAATTCTGGAATCCAGATAATATGGGAATTTTGGGGATGCATTAACACATTTGCCAAAAAATATGTAGACATACTGTTCATTAATAGGGAAACCATTATTTTAAAGACACTTTTCTCTATCAGAAAACCAGAAGAGGGGATTCAAGGCATCAACTGATGTCACTGCAGTGCCTCTGACCGGGACGTCCTGGGGTTCAAGTCCCTACAGTGGCAGGATTTTAGCACTAGCCAAATACCTAAGTTGAGTTCTGTCACTGTGTGGAGGAGAATTCTAGGCTGCTCTGATTGGTAGTTTTCTGTGGTTTCTCCGATCAATACCAGGCGAATGTTAGATCAGTACCCTGCCAAATGGGCTACGGACTGCACATGAACTTTCCCTCCTATTCCTTGTCCTATCCTCATCCCTTACACACACTTACACTTACATGCACTACATACTACACATGCCAGGAGATGAGATTGGTGCTTAGAGCTTGTCCCTGAAGACGCAGTTCCCCGCTGGTGAGGTACGCTTGGTTGGGGAATACCCTGCTAGCCAACAGTAGGTCGGTGCCGGATCTTGCCATCCATTGAGACAAATCACTACCACTTCCCAAGCAAAAAACATGCCCTACACTACGAGTTGATGTACCCAGAATCACTAGTAATCAATCTATTAGGATCCACACTTTTAATTAAATGATTCCAAAGGAATCAGTATACTTTTATGGTGTGAACTTGCTACAAATTCACAGAAACCTTCCGTATATATTTCCATCAGTCATTACAATTGCATGATTAAATGGAGATCCAAATGAATGAAAACTGGATAAATTCTACTATATATCAAGTATTCAGGTATAAAACATGATTACCCACTTGCTTTCGAGAAACGAGCAATTGCACATTTCAGTTTAAGGTGATTTAAGTGGGCCACCTAAAAATGTTATCTAGCTGATGCCAAAAGTTAAGATACCACAAAAATTGCAACTTTGAAGGATACCATCTTTTATGTGTGAGTTCTTCATATGTCTGAAGTACATATAAGTACATATGTCTGAAGTATATAGTAAAGTATATAATATAGGTGATAATGTACACCTGCATTACTTACAGCACCTCTTTATTATTTATATGGTTTTATATTGCTTTTCTACTATTGATTATGTTATGTTTTTGCTTAAACGTTTGGTTACATCAATTAAAAGCAAAGGTATCCCCTTTTTTCCATAGTATTGTATGTGATATACGAATGCCTGAAACATGTTTCTCAAATTTGTAATGTTATGATTTTTTCTTCCTTGTGCTATATATCTTGTTGTATTCTTCTTTCATTGTAATCTTTTCATTTTGGGCTACAAGCCTCTATGCTTTAAGTAAATAATAAATAAATATTATTCCATAAATAACACTAGTAATACATTATTTTTCAGCACAAATGTTGACCTTTTCTTGGCTAAATTGGAGAGTGCAAAAATTAATAATATGTATCCGGATCTCAGTTTATTTAATATTTTCTCTTAATAGTGTGAAATTTTGGTAGGGGAAAAATAAGTTCTGGTAAACTGGAAAATGTCATTGATATGTTTCGTAGGAAAAGATTCATGAACTTGTCTCATTGTCTTCTTCTACTTTGTTGTCTTCCCCTTCTTCCTTTTCCTCTTCTTACTCTTTCTTTTTTTCTCGTCAGTAATATTTCTTGACAATGAATGGATGGAACGTACTCACTGTGAGGCTCTGTTTAAGGGTATCTAACAGTACTAGTAACTCTAAACAAAAACAGTTGAGATAGCTGTATACTATTATTAGTTCACTCTTAGGAAATTTCTCAAGTAAACTAATACACATGTGTTCATATGTTTCTCATTGGTTTTTAGTTTGAGCTCAGTGTCAGTTCCTGAAAGTTCTTTCCTTTTCCATTCACATGCTGATATTTGTAAAATTAATGAGGTGACCAGACTAGTCACTTTTGATAAAGGAGACAACTGTATAGTGCAGTTAATATGACAGGTGATAAGGCTGCAAGTCACTGCCACTTAAGCACACCCAGCAAACCAAAGATCATGTTGAATCTCAATGTACAGCTCTATGAGAAGAAGCAGCTTGTCAGACCAACTGCAATCCACCTGCATTGCCTTTCTTTGACTGTTCAGTCATAATCAAGTGAAAGTTTTGAAGGGCAGGAAATCCTTATTCACATTTATGGCATTAAAAAAAATACTGTGGCTAAATTCCTGATAAAAATAAATGCACCCTAATTAGATACTTCTAAATTCAGTACCTGGCTGCAAATGTAGATGTCAAAAACCAGATGGTAATGTTGGGCACCTTGGAGATCCTAAATCTGAAAATTCGTAACAATAGTCCCTGTGTTAGGTGTGGTACTGTCCAAAGCCTGGGCATTACAAAGAATTAAAATAGCAACCACAAATTTGAAGCAAAAATTATGAATTTTTATTCATTTTGTATTTATATAATTGGCAAAAACTGTATACCAAATCTTCCATTATAGTGATTATAACAATATTACTAATGTTTTACATGATAGTGTATTTGAATTACAAAATTTAGATATTTAGTATTTTTTTATAGGGTCTCTCTTTAATACAGTAATTACAATGTAAGTGTTTGGTATACATATTGCTCAAAGTATATATGAAATGAAAATAACAAAATGAGAAGAAAAGAGATGGTAGTAAGCTAATGATGCAGATTAGTGATCAAATACAATATTATTTACAAGTTTTCAAAAGTATGAAGAATAAGTGTTGAAAATGTCTATTTGGTTGCAGTACTTGTTTGCTAAAGATAAAAGTCTGTTGAATGTGTCGTCCCCCCTATAATCAGTTTTACAACATTCTACTGAGAAAGACTCAATTTTTCTAGTAGTATTTTGCAGAACCAATAATCTATTGTTTGTTTAAAAAAAAAGAAAGTTGATTACACACGATACAAATTTATGCAAGAAAATGAAGTCACATATATTTCTTCAAGATATGGAGTTTTAAACTACTTGTAAAGATCAGAGTAATCGTGACAAAATTTATGAATGGATGCATTATTCCATCCATTTGGTACTGACGCATTCTCTTGCCATTTGCCATCTATCACTGCTCAAACTATATTTCATTCACGTTTCCTCAATTTTTTTCTGTTTTTCTGTTTTCTAATGGTAGAACTGAAATATTTATTTAAGGAAATTATAAAAATAGCAGCTTACAATTTACAAAAAGGAATCGAGGAATATCATCTTAAGATATATTTCCAAATCTAAAACCATGAACATTCCAGGTGCAAAATAGTTCTAAATAATAAAAGTTTAGAACAAGTTTGCATCTTTCATTACTTAGGCTGTAGTGTGTCATATCTAATAGAAAGTGATCTTGATGTCAAACTGAGTAGATTCCAGAGAATGTGTGGACCAATAAGCAAAACATAAAGAAATAAAACCCCTAGGGGCACTCAGTTAAAATTCTATAAAACCTTTGCTGTCCCAATACTAACCCGTGGATGCAAAAATTAGGCGTTAAATGGATCATCAAAAAGAAAAATTCAAACTAACGAAATGAAGTTATTGCAAAGTGTTGCTAACTATACTTTTCTAGATCATTAGAAAAATGTTGATATACGACAATAAATATTTTAAACTGTTATTATTTTTTATTTTTATTTAATTTTCGCTGTTTTAAAAATATCTGGAAATATTCATGTGTATAAAGCAGCATTGAAAATGGGGTAACGTGTGTATGAATGCTGGTACACAAAATTTCAATAAATAATCCGGAAATTCATCTTGACCAGATGAATATTTATTTTTTGTTTACTAATTATTCCCAGGATTTTGTTAGAAGTTTCGGAAATATACATAGTGTTGAAAACGACAAAAAGAAATAAACATCTTGTCGAACTCTAACCTCACAACAAGAGCTTAACGAGACGTCGATGGCAAGTTGTACCGGGCGGTCAAAATTTAAAGAATATTTTGGTATTAGTTAAGCAAAACGACCTCGCTGAAACGTAAATATAAGTAAAAAGTGCGTTTTGTGTACAGATGAATCAATTAAGATTTTTTCTTGTTTATTGCTGTCTCAGTTAATGCTTACAATTAACGAATGGAGAAACTGCTGAACCGGTCAGTCTTCATATTGTATTCATTAGAGAGTCTGCATCTGTGGATTCATTACATCATTAAATACAGTTCTCTTTTAATGTTATGCAAGACTAGTCGGAAATTTAACTAGTATTACGCGAAAAGTAATCATATTTTCGAAAAATTGTACGCGAACTTATTTCAAAGTCTGTCTTTAATGAACAGATTTCGTTAAGGGAAAAATCTCAATCTTTAATATTTTAGTTGTAGGAAGATACGGAAAAAATTGAACTATTGCAATTTTCCGAAAATCGGGATTTTTAACGGACATGAGACGTACACCATTCTCTGAAACGTCCTTCACACTGTGCTACAACTAAGTTTAATCAAAAAACAATGGAGCCATTTTTTTAAATTTTGAAAATGAACCAGGAGCTTCATGTAAAGAGCCCTTCAAAATTAAAATATCGTGTAACATCAGCTAGGTCGATTGGGGAATATCAATTTTAGGATCAATGGTTTAGCCACCAGCGTTGTTCACGGACTAACACACGCTTTGCCGTCATTCGATTTTTGTGTATCAGACCACACAAAACATGGATTTTGGCTTCCCTGTGTTTTCGCTCAGCATTATATATAGTTCGTTGGCAGAAAGTAAAAATCAAACTTAATTATCACAGATAAAATCAGATGAAGATTTCGTAAAAGATTTTAAATCGGTGAGAAAACTATTATGACCCTAAATACTATTACTGAATTAAAATTATTGTATTGCAATATCGATTATGTAATCTTCCAAATTTCCAAAATTACCATATCATGGATGTTTTGAGTAAGTATGAGGATTTATTCATTCGAAAATTCAAAAGTATTATTAAAAATGTAAATCTAATAGTGTTATTAACCGTACTTTTCAGGTATGTCATATAATGTACAGTTATCCTCTAAAATTATGAGAACTTATTAGTAAGCTTAGTATCGACAGCAGAATATCAATTTTGAAAAGAAAAAAAAAATCCTGCTGGCCTGTTAAAAACTGTTATTCACAGTAGAAACATTTTCGGAAATTGATCTAAGGTACGTTAAACCCTGCGGTGGCACCAAACCCGTGATACACTTTCCATCTGAAAAAATACTTTCTTAAGCATTTTAGGACCCAGAAAATTAATTAGTAACATATGCTTATTGAAAAAATTAGTTTTGTTTAAAGCTCGTTTTTGTACAAACTTGTACATTCCAGTACTCGGTTGCGAAAGAAAAGTGCGTGAGTGAAAAATTTATATTCTCAGACCTGAAAACCGGGAAAAGCCTTGAATCCCAAAAAGCCTAATCGATGATAATCCTGCAATGTTGACACAGTCCTAGCTTGCGTATATGGGGCGACGCAAATTACTGAGGAGGCGAGTGGCCCAACGAAAAGTGGACGTCTGTGAACCTATTTTCCCCTTTTCAACTTCATGCGTTTAACTACAATTATTATTATGAAATATAATCATCACTAATTTTGTTTTTCATCATAATCACTTTTTATATATTCTACAACCTTAATATTTTATTACATTACTATACTAACTTCCAGACTAGTACAATGAAGTGCTATACTAGTGTGTTTAATGTAGTGTAAATATCACTTATTGAAGAAGTCCTTGTTGATGAAAAATGTTCCAACTTTATTAGGTGGAGCTGTACAGAAACGGGTGGTCTAAACCTCACTTTTGGTCTCATTAAACGCAGAATTTGTTCCTCTATAACTTTTGTGTGGACCAAAGAAGTTAAAACGACAATTTTTCATTATATTTTAAAATTTTCTAACTTTGATGAGCAGTAGTATAGGATAATGTGCTGCAATAAATATGCATCTGGTCTCCTTCAATGTAGAATTTAATGCCTTACAACTTTTAATTGGACCCTGTTTTCGATAGTGTGTGAATCCTTTACGAAATATAACCGTACAGCCACAAAAATATTCTTTTTGGGGGTTCAGTTTTACCCCACTACCAACGCTTAAGCATATCGCCGAGAGGAAAAAAACGAGGATTGTCATGTTGAGCCACAAATTAAACCACTAAAACAATAAAACCGTATGTAGCAATTATTTCCGTTTCGTTTACTTGTTTGGTTTTATTCTGCTGGACTATATGTAGAGAAAGAAGAGGAATAGGCCCAAGACGGAGCCTTGTGAGACGCCGCTGAGGGCACGCTTTTCGGAGGAGAGAAAAACGCTAGTTCTCACTTGGAAGTTCCGGTTCTGTAGAAAAGCAGTGATCCAGTGTAAGAGGTTATATAAACCCAAGTCCTGGAGCTTGATAAAAAGATTTTTTTGAAGCCAGTATAGATATCTACTGGTAATTCGTCGTTTTGCAATTTGGACCAGTTCATCAATCATTTTAGAAGGTTGTAGCAGATAGACGTGCCTGAAAATAACGTTCATTGAACGGAAATATGCTTTTGCAGAAATCCAATATTAAGGCAGTGACAATTTTTTCCATAACTTGAAGGAAGGGAGCGGTCAGTGAGATAAGGCGATAATTTCTTGCCATTGTTCTGTCATCTTGTACGAGGAACTACGGTCGCTAAGAACCATTCGGGTGGAAGGCGTCCTTCTTTCATGGATCGTTCAGGAAAGCCAACCAATGTTGGGTTAAGTGAGGAAGCACATTGTTTAATCTGGAAAGGATGGATCCCATCGATGTCGAGTCGTGTTATCGTTGATTTCCATAAGATGCTTATGGACCAGTTGAACAGGGAAATGAACATCACAGAAGCTGGCATGAGAGCGTGAGAGAGCGGTGTTGAATGGTGGACCACCTCGTACCTTCGCGTTCGAGACGCTGTTGAATGGGTTGGCTAAGATCTCAGGAATCACGGCGGGATCGGAGATCATATGGCCGTCCGGATTAACAAGGGTACTGGGTGAAGCAGGTTTGGTACTCAATTGGCTCTTTAAGATATTTGTAGAAATTTTTGGATCGGAAGATACGAGTTCCACTTCATAATGTGTATGTTCGAAGTCAATTGCAGAGTTGAGCTTGTTTCGCAACAGTTTATAAGCGGCAAATAAAGTACGTTTGTTCCAGTCCATGTATTTGATTCGATATTTCTCCTTTGGCGCTATCAGTTGAATCGCAGATTTTATCTACGGTTGGTGTAGGACTCTCCTCTTTCTGTTACGAATGGGATTTGCTAAGTCAGCTGTAGTGAGGATAGCAGTTTGAGGTCCTTCCAGAGGTCAAGAATGGTTTGTGATGGGGAAGGATGATGAGCTAGATGGTGGAAGAGAGTGATGTGACGGGCGTAATCAGCTGTAAAAGAATTCTGAAAGGATGCTGTGCTTGGCGTAGTTTGGGCAAGAATGGTAGTTGAACTGTTATGATAAGGTGTGTGTGTGTGGCCTGATTTAGCTAAATGTGTAAGGCGGAGAACTTCCGTAAGTATATTACCTGTGTTAGTGAGGATCAGACCAAGTAGAGACGCCTGTTAAATTTCTCGGTAACGAGTTGTTTCATTCAAAAACGTCTTCCAAGGTTGGACTCCGTGAGGAAGCACATTGTTAAATTAGGATTGGATGAATCCCATAGGGGCCCATAGTCTTTAATTTCCTAGATGTTTATGAATGGATATTCCTTAGATGCTAAGGGAACACAGTTTTTTGCACAAATTGAATCTGATTAGAAAGCTATTTGGTGCATCAGAAATTCGAGGAAGTACTATAGATATTGCCTGTCAAAAGAAAGATGCTTGTGGGAGTGTTGGATGTATGTGGAGTACTTACGTGCATATGTAGTACTAAAGCTGTAAAGGAGGAAATATTACGGTTATATGTTGAAATGTTTCCAATGTTGTTTGATAATCAATAAAAAGCATTGTAACTATTCAGTAGTAGTTACATTTTACAAGATTTTGTAGACCAAATTACGTCGACATCTTCAGATGAATACAGAACTTTAAATTAAACACTAAGATTTCTTTTAAAGTTACGCCACATTTTTTGTAACATTTCTTGAATGATGGAAAATTGAATTTCAAAATGCTTTGTTTTTGTGTAGGGTCTCCCTCAGGGTCCAGCGCAGGGCACACCGCAGGGACCTCCAATGGCGTTCCCTCCACAAGTGGCTATGGCTCAGGGAGGTGCTCCTCCCGCTCAAGGTCCTCAGGGCCCCACGCCAAGTAGCCCCCAGCAAACGAGCAGCAATGAAGGCCTTCAAACAGAGGAACTCATTAGGTTTGACTGAAGAGAACATTTTCTGTCAAATGTCAATGAAATGCAGCTTATTAAACAAGCAGAATGACATTAGGGGAAGCTTAATAAATGAAAAAGAAATGCTCTTGCTTTTAGGTATTATTACAATATAGAATTGCATATTTTGAAAGTTTGAATACGATAGCTTGGCAAGTTATATTTTAGTAATTGTTATTTTTTTTATTATTAATATATTAAAATGTATTCATAAAATGCTTTACCAGGTTATTGACAAATATATCTTGAAATGATTAAAAGTTAAATATTGAGAACAGGAAGGTCAAGAAATGTGCTATAAAATGCATAATATATAATTAATATATAATGCATGTATATTATCAACTGCTGTACAACTTTATCTTAATCAATTGGGTTTGTTGTTTTTATTAATGTTAAGTTAATATTAAGAATGTAATGACAGATTATGAAGCTTCTATATAATAAAGCAATTCTGTATTTATATGGCATATCTCAGCTCAGTGTTGTTATTTGAGAACACTCAATGCTACTTGAAGGGAAACACATTGGTCTGAAGTGTTTATTAACTCGGATATTCTGTTTCTGCTCTTGATTTAAAATCTTTGAAATAATTTTCATAGAGCACCTATCGACCGTTGTCGCTGACGTGTGTCGTCACGCTGTTGTTGCCGTTTAGAACTGCGAAGCACGAGCTATAAAAATATATAATTATATATATTATAATAGATAAAAAATAATATATAAAATATATAAAAAAATATATAATATATAAAAAAAATTTATATGCGGCTGGCCGTACCTCCCTAAGCGTCAACATTACGAGCAATGGTTATTTCATTATCCCCGTGCGTTTTAATACCGCAACGATTTGTAACAAAGTGCCACAGACGTTCATCGCCGTGTGCTAGGCTGGCGCTGGCGATCTCCTCTGGGACCTGGAAACCCATTTTTCTGACTTCTGAGCCTCGCATCGTAATTTTTTGGATTCGCGTGGAATTGAAAGTGTACAGATTCATCGATTCTTAACGGGATTGAATGCATTATTTACGGTGTTTGGGAAATTTATTTTCATTTTATACTAGGTTTGTTGATTCCAAACGTGCATTTGATGATCACAGTTTCTTTAGTAGTAAGATTGACCACCTTGGAACAGTCCCTCTTTTTGTGTATTGGCCTCAATGCGTGCAGTGCTTTTCCGTTCAGACATTTCGGTTTTTTGTCGAAACGAGGTCTAGAGCGACTGTTTGTGATACGTTTTGTTGGTAATCGTCGGTAACAGGCATGGTTGCCGTTTCCTTCTGCTGTTACTGTTTGTGAATTGGGGTCGGCAAATCTCATTAAAAAAGTACTGTACTTCACATTTAAAAAAATTAATTATTAGATATCGCTTTAAGAAGTAAAATTATAAATGTGCGAAAAAATCGCATTAAGAGAGCATACATTTCTGAAAAATTACAGATATTTCATTATTGCAAACTATACTAGGCCAGTAAAATTTTCGAAATTATTTTATTTCATTACCACATGCAATAACAACAAAAATCACGTAATTAAGGTAAACTGTTGGTAAACATAAACAATAGTGTGTGTTGCAAAATACTAGTCCTACTGTAAACACAATGATTTGCAAAATTCAGTTCGTGATGTTTGATTTCAAAATACAAACATTTTTTTGTGCATTTTTCAGCATATTTTTACTTTTAGAGTATATCTTGGTATCGTTAAATTCTTTTGTATGTTAAACAGGCACTTATGTTTCTAAAATGTCTTCTATAAAATGTTAACCAAAAGATCGCTTTCGAAAATGCGGTTTTTGAGATGAATTGTTTACATTAAATGTTGAAATGAAATTTTCATTTGTCAGTATCCTGGCGCGTCTCTTCTATGGATCTCTGTGGAAAGAAGACACGCGCTGGTCTGTACTATTCCCTCTTCCCTCTGCAAGTAGGTACTGAACAAACTGTTTCGTGATAGGTGGCTCACGGTACTTCCAAAAATTTGTCGGCACGAAGGCAGCAGTAGCTCTCAGGGATCTCTAACCCAAAATAATGCGTACGTATTGTTGATGCACACGAAAAATTATTTATATATAGAAAATACGTTGTTTCCCAGGCCACAGTTTTTACCTGTTTATTTCGCGCCGAGACAAAGTGATCTAAGGTATCTGGGGATGTTAGGCCCATTTAAGGTCTGGGAATCTTTTCTACCGCCATTTTGGCTCGAAACAAAATGTTTTTGTACCAAGAAATTGGTGCTCTATGGATTTTATAAAGAAACGTCATATTTTTATCTGAAATGTAAATTAACTCCACGATTTTCTAAGTCTACATTCGAGCGTAATGTATATATGGTACATAGATTCCACCAACCGGGAGTTCTAATATATAATTAAAATTTTATTAAATTAGTAAGAAATTTCGTCAACTCTGAAGACGTAAAACCGCTGGCGGTAGCCTCTTCGTCGGCTTCCGATAAAGGAGAAAGTTTTATTAGCGCGAGTGCGATCACGCTTCAAAATCTTTTATCGAAATTTTTATTGGGTGCGCAGCCACGATCCACGCTATTTGATTTAAGATTGTTTTTACGGGCGCAATAAATGCTCTTTCTTGACAACTAATTGTCGTGACCGTTCATTGAATTTATTTATAAACGGTACGCCAAGCTGTCGCAACCTGCTGCATTCGATTACTGAACATTAACAAGTGCAGAAATGTTGACATCACGAGTTCGGGACTTAAGCTTGTGAGCTCCGTCCCGGACTACAAAAGGGTCGGTCATTTTCCCCGACCCTCGTTTGAAAACCGTCCCAGCAGCCCGCAGACGACCTTCGAGCAGCTGACTGAACCAACCCCTTGAATATCCCCTGAGGTTATTGGCCTCAAGAAGTCGCGTCCACGCAGTTAGGAAGAAAGCTGGTGACGTGTATTATAACGAGCTGTCGCTGGTGAGTAAGCTAATCAAGCTTCAAAATTCAAAAGAAAGAACTTAAGCCAAGAGAGAAGTGTTTAGAAATTAAATATTGCGAAGCCACGATTGGTGTTTTGTTGTGTTTATTGTATTTTAAAAAGAAGTTGTGTGTATTTTTTATTTTATTTTGAGCTCAACTAAATTCAACTCTTTTATTAACAAATTCTTTTCCTTCCTTTTTCACCATTAAGCTTCTGTGTTATAATTGTACATAGTTTTTTTTCTTTTATGTCGCAACGTAATTGCTTCTAAGCGCCAAAGCAGGCATTCTAAAAATTCCAGAGCTATCCGAGCACATCGAGTTATACAAAGGAAGAGAAGTGTACAAATGTCCCACCTTTTTTTTTCATTTCAACAATTTAATAAAGTTCTCAGGAATTGAAATGAAGAACAAAGAAAACAATATATTATGTACAAAAGAGAACACACTGCTTACAAGGATATTAAATAATTTATTTCAAATTTATAAATTTATTATAAAAAAATCTATTTATTTTTCGCAAGTGGGGCCAGCAAAACTTCTTAGTTCCACATTTCTTCGGCGGAACGTGATCTTATATGGACAAAACCACGCATTTCTCGTGAACACAATTAGCACATGCTCAGCCCCATGTCTTTGACCTCGTCTTCCGTACAAATTGCAGGACCAATCAGTTTATGTTGGTAGGTTCTCTTTCTTTTAGCTTGTGTACTTTCAGGATTTCTTTGTTTATTTTTCGGTTTGTGGTCTTGACTATCATTTCCTTTGCGTTGACTGGAAATAATTATTTCAAGTGCACCCCACGCGAGTTTTTGGCTAGTTTTCCCATATCACTCCAACTGCACGCTAGCCACCACTATCACAGAGCCTCCACCATCTTGAACAGACCCGTGTTGACATGCAGGGTCGATGTATTCATGAGGTTGTCGCCATACTCGTACACTCCATCCTCTCAAAACAATGTGAAACGAGACTCGTCAGACCAGGCAACGTGTTTCCAGCCATTAACAGTCCAAAGTCGACGTTGATGGGCCCAGGCGAGGCGTAAAGCTTTGTGTCGTGCAGTCATCGAGAGTGGACGAGTGGGCCTTCGCCTCCAAAACCCCATATCGATAATGTCTCGTTGAAAGGTTCGCACGCTTGTTGATGGCCCAATATTGAAATCTGCAGCAATTTTCGCAAGGATTGCACTTCTGTCACGTGTAATGATTCCCCTCAGTCGTCGTCGGTCCCGTTCTTGCACGATCTTTTACCCGCTGCAGCGATGCTGGTGATTTTATGTTTTGCCGAATTCCCGATATTCACGGTACACTCATGAAATGGCCGTACGGTAAAATCAAAATTTCATCGTGACCTCGAAGATGGCCCATCTCTCTTGCGTCGACAATAACACCACTCACCGACAAACTCACTTAAGTCATTGCCGGCGATAACGTACTAGTAGAGACGACTTTTAGCTTATCAAAGATGCAGCAATATGAAAGAAAACAAAAATCGTGAAACATTCCGAAAAATAGACCCAAGGGTCATTAAGAAAACCAATAAGTAAGGCGACGAAAAGAATAGCAGAAGGGTTAGTCTACAGGAGAGAATCATATTCTGCAGTGTAGTGCAGTAGTTCCTCATAATTGCCATGATTAAGTGAAAATCTAGATTCGTCATGTCCCCGAATGCTAGTTCCTGCTTACGTAGGAAACATACGGCGTTCATGAACCTTTTGAGAAGCTCGCGATTTTGTTGTACTTTCTTATTGTGGAGAGATATTTATTTGAAGATGTTGGTCCAATTGCGTTTCAGTGCGAGCATGCCCGAATGACGCCAAAAGACACGAAACTGATGTGTCGAATTGACAGTTCGCGCGAAGTTGCTGCTCTTGTGAAACTTTCCAAACTTTTGTATCCCAATTTTGTTCATGGGGTATTCTGATCTTGACCAAAGAGTAAACAAGACCAACAAAACAAATAGTTCAGTTTTTAACTGCCAGCTAGCCACTTATATTTTTCGTAGGCAGAGCAAATGAAACGTCTCGTGTTTTTTATCTGCTGTAATTGTGCTAAGGCTGGTGTTGCTTTACCATTTTCAATTACCTGCTTCTTCTCGTGGAACTGCCTCGTTGATAATGGTCTCCTCAAAATATCAATTATACATTCACTGGAAAACATAGTACACAGAATTATTCCTGGGGGATTACTACGTGTCACTACGCTGCGTAGTTACTACGAATCTTCACGAAATTACGAGAAAACAGACAATACGTTACAAACTGTACAATAGATCACCTTTACGTCGCGCACAGTGATTCTCTAAAAAGAGTAAACTGTGCTACTCAAAAAGTCGGGGATTTCAGGGTTTTGATCACGTGTGTCAGAACTAACGTCCTCAGAAAAATTGATAAAATCTCTACTGAACATTTTTGTTCAATCATTATAGAGACAAATATCTGACGTATAATAATTTTAGTTAAATTATTAATTTTTTAATTAAATTTAAGTTAAAACCTTCTCGACAATCAGTATGGTAATTTATACTAATAAAACATGGCATTAAAAAAATTGCATTGTGGTAGCACTGGCTGTAATGTGAGATGCTTGGTTTGCTCTCATCTTCTCTCTAGTGGGGTCTACTGCAATCACGTTCGTGGGGCAGTGAGAGCGAGTCCAGGCCTGGCGATAAATGAGAGCGAGAGGGAGAAACGTCATCCAAAACCCAGCTAGCTTGCCAGTGCATTATCGGCAGCGCCCCTCTCCCTTCGCGTGTCTACGGACCAGTGAAGTAGTTGCGCGCGCAGCGTCTTTTCCAATGAAGATGTTAGAGGCCCGAGGTCCCTCATAGCGCTCTTGGGGCAGACCAATGGGCTGGCGCAAAGTTCAGAGAAGAATAAACAATGAGTGCAATACTATTGATCACTTGACATATTGGATTAATGCCTTATTTTACATGACGAGACTCCGGCCATCAGGCCCGCTCTTCCGTCTGACTACGCAAATTTCGCTACGCTCCTTTCACCAACTAGCAGAGGAATGAGGAATTTCTTGGCCGACATTTTCTGAAACCGATCTAAGGAGTATGGTACGTCAAACCCTGCGTTAGCATCAGCTCCGAGATCGACTTCCCGGCTGAAAAAAATACTTTCTTAAGCATGTCAGGACTCTGTTTATTAATTAGTAACATATGCTTCCTAGAAAAACAAAAAATCTGAGTATTTTTTAAAGCTCATTTTTGTACAAAGCTCTACCCTCTAGTATTCGGTTGCGAAAGAAAACCGGTATTGTAATATGCGAAACAGAACCGGAAAATGTATATTCTCAGAGCTGCAAAACCTTGCATTCCAAAAAGCGAGATCGCTGGTCACTTTGGCAAAGTACGGGAACAAGGAGGGGGGTGAGAAACGGTTAGACGGACACGGTGAGGCCAGGGGTACGCGTCGAGCTGCCGGAGATTGGAGTGAAGTGACGTGTTGGTGAAAGTGATACCGATGTTTTGCGACTTAGTGGGATTGTAAAGCATCCATTCAAATCTGATAGCAAAGGTGTACGTGAAAACGTTTTCTAATGGTTGGACAGTGGAGGAACGTGCAAATAATCACTGCGTACGGTGACTGCCATTAAGACCGACGGGCTGTCAGCCGTCGGGCCGGCAACTTCTGAGAGACATTTCAGGTGCCGACGTCGAGGCCAAAGCAGCTCGCGGGGTCGCGGGCGATTTTCGCGGCCATTGGCAGCGGAGCTGGGCTTTCGACCACGGGCGGTCGACGAGGGCGACAGGAACTTCCAAGGGCGCCACCATTGAAGGCGACGCCGCAGCAAAGGAAGTTGTCAACCAACGCCACTAACTATAAGTACCAGATGTAGATTTTTTTTATCTCGTTCTCTGAATCATTTTTCGCACATGAACGAAGTGTCGACACGATGTGATATTAACGTGAATTTTGTGGAGTACAACGGTAAAATGAGCGTAGTTAATCTGGAGAATGTAAGGGTTAGGTTGTATCTGAATTCTTGTAGTGATTTATATTATTTTCTTCGGTGAACATTATTTTTGGTTTGGAGGATACATGCCACGGCGAAAATTAGTGTAAACAGAATTTTGTTATATTTACTTGGGATAAAATCATGAGTGAGTGAGGAGCCAGAACTCATAATTAAAATAATAAACGGGATTAGGAAGAGACCAGCAACGAATCGAAAATTCAGATTCATATTGGGGCGTACAAAACACATTTTTCCAATGAAGCTATTTCCTGCGTCCATTATGGTGGAAAAGTGTAGTGATTGAAGCATTTTACAATTACTGTGTCATGAGCAGGGCTCGGATTCTGACATATTATCTTTTCATTAGTACATTCTAGACGTAGCTAACTTGTAAATTAATATTTATTATGACTAGGTGATAGAAATGTATAATTATTGGTTGATATTTTGCCATTTTTCAATTTTTGGATCGTTACTTCATTTTTTCCCTATCCATGTTTTTTTGTTCATGAATATTTCACGAATTTACAGTGACTAACTAAAATAAGTTTTTATTGTATCACCATTTATGACGAAATTCACTAATGCAATGGACTCTGCTTTTCGAACTCTGAAAATTACACACGGATCTACGGTGATTTCCTTGACCTTTCAAAACCGACGGTTGGAAGATCGGAGCAAGGGATTACATTTCCTCACAAGATGAAGACTTTATATTAAATGTAGTATTTTATAAATTTATTTGATTTAAAATTGTAAAGTTCATTGAATATGTAAATATTCAATGAATATTTACATACACATTTTTTGCAATTAAAAATGTAGCCATTTCCCCCTTATTTGAAAGATTTGAGGTAATTTCCTTCTAATTTTTAAGGGTCATTTTTAAAGGATTTTTTATGGATCATCAGAATGCGAGCCGTGATATTTCCTATTGCTTAATCTTATTGGACTGATTTGTTCGTACAAAATGAAAGAATACTGTGAAGTTCCTTTGGAAATTCCCGCAAAAGCTAACAAAACGACGGTCAATGGTTTCCACGAAAATCACGAGAAATACGGTGATGGAAAAAATTATTGCAAGACCTTCCTCTCATCAAGTTTTCACCTGAAACCTTTGAATATTTTTTAAAATTCTCTCTATTTTGCTCCCATAATGAATTCAAATATTAGTTCATGAATTGTATTATTTTTTTATAACTTTAAATTATTGTAATACTGTTTTATGTATTTTAACTCTACATAAAAGTAGGGTGTTAATGCAAAAATAAATAATATGTTTGAAAGTTGAAAAGAAGACTCAAAATGAAATTTATTGCAACAAAATACTGTTCTTTATGGCAGTTTTTGTAACTACAAACACTCGACTGTATCAGAAAAATCCAGAAACCATTAATATTATGAAGTTGGTCCGCCACATGCTTTGATTACTGCGTGGCATCGTTTAACCATCGATATAATTTAATTATTAATAAATTCCTTGCTCAATTCATGAAATCACACACGCACAAGAATCTCGAGTAGTTCAATTTTATTTAGGTTTTTTGTTATAGCATTCCCCATAACCATCCAACATTTTTTAATGGTATTGAGATAAGGACTATTACCAGGCCAATCTAATACCTGGACCCCATTTTTTTCAGGAAAGACTTTACCTAAAATTTAAAAATATACTAATCGCTTGTATTAACTTCTACTCCATACACTCTGCAAATAGCATTCATATGACTTACCTTTAAAGCTCTGTGGACAGGAGAGTCGTCTTGAAAATGCAACATGAAGCATCATTAAAGTGGTCTCTAATAGCTCGCATCAGCTTTCTTTCAAGAATATTTTTGTTGGTATCTCCAGTAACAAAGCTTTTTATGAAGTCGAGGCGACCAACCCCATGGCTAGAAATGCATCTGATCATTTGTCCTTGCGTATGTTTCACATTTTGCGTAATACACGAAGACAAAAATTATTCGGCGCTTCTGCGGCGAACAAACCGTTTCCACTGGAGCCATGCAAATTAAATTTCGACTCATCGGGAAAGAGAAATTTATTCGACATCTCTGGATACCATGTCACATGTGCTTTTGTACTGTAGCCTCTTTAGTCGCATTGATTTCAACAGTTCAGTCTGGGCGTCGGGCAGGAAGCCCTGCCCAATGAGTCTACTCCAAACAGTTCTACTAGCCTAGTACTTACTAGTACTTCATTACCAGGGCCCAGTAATAAGATTTTTTTGCCAAAAAAATGCGCCGTTTTCCGTGGCACGATTGCATAACTGTCTCTTACAAAGTACCTTCGTAAGGGCGAGAAAGTAAAAACGGAGGGCTTTACTTAAATATGAGAAAAGATCTGTTACAGAGACGTCTGGTTCAACGTTGGGCTGAAATTCATCAAAGACTACTGGTCCTTCAAACCCACAACCAGCTAAAAAAGTACAGGAACTTGACCCGGTTGATCTGGTACCTGTTAGAAATGTTAATATAGTTTCTGAACATCAACATCCAGTCTCGATCAATTCCAACATCTACTTAATTGAAGTCCGCATCTGTGTCTACACGTGGTCCTCAATTCGCTAATACCTTAATCTTGTTGATCGTCAAGGTATAATCATAAGTTCTAGATATGTTATAGCAATATACGTGTAAGAATTGTAATATGTGATTATATGGTAAGACATGTTATACGACTCTTATTTGCAGCCTGTACAACACAATAATGATAGAAAAATTCTTTAGAATTACTGTATATTTTAGTCTTTACCTAAAAATTCCGAATCGGGGCTTGATTTCTGGCGGGACGCGACAGAACGGCGCGGCGTTCCGGAACAAACTAGGGGAATTAAAAAACAAAAAGAAAAGGACAAACATTTGGTAATCTCGATTTTTATTTCGAAATTTCTTTTCACACTCAAAAGTAAATATTTTTCCATTCAAATTGCTTTTTTAAACAAAAGTAATAAAAAATGATAAAATGTTTTTTTAAATTTATTATTGTTATTACATTCAGAAAGACCCAGTGCTACTATTGTAATTAAGTATGATTTATAATTATTAAATTAATTATACATATAAAACAATTTCTATTAAATTAATAATTAATTTGGAATGTGTTCTGGGACATAAAATTGTATAAATCAAGTGATTACAATCATTGTTTGAACTATCTGCAGAATCATCATCCAATTGGATTACTGTACTAAGAATTCTTGAGAAAAAATGGATGAAATCAATGAGAAATTAAAATCTTAAAGAAGAAAGCGAAGGAGAAATTTAGTTAAAAATTTCAATCAACTTAAAAAACACTAAAAGCAAAATAAAATGATTAACACCTAGTGTTGACCAGATCAATTAAATAAAATGTGTTTGATATTTACACTCCTTAAATACATGTTTTTTTTTTTCCCCCAGACAGCTTAAAAATCTATTACTTATTATTTAAAAAATAGTTGGTCTTCCAGTCTTTAGTCCCATTGTTGCTGAGACTAGTGTCAATATTCTTTCTGCTAAATACAAGCATTTTACTTTGCATCTGATATCACCAAATATGCATGGTATCCCATATTTCTCTGTAAATTTGGAAATATCATCATAATCTATTCTCTGTTCACAGGATGGTACATCAACAACACTTAGGAGGCATACTCGATGCAGGTGTACTTGTTTTTTGAGTTTTTTAAGAGCAGATCTTATCTGAAACAAATAAAAACCACTTTTGTAAGGAGCAACTTGCTCAAGATTTCCTGCTTTTAAAGAAACACACCATTTCTAAGCAGAATCAGTATAGAATAATCCTTCCATTAACATTCTACCAAGCATAAAGTTTACTTTTTTTGGAAAAGCCCCACCATTAAGCCTATTAAGATAACTGACCTAACCTATTAAGATAATTTCTACGATACTTAGGTGGTAGTGATAATTTCTACAATACTTAGGTATAATAAATGTATCACAAACTGAAAATATTCTGGAAAGTTTGTTAATTAAGGTAATATCAATATCTAGGTCATTAGTGGCCACTATTGCATTTAATGGTATGGTAACTGTGAAGATGACATTTTAATAGTGATAATAGGGTGTGAAAGGACGAATACAAATACAACCATGCCCGAGGCGGGACTTGAACCCTTGATCGCTATAACACTACTGCCTCAACAATCTCAGCCATTCTGACCAGCCTCTGCGAAGTTTGCCATTTTCTCACACTTCACTGAACTTGCAAAATAGGCACACAAAAAAGGCATTTATTCTGGCTGAAGAAGTGGTGGTTAAAGCACATGAAATGTTGCATAATCACCATTTAAAAATTATTGTAAAATATTAACAATTAAAATAATTCACATGGTATTTTGAACTTCATTTGAATCTTGAAATGGTATCAGTGAAAACAGAATTATAGATTGTGTTCTTTGCAGTTGTGTATTGCCTGAAGGGAAGAGAGAACAAAAAGGAATTGAGAAGGGTATATCATATACAGACATCTGTCCTCAAGAGGGATCAGAGGCCATACACAAACTAGGGAGATTTCTTGTGAGCAAACAACTGTCAGCATCAATGAAAAACAAATAATCTTCACTGGTATATTTTGGAATTCCTTGAAAGCTAGATGATTTAGCGAAAACAGCAGCACATTACATTTCCAGTAAAGTCATTTTCATAACTTCCAAAAGTTTGAATCTTCTTAACTGTGCTTGAATATTTTAAATTAATTTTCAAATGTCCTTCTCAAAGGGGCTCATGGCCTCAAATGCGCTTACCACTGTTAGAAAGATTAATTTTATAAGGCAGGAGGTGTAACAATGACCTAATGTCATTGGCTACTATAGAAAGATCATAGTATATATATGGGGTCAAGATGGAGGGAGAGGCTAATATAAAGAAATTGGTAGTTGGTCTGCACCGAAGTTGATGTTATCTGCAGTTAAGGTCTAATTGTTTTCTTACTTTTGATTTTTTTTATTATTTCATTTTATTTATTACAGGTAATTGCCCAATTACAAAATAATTGAAAATACAAATTACAAACTTATTTTTGTAAAATTATTTTTACATCTACTAAATTTGATAACTGTTAGATGTTTAATATTCTTTTAGAATTTATAGTTGCGAGAAAATAAATCTCCTTTTTCAAAATCTATGATCCTTCACATTTTCAACAATGGTGCTTTCAACCAAGGTGTCACGCTGATGAAGAACCCTGAATTGAACATAATCAGTAGAACATAGGAGTTGCTCATGGAGTTTTTTAATATGAACGTTCAGAACAGATATTAAAATTCACCAAATTAAACATTTTCAAACTAGCAGCCACTGCATTATAATTGAGGAGAATGAAATCCAATTTTATTGACCACAAAAATAAATAGAAATTGTGCAGTACATTCTCCAGTCTTGACATGTGGGTTTAATAAATATGTGACTAGTTTTGAGATCCATACTGCAAAACAGGCATCACCATGTATAAAATTTTAATAGTTACAATGTTATTAAATTTGCCGTGCAAATGTCTCAAAAACTCCATTTTATTTGTTTTATAACAAACAATAGGTATACTAATAATAGTGAATTCAACAACATGTAACAGACATCACTACCACAAAAAGTAGTGTATTGACAGATACATTTTTACAGGATCTTCAGAATTGTCGCAGTATCCTTGCAAGTTTGGTAAAAATTAATACAATGCAAATGCATAAAGTAATTCATTTAAATGAAATGTTGATAGACACACCAATTATTTTTTGTCTGACGCCAAGAGCAGATTGGTTCCTAATATACTCCACCAGAAGCCAGAAACTGCAGCAGAATTGGTACCTAATAGATGCACTAAAGACCAGTAGCAGTGTGTAAGATAAAATTTTTTTTATCAAATAGCAATGAACTGTAAAATAAAATTATTAGTAATTTTTGTATTATAGTAGAAATAATAGTATTTTATTGACCTTTGAACCTATTTCATTAAGAAATATTATCGTAAATACTGTGGTTATGTGTAAAAGATCTTTTACCTCTTTCACTAGGATTGGATGTTCAGGAAGCATGGGCAATGCCAGATATTTTGCTAGTGTTGAATAAATCTTATTTTACTGTCAAACATTAATCCCTGAATCCAAAGCCAAGGAACTGCTTCCAGGACATCACTTCCCACTTTATAACCAATAGATATTGGTTTTTTTCACAATGTATAAGACAGTTTAACTTTTACCAAAATCCAATCACAAACCCAAGGATTGATACCAATATAATAACTAATCAAGATCAAATTGAAGAAAAAGTCATTTAAATTAATGATAGTTCATTACATTAAACATTTTCAGATCAACCACAAACAATAAGAAGAGAGAAGATAGATAACTTTTTTATTATTGACAAAAAGTATAAATAGCAATAGTGGCCCCAGGCGTGAATCTTGAGAAACACCTCACGTAACGTAAATATTTCTCAAAATGAAGATTTGTATTTCACATTCTGCCATCTATCCTACAAATAACTATGAAAACATTTCAAGAGAGCACCGTTGGTAACTATTTTCTCTGAAACGCCAAACAGGTAAAAGTAGCGAAGGAATGTTGCAAAACTTATTTTCATATACCAGATAGAGGTTCCTCCTGCAATAATTTCACATGAGACAATGAAAAATCAAAGTAATATTCACTATACATTTATCAAAAACAGTGAATGAATCTCATCAGGATCTGAGACTTATTAACTTTCAACTTATTAATGGCAACAAAAACATTAATTTGGGTTATTTTCATACTGTCAATATCAACCAACTGATCATCCAATTACATTTTCTGAATAGTTTTATAAGTTGCAGATCCCAACACATACTTTTTGAGTATGGTTGGGATCAATTTTCCAGAGGTTTCTATCAATTTCTTGGCTTTCAACCACTTCCCCCTTCCCTACACTACGCAAGTAATATGCGTGAAAGTATTGTAAAGCAAATAATAGTAATTTTTAACATAAAATCGTGTATTTTGATCCCTGATACCAATAAGGTGGATAATTCTTGTTCCAATACTAAGCAAAATACATTGTGTAGTTAAAATTCATGTTTTGTGAATCCTTGTTTCTGAAAACTTGTTTTACAGCAGAATATCTGTCTGTCTGGGCATGAACAACATTAGAAGCTAAACCTTTGACAAAATTTTCATCAACATTTTTCCCTGATCGATCTGGTTGATGTCATGGCCCCCTGCATTTGAAATGGATATTATGATTTTGGGAGTCCACTTAACATGAAACTCCAATGACTTTTTCAAAGTTTCCTCAAAAAAAAAGGCACCTAATTTTTTTCGTTGAATTTAGCAAAGTGTACTTATAAAATATTCCAGATGAAATTTTTGTGAAATTCTCTGAATTTTCAAAAACTCTGCTATTTTTTTTCATTTTTCTTCTTTTGTTCTGCCAGAAAAAAATGAGGCTTGTGTTTCCCTTATATAGTTTTAGCCATTTGATTTTTATTTACATAGATTTTTTTCTTCTGAAACAAATCAAATTCACATTTTGTTTCTTCTCTTCAATTATTGACTGTGTATTGAAGTGTTTCTGTTCTGGAAACCTCTAACCATAATTCATGAAAACTGAATACCAAACTAAGCTTTTCGTGCTAACAATGGTGCTTCTAATCAGTTGGAAAAAGAGTCCTTTACTTGGTTTCATATTACCAACAATTGCCGCAACTGAGAAAGTACTATGCTAATGTTTTGGAAAAGGTGTATATAAAAGCCTAACTGAAGCCTCTAAGCTAAATTCAAAATGCCTGTATCATCACCCAAGAAATACCTCTTTTCTCTGCTACTTGATGAAAGCAGCATATTGAAATTTGAATGGTCTGACGGAAGAGCAGGCCTCATCACCCGAGTCTTGCCACGTAAAATAAGGAATCAATTCAATTCAACGTCATTTTTGCATTTAAAATGCATCTCAAACCTTATAGACTTAGTGGTGCATTTCAGGGTTTATATGATTATTCCACATGCATACAATTTACCATATACAGTAGAACCCTGGCCTGTTAATAGAGGAGTGGGCAACAAACTCTCTTGCTGGCAAGTGAATTTGAGAACAATTTTGAAAACCCATTGGGAAGAGCGATTTATTTTCTGTAAAACCAATGTTCATTTACTATGCGAAACAACATTATTTTTTCTACACTAGTCTTATCCTGGGTTAATAAGATTTTACTGTAAATAAGGTATTTTTTTTTCTTTTTAAACAAAAACATTGAGAAAATAGACAATACATTACAAGATAGTTTGAAAATAAAAGTTATTTAGCTAAAGGGTAAATGAGAGGTGATATTTCAAAGAAATCCTTCTAAAATTAGTTTCATAGAAATTCTATTAGTTATATTTCTTGAATTTTTGGTTAATGTTTAGTAGACAGTACACCCTTAGAGAAGCATGGCGTTGGGGCTTAAGCCCTAGTTACTGTTCGCCCTTCATGTTTTGTCCCCGCCGCATTGAAACGCCAATTTACTTTCATAGGCAAGTTTTCTCACTTCGCTCGCCCGGATACAAATCAGGGCCTTCGGCCCTCGCGCGTTCACTATAAACATCCTTGAGTCTATCCAACACATAATTACCAATTCACTTTTCAATAAAGCCTCCAGAATTCTAACTCCCTAGTTAACATCAGAATGGCGCAAAGTGCCGGTTAAACTTTGTTAGGTTGTACCATATACTACATTTCAACCAAATATTTTAATAAAAAATATTATGCAGATCTGTTGAGATTAACCACTCAGATCCCAATTAAAAATTTGAAGTCACAAGATCAATTGTAAATATTGGCTATTTAAATAAATTATGTAAAACTGAAATGTTTTTTTATCAGAGATTTATAAATAAAGTAACTAACTGTTTTGTGGCACCTGCAAATTTGATTTCATTAGTTACAGCCTAATTTTTAAATAGTCCTCTGATTTTAGAAATTTCAATATGTAACACTTCATCTGAGGTTTCTTAACACTCACTTTGTGTATGTTTTTTTTTTGTCAAAAACCTTCCAAACAACAAAGGTATATTACTTTGCTGTCAGTGCACTCAAACTATGATTCTAGCAAGTGTTGCTCCATAAACATATAATTAGAGATTGCCCCAATGATTCTGTATATCACATAATGACAATGTTTTTATGAAAAAATAATAAATGTGTGTCGATAAACTACCTTGTGGATGTCAAGCAATAAAGAGTGTAGTTCCATCCACACCACTCACCTCATTATTAATTTCAAACATCCGCATATCAAATGTCAAAACAACAAAATCATGGTAAACAGCCGCCTTTTCGGAACTCAAAACATCGGTAATCACTTCACACAGGTCGATTTTCATGTCACCTTTAATGTTCATCTTCCGTTTTTGCCACTGCAATGAATGCTGCAATTCCCTTAGTTCTGGACTTTTACCAACCACCTTAAACAAAGGAGATTATAACAATGAATTCTAAACACACACGTTAAAGAAACATTTATTCTGAGAACAGACCAATATAGATAAGTTCAGGATACGACTGGAAAGCATCATTCAGGCGTTTTCTTATTTTATCGCAAACTGTACATAATTTTCAAACATCATCACCAAGAACACGATCGCTTAAATTCATAAATTTCCAGTTTCTACCCACTTATCTCTCCAAACCAATCCCATTGCGACTTCGCGATAGTGATATTTCGACTTGTTATACTCGATCTCTTTCATCTGCCTCGTTTTACTACATAATGAAATAACTTCCACACATAACTAGAAGTTTAAAATACGTACACAACTATAAAAAGAACTTGTCTAAAATAATAACTAAATTCCTTAAACATGAAACGTCGTTTTAAGAACAGCGATGATAGGTTTCTAAATATGCTATATAAGTAGTCTAACTAGCTGAATCTCGTCAACTAGGATATATAAAAACAGAAAAGCCTTTAGATGATAGTGAATAATATTAATTGGGAAAGGACAGTATTTGCCAAAGTATCATATCTATGAATCAAATATATCTGGAAATGTCGCCGTCCAATCACCTGGTTTTGTTGCGTCATTGTGATTCATCCAATCAGATGATTTCTGAACTGTTCTTTTGCTCTGAACGCACCGCGCCATGTTGAGAAGGAAATTAACAAAGCTGCAAGAAGGAAGGAGAACATCGGTTCGGCGTGTTTTAACACCTTTCCACCACCCGGAACGTCATGGCTGACCCGGAGAAACAGCCTGAACAACCAAAGGCTGCACAGCAAAAGCAAGTCATCGGTATGTTGAGGAATGTTCATTGTTAAGAATTTTAAAGCTTAAATGTATACTGCGGAGCTACCCGGCCACACGCCTCCATCTTTCGTCGAGAATGGTTGTGCATGTGGCTACTTACCTTCTATAAAATTGCATACATAGTATTCGAAGTTAGTTTAGAAACTAAGTAAATCGCTGTCTGTATATGCTGATGTCGATGATCATACTCATGACCTTTACTTCTCTAAAAATGTTGTATGATCAGGTTATTTCTATAGCAATGGTGAACCGAATTTGGTCGCGCACGTGCCACGGTCATTTGTTTTGGAGAAACTAAAAGAATTAAACGTAAATAGTTCTGATATGAATTATACGAAATGGTTCTGAGCAATAGGGCACCTTTGGGAAGGATCGTGAATTTCATTAGTAAATATTGTTTTCGCAAGTGCCATTTGCATTTCATGCACGCAACGTCAATGTCGGAACCTTTGAATTCCAACGTTTGGGCCTCAATATTGTCAAAGCCGTTGAACCGTTTTCTTTATACCTGGGTTTAAGTTAAAGATTAAGTTAAAAAAAAATAGCAAATTTCAATCGATTGCAAACTATTCGTTAACCATTCACTTCTTTGAAAGGCGCTTAATTGGCAGTTCTCAAGTAACTGGTTGTTTTAGCATGGAATGTATAGGGCCAAAATTATTAATAGATTATTTTAGTAAGGAGCTGTATGCAGTTTTGTGCCAGCTTTAGGACCTTTTTGTGACCTTTGGTGTAAAGTAAAAAGTAGTTGGGAACTGATATGGGCAATGGTTTTCTGTATTGACATTATTGTGGAAGGGCACCTGAAGTATTTTTTTTTAATGACTCCATGTAATATTCCTATTTATGTGGGTTTTATTTTGCAGCTACTAAAGTTACCGGCACTGTGAAGTGGTTTAACGTGAAAAGTGGGTATGGATTTATAAACAGGTTAGTAATTTTACTTGCAGTTCTATTAATTCCCTCTAGTTATTATGAAGTACTTATTCTTGATTAAAAGAAAATCTCCAGTTGAATCTTAAGTTTCTCAAATAACTTTCCTGCTTAATAGAATCGTGTACAAAGATATCAAATTTCATTTTGTGAACCGTCCTAATAAAACTAGTTTCAAATGTTATACTTGCAGGAGATTTTTCATTTTACAATTTAAGCATTGTACATATGAATTACTCCTTCAGTGAGCATGCGTATTAAAGAAATTCACCATGTGTTTTGTTATCAGTATTTGTTAATCTTGTGCTGTAAACTGTCCTACCATGCAAAAAGTAGTCCCTTATTATGTCTTCAAACCATTTTGTTTACTCTGTATAGAAAATGTTGGCAGTTTTCATGAAATTTGAAGTTGCAATGTGAGGTATTGTAGGAGAATTGTAAAATAAAATCTCTGCCCTAGCTTATAAAGTGATGGCTGATATGTTGGTAGGTTATGTAACCGTTATCAAAAATATGAGAAAGTTAATTGCTTTTCAAGTGCACATAGTTATTTTATTATAATTTGTATGTTTGTATTTGTAAATTATCAACAAGTGTTGGATGTATATTTTGTGATTCATATTTTCATTCAGTTTCAAATAGTTAGGCTTATTATTGAAAATGTGCAGGTAACTTCAGTGGGAGTGAATGTAATTGATACAAAAAATATTTCTATATGGCAATTTTACTAACTCTGCCCCTGGCAGGTATCAGCTGTTGAGTTTCATCCAATCAGGAGCTTGAATGCTACCATAGTGACATCACTATGGTGATGTTCAAGCTCCTGATTGGAAATTAGTCAATAGCTGATACCTCCCATGGGCAGAGTTGAAAAAATGGCAGTATAGTATTTTTTTTAGTGTTAGTATAAGAATTAATTTATTTTTTTCGTTTCAGAAACGACACCAAAGATGATGTTTTTGTTCATCAAGTAAGTTAAACAAATTTGATTTTGTCATTGTTTATTTAGATAATTAATAATACAAATCTGACAGAGTAAATATAAGCATTGCAAATTGTAAACATTTTTAGATTCTACTTTGTTAGAAAATGGTACAAAGTCCACATTTGCCCATTTATGAAGAGCATGATATTCTACATTAGTTAGCCTTTATCTACTTGATTTTGCTGGCGAAGGTGTTGCTTGTGTTGAGTTGGGTGAAATATCCAGTGACAGTAGAGTGTAATGAGGTGATGAACTTTAATGATTGAAAGGTTCATTGTTTAATTATTTTGTAGGAGGGTGGGAAGAGATTCTCACCTAAGATCCAGGTGTCTTGTGATTTGGAACTATTTAAATTCATTCTGTTCTACATGGTATTGATAAATTACAAACTTATTTGAAGGACCTTTGGTTATAGTATTTCTATATTTTAAGATAAGTGAGGGACACATTGAATTTCCAGAGCGAGAAAATTGGGTGGACTAATGTAATGAAGTTTAAACACCAGCAGTCTTTCTTTGGCTCTGAGAACTAGTGAACACATGGGTGTTCCTGAACACAAACTATCACTAAGCGGAGTGAATTTCCTTTCAGATAAAATGTTTTCATAAGTAATCGTAATCATCCATTCAGATTTATGAAGCTTTGACTTATGAATTGAGCATAAGACAAAGTGGGATAGCTAAGGCTTGAACCTATTCTTGTCTTCTGTTGCACCAGTGAAGATGTTTAGTCGGTGACACAGGTTGCTAGAGGTTGTCAAAACTCTTACCTAATTGGGTGAGTGTTCGCTGTTACTGTGGAAGCTGTAAAAGTGTAGTGTTCGAAGTAGGATCTACTGAAGTGCAGAAAAAATTGGTTTGGAGGGTTGCTGCCACTCCCCCCCCCCCACACACACACACACACACAAATTACAAGTGACACAATTCTACAAACAAAATACATGAAAATTTTAATCTTGCCTCGCTTCTCCAGATTGTACAAAATTATTAAACATTTTCATTTCCCTTTGTTTCTGAGTTGAAATAAATAAAACTATTTTCTATAAATTTTTATATTAGATATTTGAATGTTTAATATGTACATTTTTATGTACCTAAGAATAAAATGAAAAAAATCTTGTAAAACAAGATCGAAAAATAGGAAACAAGTTTGTGCATCATATCTGCCTAGAGTGATGGAATTTGTTTTTCTTCCCCTTGATCTTTTGGTAAATGAATTTTTATATACTATTTAGCTGTCTGTGGCAGTGTTTCTGTGAAAATTACACAATGGCATACAAAATAATTGAATTATTTAAAAAATTCTAGAAGTGCCAATTTGTGTATTTTCAGAAAGGGTACACAAACACACACACAGATATTTTCCAAAGTATTGTGTTGGCAGTTTTCAAAACATGTGCATTAAAATGTGTGGTTTTCTAAACGCTCTGCACTAAGAACTCTGAAATTAAGTTGTATTTGTTTAATAAAAATAATTTTCTGATCTTATGGGTTTTTTGCAATAAACAATTTTCTTTATTTAGGATTATATAATACACAATTTCAACAGGATATTAGCTTTTGGGGAATCATGAATTTAAGGATTTAGGAATATTGAAACTTAGTTTAATTTTGAAAACTAGATGAAAAGTACTAGGCATAGAAGTTCTTATATTGAGATATTTGAATTATTCTGGCTGAATATAAAGTTCTTGATATCTTGTGGGGTCACTCAAACAGAACATTGTAAAAAACCTGTGGTATATTCTTAATATTTTTAGATCACAATTTTCTTCCTGTTGATCAGGATCTACAAAATTAATCCATAGCAGTAGAAAGCTACTCACAAGTGGAGTCTTTTAACACTTGGCCTGGTCATTATTGCATCATTTTTTGCTTGTATTTAGCAGTGTTGCTGGAAATGTTCATATGTAATATAAAACTTTGATGTAGAATTCCTTCTGTACAGTACTAAAGAAATAAGGAATGTAAACTATAATTGTTACCTTTCCGGACTGATATGCTTTTGTTGTTGGAAGGGCAGGATCTGAATTAGTCTTTTTTGAAGCTAAGCGTTGAAGATTTTAATCCATTGAACACGATATCACTTTTCCAAGAGCTCCACTTTTGAGAGTCAATCAAGAATTGCTTGAAAATAGGTATTTTGAACTGATCTTGTTCTTTTGGGTATCTCTGCCAGAAGGTCATATTAAGTTACTCATTTTTTTGTAAGAATGTTGCCACAATGTTTTGCAAGAAAATTTTCAGTTTTTACTTCATGAATGGAGAGACGTCCAGTTTCGCTTCCTTTTAGCATAAGACTTGTGTATTGTTCTGCTGGGTATATTGCCAACTCTTCCTAATAGGTGTTTGATAGAACCAAAATTCTGGTCACGTGGGGAATACGAACGGCCTCTCTTTGGAAAGTTGTAAGTTATTGTTTGGAACTGATGTTGCAGAGATTCATAAGAAATCATCACACTATATAATTCTTTTTCTAATCTAACAGGCCATCACTGAAGAGAAGAATGCTTCAGAAAGAACTGATTTTAGTGACTAAATTTTTGAGCTCTAATGAATAATTCAGCAATGGCATTTCTTTTAGCATGTTCACATAATCCAGGAATTTTTTGTTTACTCTTATAGCTCTTCAATTTGCAACATACAACCATTTGAGGCCACCCAAAAGAAAAATAGAAATTTTCCTTAAAATATACATTAGTTGTAATGCACAATGCATTGCAGATCATGATTTTCTTTCACAAAACAGCTTGTGCATTTTTTCAATGTGCTAACAGCAAGGTATTGTTCCCCTAGTAGTTTCTTTAATGTCAAATTTGCTAATGTTGGATCCTGGCACAAATGTCCAGGCAATGCTTTGGTCTTCTTTTCTTACTTTTGTCATCAGGTATTGGACCTTTCAGAAGCAAGTTTCACATCGGTCCTACTTTATCCAGGGTAATCAAATGTGTTTTATATTTTTATATATAATATGATAAAAATATAAAATTTGCTTCTTAGATGTAGTATTCGCTGAATTGTTTGAGGGGCTTTGGGAATGTATTTTCTTATCAGTATTACCCTACTGTTATTACACCTGTGTTTTATTCCGTCGGTTGACAGTTTTGGCTTCAGTAACAGTTTGGTGATTAGTATTTTGAGTATTTTCAGTTTCTGTAAAATAAAATCCTTTCCAAATTTGTTCTATGGTTTCATCGTTTCAAATTAAATCTAATTTTTTTTGGACATGTACAATCAGCAGCACTAGGGAAGATTTCTCTTCTGCCTTTCTTTTTGGGTGGAATATATGCACCACTTAAGTCTTGCAGTTAAGTGGAGTTAAGATTACATTTTTTATGGGTCACTCCTAGTTTTCTCTTAATCGTTGGTTCATCATCTGAGTGTTGCAAAGCAAACATTGCAAAGCAAAGCATACTGATGCACAACAGCAAACAATCGCTTTTAAGAAAGCGATGATCTATGCTGAAGAATGAGAATGTACAGTGTGCATTGCTAAACGCTCATAAGCATTGGCATGTGTATAGTTTCTGAACTAAAAGTTTTATCCACAACTTGGTTTAGCCTGTTTCAGAGAACTACTCTTGTGATTTCTGCACTAAACAGCGAACTGTTTAAGCTTCCAGAACACTATTTTACTGGAGTGTTTCAAAATGTGGTGCCAAATTTCTCAATAAAAATTCCTATTTAGGCAGTTGTTTTAGTCTCCTTTTATATTCTTAAAGTAATAATTCGGTTCTATTCGGAAACCAAAAAATTGAGGAGAATAATGCCCTTTGGGCGGTGATAGATGGCAGCTGGCACAAGGATGGGGCCCCAGACCAAAGAAAATGCAAAATAATTTGAGAATGTCGGTACCATTGTGTAGCACCACAAGTTCTTTCATACAACATAGTGATAATTACAATAAAAAAATTGTGACCTACAATATTATTGATAATATAAATTAAAAAAAGCATGAGAATCAAAACAAAAATTTGGAAGCAGTGAGGTTCATGCTTTCCTCACAGCATTTTCTCACAACTGGCTCAAACTATACCTCAACCAAGTCTTGATCTTAAAAATATCAACATATATAAGAATAATATAAACACTCCTAAGGATCCAGTTAAAGATGTAATTTTTACCAACCGTGGTCCTACAGCATCTCGGTGAATGATGAGTATCAGTGTAAGGTACCCTGTAGGATATATAATATTGATCTCGTTAGGGATTGGCTTGAAAAAGAACATGCCATCAGGCATCATCCTTCTGTCACCCAAGGACGCCAAGTGCACCCTCTCAACAATAACACTAGTTACGATCATAGATGCTGATGGGGTTTCTACTAAGCCTATAATTTAGTTCTCAGAAGCTTGTGCCATGTCTCAAGAGTATCGGTTGGTGGTCATCACATGGATTTCAAACCATTCTGTTGTATTTGAAGATAAATTAACGGACGTATTATCAGTACAGTATCAGGATTACTGAAATGCCTAAGTTCCTCAATACATCCCCTTTTTCTCTTAGCCTGATTTGAGATTTTCAGATTTCAGTAGGAGTAGTATAAAACCTTCCCTTAGTTAATTGACCTTCATAGTAGTGATGTCAAACCACTCTTGCAGTTGGTTATACTGGATGTTGGATCTCCCCAATGAGTTACGTGATCCCAGAACACATTTTGCTGCATTGAAAAGCATGTTACAATGGCACTAGTCATTCAATGTGTTCAGGTGCTTGTAAGCAGCATCATGATTGCACACACCTCTGAATATCCTGGCATTGTTGGCATTAACAGAATCTCACAATGCTCCCAAAACCTATTTAATCGTTTTTTGAAGACATTAAAAGAGGAGACAGACCTATGTGAATCCCTGCAGTTCTCCAGATGCCATTTTAGCATGAAGGTGAATGGCCACAAACTTGAACAAACTGCTTCCTATCTTGAAGCCAAAGAAGAAAAGAACCACCAATCTTCAACAAAGAAATTTTCTCACCAGTAAATCATGGATCACTTGATTAAAGGCTTTTATTGAAGACTGTGGAAAACACATGTTGTCTTTGAATATTTTTAAAATTCCAATTGAATTTTGTTAGAACAAAATGGCATATGAATTTCATGTTCAAAGGCCATTCCATTTAAGTGGTCCAGAACTAACCCTTTAAAACCAGAATTAATTAAATTTTAGAATTTTTTTTTCCGCGTTTCATTGTATCATATACTGGCTTAGATGATAAAAAGGATTATTTAGTTTCTGTCGTTATTCACAAGTTATGGCCTGGTACGTTAATGTACCGCTAGGCTCTTACCCTGCCATTTTGTAAAACACTCATAATAATGTTCTAATATAGTTCAGAGGAATAAATGTGCTATAATATTTTCTCCTGCTAATTCATACACTTCTCGTCTGCAGTCTCGCATCCACCCACTTCCCTACTTCCGCTCTCACCCACAAGACTCTACCGCTCTCCATATAATCCTTGCCGTGGCCAAATCCTGTGCTCACTCTAGCTCTGTCTGGCTTTCCCTTCTACCTTGTTTCTGCCCTGCCATTGCAGCCACCCATGCATCGGCCTCCACCCTCATATCCACTCTCTTGTTCATTCCTCCCTCCCTGCCTTCAGCTTCATTCCATCCTGGACACTCGCTGCCATCCCTGCCTCCGTGGTTATGCCTGCAGCACCTAGCCACCGTTCCTGTTGTCCGCCCTGACTCTTGCCTTGCCATCACTTCGGCTTTAAAGGGTGAAATGAAATAATCGCTGTACCATCACAGAAAAATCTTGCTTTGTTACGAGTTCTGCTTTGGGAGTTCAAAACAGTTAGTGTCTAAAGCATGAAGTAAATGATTTTAACCCAATGGTGACTTCCAGCCCTGAGGGCCAGTGGCCAAAACGCTAATAATGCCAATCATTTGTGTATATGGTGTCAGATAAACAAAGTGTGTATTACTGTCGCGTAATCATTTTTGGGCTAATTTGTTGTACAAACTGAAAGAATATTGGGAAGTTTCATGTTTAAATTCTCGCAAAACCGAATAAAGCTATAAACAGTGGTTTCGAGTAAACTCTCGAAATATGGGAAAATTATGGTGTATTTCAGAGTTATTTGGAAAATTAGAGGGAATTGCACTGATCAAACAGTACTTTTAGGGTATTTGCCTCTATTGCCAAAAGTGTAGAGTATTTCATAGTATCAAAATATAACATTTGGAGGATGTTAACCAATGTTCCTTTTACATTTTATTACTACCATTAGTACTGCTACACAAGAAGCATGTCTTCAAAAAAAATTATGCATAACTGTGAAATGAGTTCCTGATAGCAATTTTAAATTCATGGGAACTTTCCAAAATGGCAATTTTCATATCAATTAAGTTAAATAAGGTATATAACTTTATTTTACTTCATTGAGCATTGTCATATATTTATTGAATTTTCTTGTATTAACATTAATCAAATTCATAAAATTGTATTCATGTTGGTATTAGTGTGGGTTATAGAGTACTTGAAATGCCCCATGGGCATAAAGAATTAGAAGGGGCTCAAGGGTATTAACAGTGCCACTAGGTGTTTTGTTTCAGGTCTGTAAACACAGCAATGAACTAGTAAACTGTAAAATATATTATTGAACACGATTCACAAATGGCAGCCATTTTGTTGTAAGCCAAATGCCATTTTTCGCGAATCTATTACCAAATGTCTATTTGCGGTTTTCTAATTACTCAGTGTGAGTGTGTTCTAGCTTTTTAAACTAAACTGCACTGCATTTAGTAAACCCTGGTTTGTGAATATTTGCAACCAAAACTATCAAGTGGAAATGATCAAACTTATATCTTTTTATTCTCTGAAAATCTATCTAGTAATATAAATTAATTATGGCAATATGTTAATTAAAATATTGATAGGAAAAAGAAAATCAAATTCCAAACTATAGCAAAGATTATAAATTGCAGAATACATGCATTTACAGAACTAAAAATACAGCAAAAAAAATGAAAAACGGCATTTAAGGTCTGAATGAAGGTAAAATGTGATTGACGTTTCATGGTCACGTGATGCCAGTGTTGTAACCGAGGGAACAGTGAATAAGAAGCTTCGGCATTCGCACGTAGTTACCTAATATTAGGGAACAAATGTTATGAGTAGGAATGTTATTTATCTGCAATAAAAGCAACAAAATATGCACATATATGTAGATGAGATATTTGGAAATACATGCAATACAGGAAAATGTACAAAATAGCTAATGTAATGTGCAAAATATTTACAGAAAAAAAGAAGAAAAAATAAAGAAATCATTTAAATTGTTGCAAGCAACAAACATTTAAACAAGGCTTAATTTTGAAGAACTGATTTCTTAGGAAAATAAAGGGAGATGCAATTAATGTACATTTCACAAAATAAAAATGTAGGTATTGCAACAAAAATATGCTTTCCTCTTAATTATAATAAAATTTAGAACCCAATGAAGTAACTAAAACCTAATATCTTGACTTAATCTGTTTCACTTGTAAGCCAACAATTTTTGTTTGAAAGAGAAACGTTAGTTACTTGGAAGAAAAAAGAATGGCCTGATACTGCTGATGACAGGTCTTAATGTACTTCTTGATCGACTTTGTGCGAGTCAGGTGAGTGGGAACTCTGATATGAGGCTACGGCTACGTAAGCAAATCCTAGGAAGCTCGTTACTTCATAGCAGGTCATGTGATGTACCATAGCATGTGGCAAGAAAACTGTCGGAGCTGCTTACATGCTGACAGAACTGTTGCGCATCCTTTAATGGATGAGGGGTGTATATGCAACGGATATGTAATTATGGGGATGTATGCAAAATGAAAATAGCTTTAATTTATTCTAAATGCCTCAAAACTTACACAATCTGTTGGAAGGAGATATATTAGTTAACAAGTAAAAATATGCAAATGCATAGAAGTATGAGCTAAAACATATTTGAGAGATGTATGCATGGAGAATGGAATGTGTTTGAATCCTAAAGCCATGTTGATTATGTAAACATTTGGTGATTTGCACACTCGGGAGAATCCACTTCCTAAGTTACCCATGTTAATTGGCATTTATGGCTAGTTATATCAAAGTATTGGAGATTCGTATTTGAAAGTTTTACTATATATTATCATAGTTATTATTGTTGTGCTGATGTGCATTGAAAAGAATTGTTTGGTAGGAAAATAAAATGTAGTCAGACCACAAATTAATTTTTTCTCCCTTCTTTCTTTAAAATATTGACAGATTCGTACATATTATTGTTACAAATAAATCTTCGCAAAAAATCCACAGCATCACATATTCTAGTAGTCTGTACAGGAATCAATTACTTAGGTTTAATGATTTGAAAAAGCTGGGCATTTATAACAAAAAAAAAGTTTTGAAAATATGCTCCTGAAGTTTTTACTAGAAATTGTCATATTTGTTGAATTATTTCACTTAAAACCATCTGCTCCCAGCCATAATGTGTATTCTCTTTATTGCTGACAACTAGATCTTTAGGGGGGGGGGGAGTAATTTTCTCAGCTGAGGTCTGCTTTTGGGGATGGGAGAAGGGGCTTTACTGGATCAATTCTAGAGTTGGCAGGAAACACCAACTGATTACTGTGCTAGAACATATGAAGCTGTGGAATTATTATTATTATTATTTATTTTCTTTTTTTCAATTTAATTTCTTTATTAAATGTATTATGCAAAGGAAAGATAAGTAAACAAAATCCTATGATAAAAACAATACAATGACGATTATGAAAATGTCCAAAAGAATTTGAAAATTGGTACTAAGAATCAGTAGAATTTACTAACTGAAATAATCAATCCTATTTCTTATTTCACGAGTAATTGTTGTGAACCTAAGAGTGAAAATAAAATATTAACTAGAAGTCTCAGCAAAGTAAATATGCAAGAGATAATACAGAGGATAATTGTTAATTTTGTTACCAAAACATCACAACAACCCAAAGCAAATTACAAAAATGTCTAATTAGTATTTAAAATATAAAAATTAAACAATAAAACAGACCAGTTTGTACATTATTTAGATAGTAGTTAATGGTAAAAATACAGTAGTATTAATCACAGAAGTATTAAAAATGTGAATGACTTATTTTGTAAAGAATCGCTGAGAAATGATTATTGCACTTATTGTATACAAAGGAATATTTTATTAACACTTTATGATAAATTTGTTTTAGTCTGCAATTGTGAAGAACAACCCCAAAAAAGCTGTACGCAGTGTGGGAGATGGAGAAGTTGTGGAGTTTGATGTGGTTGTTGGAGAGAAGGGCAATGAAGCAGCCAATGTCACAGGACCAAATGGAGAACCTGTGAAAGGGTCACCATACGCAGCTGATAAACGCCGAGGCTACCGTCAGTGGTTCTACCCGAGAAGAGGTGGTGGTGGAATGAGGACCCGTCGACCTAGGGATGACACTGAAGGCAGGCAAAATTTATAAAATCCATTAAAAGAAAGAATGAAAATTAATTGTTGTAAATAATCGATAAATTGCGTGTTTCAGGTTATGAAAGTGGTGAGAAAGGAGATGATGGTTCTGGTGGAGAAGCTCGTGATGGCCAGGGAGGGCCACGCCGGTACAGACCAAGGCGCAGATTTCAACCTAATTATTACAACAACAGACCGCGAAGACCACCAACTATGAATGAGCAAGTCCAGGATGTTGTGAGTGTTCGCTCTGCCCTAGTTTCTGTTTTTGATCTTTTACTGTTGATATTCTATTCATGATTTTGTTTTCAGGGTGATAAAGACGATATTGTAGTGTTTGAGGGCATTGAGGGACGTGGTGGAGGTATGAGAGGTCGTGGAGCTCCTCGCAGATTTTTCAGGCGTAATTTCCGTGGAGGCCGACCACCCCCAAGGAGGCCCCGTAGCCAGGATGGCCAGGTTAGTGAAATCTGTTTGATTAGATTACCTAAAGTAGATAACACATGATTAAAAATTAACTAGCTATGTAAATAACATTGCTTTTCAGTGGGAATAAGTGTTTTCATGGAAATAACCTGAGATCTTCATTAATATAGAGAGTATCATTTTGTACATATGTAACTTAGAAAAGTGTTTGTGGAATTCCTCGCAGAATAGAGAAAGTGTTTTAATGCTGCAGGAGAAACGGCAAATTTTCAACCGAGACTCTTATTGCTGGTCCTTGTAATGAAAAAGGGGATTCATCTTGTTCCTATTTATAGTAAATTACTTCCTCTAATTGTGCTGTCAGAATCCGTTTTGAGTCTATAAACAAAAATTGACAGTAAAAGTACATCGGTCTTCCAACAAGCACTTTTAGCAGTTAAATCATGAACAGGATCCTCACTAAAATTACTGATTTATTACAAATTTACTGATATGGCTAATGTCATGGCCCCATTAATTTTACCTCAGTATTTTAATTTCGGGTGTAATTTACATGATACTAAAATTTTCAACAAAAATTTTGGTTCAAATTTTTTGGTGATGTTCGGATAGCTTGAAGGACGTTTAAGAGATTGGTGTATGTCTTTCTCATTGAAATCTTTTGAGTTTTAAAATCTGGCAAAATTTCAAACAATCTTACTACAACTACTAAATATGTAATTTTGCTTTAAATGTAGGCATTTTTGAAACACTTAAATTATTTTCTCAAACAGCTCCAAAAGGTTTTCTTAAATTTTACCTCCTTAGATTTGACAAATAACTGTTAATAAAAAGGGGTGATGGTCCAATTTCTAGTGCAATCTCTACTTTTAAACATTGACACACTGAAAATTTGTCTGATTCCTCCCCTTTGTTGTCTGTTGTGATGATTGTATGTATGACTTAGATAATATTCTTATGAAAGGAAATATATTGAAGGGTGGTAATAGATTTAACTTTGATTAGTTTTGATTGCTGATTATGGTATTCAAAAATTGAAAGTACACCTTAGTGCAAATTCAACATAAGCTTGTGTGAAATTATTCTTCCATTATTCATCATTCCAATCATTGTTCCATTCTACAATTTGTGAAAGTAAGGAATGACAGTAACTAAGAAATAACTGACAATCTAAAGGCATAAATGCACTACAGGTTTTTCGTTTCAATTAGTTGAATTGGACTTTTTCAAGGTATATGCTTAGATTCCTTCCTCGATTCCCTCTTTAAAAGCCCAATACAGTTGTGCCCATCGCTCTCCGTGGAAATGCCAGGTTGGAGTGGGAACAGCAGCGGGATGTAATATAGGGCAAAAATAAAAAAGTTAAAATGCAAAATATTACATTCGTAAAAGTAGGGCTCTAGTATTATAATTTAACAATTTCACCATGTATTAGCACTATTAGTTGCAAAAATGTGCTACTATAAAGATGCAACAATGATAATACGCTAGTGCTATGTGCACGCATATAATTTGATCATTAATGAGTTATAATTTAAATAGATCACTACGGGGAGTATAAAAATCTCAATTCATGTATTTTGCTCTCTGTTAGATGCACAGGGTTTGAGGTTAATGCCATTGCTATTTACATCTACTAACATCTGTGCAGAAGCTAAGAAAATGGAGTATATCTCAAATTCCATGATGCGAACCAGCAGAAAAAAAATTAAATCTTTGGATGTCTCCATATGAGACAGCTCAACTAAGTAGCTCTGATCCACTCGGGGACAAAGGACTGATACTGAGAAGATTGTGGGAAACTGGGTGGGCCATAGGACTTGAACCGGAAATTATTCTGTTGGACTGGTGCTGAAAGGGTTAAATGTCAAGTGCCTTTGTTTTATTTATAAAGTATATCTGAGGGGCTGGTGCGGCAGAAAACGTAATATTTCAACATTATGTAACTTACCAATGGTGCGAGAAAGTATGTGATGTTGCAGAACTGCTTGTTGCTGTATGAAGAGTTGTGTATAATGTGATCCTTACAAGAATATTCAGTGCACTGGAGTCTAGAAAACTAGAAAAGTCAGAGAAAATCATTGATATGCAATACTTTAGAATAATCGGAGAATTTTTAAAAGGATGTTAAAAATAGATGTTGAGATCTAAAACGTTGCAATTATTCATATAATTCATTTTCCTTAAATAACTTCAGGGAACTCAGAAGACTATATTTACAATGTTCAATTCAAGGTACATTTTCTTCATTTTTTCCTGTAGTTTCTTGGCTATATTTTAATGTTTTATCATAGGATTTTTTAAAATATAACTTTTGTTCTAGATATAAATTCTTAAAAGCGTAGAATATTTTAAATTTAATTTTTCATTATTATTTACATAAATTGTGTAAATAACTTGTTATAATAAAAAGGGTATGATATGTTGTATATTGACTTGGTGAAAAATGCCTGAAAGTTTGAATTCAGTAGATGTAATAGATTAGGAAATAATGTTCCTTATATAACAAAAAAACACTTATGGAAATCAGGCATCAAAATTTGCTATGCATTTTCAGTACATTCCAACTCAATATGATGTATTTTCCAGAATCATTCAATATTTACTCGTTCAGTTCTTTCTTAAGTGGATGTCAAAATGTTATTTTGCCGTTTCACTACTCTTGTTTCCTTATTTCTCTCGTAAAGTAGAAAACAATAATTCTATATAGTCAAGGTCAATGCACTGCATATTATTTAATGTAAAACATACTTTGTAACAATTTAGAGTAAAAATGAATACATCATTAACAAGGAGAAATATTGAAGATTATTAACTCACTAAAAAGTGGAAATCAACATTTCAACAAATCAACGTTACGAGTAAGTTATGTAATGCTGCATGAAAAAAGACGAATTTTTGCCACTAATTATACCTGCAGGGAAAGGGAGACCCTACCATAACCCAGAAGTCCATAAGTGGAAATCATGAGCTGGCAGAAGTGTGGTTTGTTATTTTGATAATGTAAAGATCCATATTTCAAGGTCACTGGGATGTGCAACTCACAATCAACAGGTTTATTTCTCTGTGTAGTTTGCCCTGTTGAATTATAATAGTTTCCTAGTTCATTTTCAACACTACTTTACAGAATTATACTTGCAACTGTACCAAAATCATCAAAACCCTCCTTAGTGTGACAGAAAATTCAAGGTGCCAAATTCATTTTGTATGTGCTTGGACACGTCAGCTTCCATATGAGAAGACCTTTTATGCTTCAAATCTTTTTTCCTTGATATGTTTATCAGAGCTATAATATTAAAATTCTTGTGTAATCGATCATTGATTTGCTGTCATAAACAAGGATCGGTCAGTTTGCCAAGTCTTCAAATGCTAGATCTTCTAAGGGAGCCCTGTTAAACTGAGTGGCTTTGTGAACCAGTTTGAGCTGAACCTGGTGTGCAAACCCAGAAATTCATTGAGTTCCAGTCGAGGAAGGGATGTATGTCAATCATCAGACACTGCGCAAACAAGCAACACTATGGAAGTGGTTATAAAGCCATAAAATAGATTGTGATTTTAATGCTATGCACACCTATATTGGAACTTTTTGATAATTGTTTTTTTTTATACATCGTAAATGTGATATCACAAAGCAGTATTAAATTGCTTAGTTAGGCAATCAAACACCTAAAATTTTGTTGTTAAATTAATATGCAAACACTACAAGAAATTTCAATTTTTTTGTTCTAAATAGATTTTTATTTAAATTAATTCATACAACAAAAATTATAAAAGGTGTTCATGAAGAAAAAAATACAAAGCATATATGTGTTGAAATAAAATGTAAAAAACCTTTTTCATTAACGAATGTGAAAGGAACCAATGGGGAAAATTTGTTTTGGATGCCTTTATTTTACCTTTTTTACTATTATATCCAACTAGAACTTATTTTTAAAAATGAACAATGCATGAATAACTAATGGCATTGGTTTACATGTGAAATTAGAATTAAATAGATTGGATAGTCAAGAAAATCTCCCAAAGTAAAAACACCTTTGTTGTGCCAATCTGGCAGCTTCTTCTCACTGGGAACAAGTTATGGGTCCTGCAATATACAATGCGTTCATCAAACTGTCCTGAAGGTCACTTGTCCTTTCGTGAAAAACTGTCGAGCCAGTACTTGCTCTGCGTTCCATCCCCACAAGAGACCCTCTCATTGCGGTAACTCTTGTCTGCTCAGAGCCATCATGGGCTCTTAGTTAATCGGAAGCTATTTGAGCCTGCCTTTTTTGTGGGATGATACCCATCTAATATGACATTCTGCACTGCGAAAGCAAGTGAAATGCAGATCCATTATTAATAGAGCTATTAATTTTCCATTGGCATTTTGAAGGATATGTAAAAATTAGTCCAATCTTTGAATTGTTCTGTTGCCATTCCTTCTCCCTTTCCAATCCTTTTCACCATTCTCATCCATATAAGGCGGCCATGCTAGCAGTACTCTTGAGGTCTCAATGTCAGTCCTTATGGCGTATGATTGTTTACTTTAAACCAAAAAATGGTTTCAAAACAAAAGTTATAGGATTAAATGATAGAGAAGCATAATGCGATCTTAATTTGGCAAAGCCTGGTTAGCATGGAACATTAATATTCTATCAACAGGAAATGCTCCAAATTGGATTGATGTTAACTTGTAAACAGTATCCTCTCTTGGTAGAAGTGAGGGATACAACTAATTAAAATATGGATTCTGGAAACCCATACTGTAATTTGGCATCTTATCACCCAAATTGTAGTTTAGGGCAAAAAATGATTGAGAAAAAGACAGAAGGTCCATGACCATATAATTAGTGCCAAGAATAATGCAGACAGTGTAAAGTTCACAAGTCTGACAATTTTTTGTATGTAATGAAATATCAATCACCTTTAAATTCCCATCTAACACACTCCCACCTACACAAACGCAACACTTAGGCAATGTATGCACCATGCGTGCATTATGTGTGTGTTGATTATTCACATAATACACCGGAAGATTTTGATTATATGACCAAGAAATCTGAAATTGTGATTCTTTTTGTGAAAGTTCAAGAGATAAAGTAAATAAATGAATAGGATGAGTCATTATAGATTAAAAATATACTTCACTGTATTCTCCTTGGATAAACTCTGATTCTGCACAGGCACTTTTTAACAACTTGTAACGCTCTAAAAATAATTCTAAGAATTTCCTAAGAAAGTCTATATTGTCTTAATCGGAAACTGGCATCTTCACACAAACCACAGTTGACTAAAAAAACCTAATATGAAAGTTTTAGATTTTTTTCTGAAATTAGCATTTGTTGTTGAAGATGTATTGTGCTTAATTGATTTTAAAATGGCAATAGAGAACATAAATATATTTGTGAAACAATATTCGTATGATAAACTTTTATAACCTCAGAGTTTATTTAAAATGCGAAGTTGTCCACATGCCATTATCATATCCTTTATTTTGTTGTAATAAACATTTACCTTGTTAGTATTACAGACTTGCAATATTTGTGTAGGATATGCTTCTCAAAATACTACCTTACTAGTAATAGAATCCCTGTGACTTCTCCCAAACACCAAGTAGGTCTCTGTGAGATAAAATTTGAAAATTTTATTGTTTTCACCTGCTAGAATGTATATTTTTCATGCTTTTAAACAAATTGGGTGATTTTTGATTTTAGAATGTGAGTGAAAGTGAGGGTGGTGCAGGACCACAAGGGGGCCGTCCTCCTCGTCCTCGATACCGTCGTCGCCTGCCCCGCCAGCCTCGTGGCCCACCTCGCAATAGCCAGAGCGAGGGTGAAGCCAAACCAAAGGTTGGGAGATTAAACTTACCCATATTTTAATTTCTCTCAAATGTAATCTGTGCAAAGTTCTTTCATATTATATACATTCAAATTCAAATTTTTTCTTATCTTTTTTTGTAATTTTACTGTGCATTTTTTCAATTTTTTCATGAGCACTACCAATACGTGGTTTTTATGCTGTTTCTATATTTGAGTGTTAAAATTACACAATAACTGCAGCTATTATATTTGCGAGAAATGACTTGCACAGTGTACTGTTGCAAGACAAAGATATTGACATCAATGTGGATGCAGGTTGTGCCCAGGGTACTGCGTTGGTTTGTCTACTCCTTCGAACTGCTCACCAATTTCATTATCTTAACCCGCCATTACTCGTGCACATTTTTGTGATGTGATTACGTGTGCGTTAGATTTTATCTAACAACGGTTTGTCCTATTTATTGTTTTATAATATATTAAATTCATGCATTAATATTCTGAGACTTGTTCTTAAATTCTACAATTTGTATAGATGTAATAGTGCATAAAGATGATATGCAGGCTTTTTTGTTTATAACGAGCACTTGAATGAAATTCAGCCATGAAGTGAAGTATTATATGAAGCAAATCATAGCATACAATTAATGCAATGAAGAATATAATTCCACCACACTGAAACATATTCAGGAACTAAAATAACCTTCCTCAGAACTATATTCATTGCAGTCTTTCTTGGGTGTTCTTTTCAGAGGGATACGGAGCAAATATTGTAACCCTGCTGTGTGAACTTGGTTTGCCTTTTCAGACAAGCACATTTTCTTTGCTCTATTGGTTGCTCTCTAGCATAAGTTTTTACTCTAAAAAGAAAACAAAACTATTTAACTGAAATTACAGTGAAGGAATGGGAGACCATTTTCTTGCCAAATCTTTGAACCTTACCTTTGATTTAAGGTATAAAAAACACTATCAAAATGACACTTAAGCTTTTCTGACCTTCATGCTAGTATTAAAGACAGAAGAGAGTGAATAACTGTCAGAAGAATGAATATAATTGCATAGAAAAATAAGGCAGTAGCTTGTGTGAGAAAACCTCTCACAACATGCTGCATTAATCAACGCCTTCTCATATTATTACCCTTCACAGAACTTATAAGAACGATGAATGGATGCAGAGTTGAATCGTGCAGGAAGGCATAGCAGGAGCAGTATCTCCTGTTGTTGAAAAATGTCAATAATATTTAAATAAATCCAGAATTGTTAAGATTTTTCTAAGAACACAAATAATGTCGGGTTAAAGACTACTCCAGTGGCTTTTATTGTGTAGTGGTTTGATGATACTTAATACACACAGATAATATGCCTGCATGCATTGCCCATAGCAGGCCTGGTCTCTATAGTCTAATTTTTCTTGCACAAAGTGAATGTCTTATTTCTATCTAGTAAGAGCTTATAATTGTTTTCTTATTGCAGCCTGAGCAGCGTGACAACCCTCCCCCTACCCAGGTAAGCGATTTGTATTTATTAATTTCACAGTGTACACTACACCAAAGTAATACATAATGTGAATTTATTATTATTTATTCTGTTGTCTTGAAAAATATTTTACTGGCTTAGTGAAAAAATATTAGATTTTGTTGTAAAATTATCTGCATTAAAGAAGCTATTTGAAATGGCTTTAGGGTGCTAAAAACCACATACTCAATTTTCTATTAACGTTTTAGAAATTTAGTATTTATTAATGATTATTTTCTCCCTTCTTTCTTTTGGTCTTTCACAGAAGAGTTGCCTGCTATGTCCCATTACTAGGTCCTGATCATAAAACATACATGACAACATGACCAACTTCATGGATTTTCATCCAAATTACTTCTTTATACCAGCATCATAAAAACCTTTTCTGCTGCAAGAACTTGTTCGTAATTGAACATTTTTTGGAACAAATGAATACTTCCTAGCTTTTTACAGCACAAATGATTGCGTCGTCACACACGCATCCAATTACAGAAAGAGAGTTGCAGAGAGGTAGATAAATAGAACAGCGGATGACTGTTTTCTCAAACAGATGTTAAATATCCACACAGGTGTCACAAGGAAGTTGTTTTGCAAAATTAAGTTTTATTTTCTTATAAATTCATAATGCTGCTTTATTGCATTTGTACAAATTTGACAACTTCATTCAAACACTGCTAGTTTTCAAAATGTGCTCTCATTTAATAGAGCTTAACATTATAAACAAATTGCATAAAATACTGTTAGTTGGTATGCAGTTCAAACTTGTATACTTACATACTTCAAGAAACGTGCTTTGGACATTTTCACTACCATTGCTTAATGTTTGAGTCGTGCGCAGTTGGTGCCAGCACTATTAACACTGGCTTTTTTGGAAGACCAGGTTATAGTTTTCTCTTATTTTGGTGCGACTAACAATGCCTATCTAACCAAATATATTGTCCTGCTGAAGTTACATGTACCTCCTGCTCCCATACGAGTAAAGACAATCCATTCCACTCAAATTTATTTTACAAGAATTTTATTTTTTAAGTAGCAATTTTGGCCTGGAAACATGCTCTTAGTATAAATGTTTCATACTTTCTCTTGCCTCTCTGCAATTTTTATATGTAAATAGTAATGTAGTTAAGAAATTTGAAGTGATTAGAGCAAATTAATGATTTCATGAGAATATTTGCAGAATTGTATTATAATAGGCTTTTACAATGTGTTGAAGACTGGGCATTGCTTCAGTCATGGAATAATGTTGTGCTGTTGATTGTTTCAGGAGACTACACAAGCTGTGCAGAATACCACCACTGAAAGCAGTGCTTAGATTATAACAAGGCATCTTAAAGAGCACTCTCCATGCCTCCTTAGTAGAACCAAGGCAACTTTTAAACTTAACATCCAATTTTGTGTTAGTGCATGAAATTTTAAATGAAGCAGACCTGATTTTTTAGAGTGAAGACGCCTCCTTGAGACAAATGCCATTTAAATGAGCATATTCCATCTTATCCTATCATACTGATCAAGGCTCAAAATGAAACCTCACTTGGTGAGATTTCATTTATTCTTGGAAGCCACGGGGAGATGCAGTTGCAGAGCTAACTGCTTGCAGGCGAAAAACTTTTTAAAGAGGAATATCTTATGTTGTGTGTGTTTATTTTTTTTAACAAAGTGATTGCTTAAAGTGAGTTACTTTGGCAAGCTGTTTTATTTCACCAGCCGAAATCTTATGTTCTGAGGACAGGTATCCTGTTTTGTTATGTTGTGAAGTGTTACTTTTTGCTTTTCTTTTTTTGTTTTTAAAAGCATTATTTTTTCTATTGTTTTTATTTTGCTGATTTATATATATATCTGGAGCAGAATGAAATTATGTTAGTTCTTATTTATTGTGGCCAGAAAATTTATTCAACCTCGAAAGGTTTGATTTTGAGTCTTGTGAGCTTCTCAATATTCAATCATAGGAGGTTTGTCCTCAGCACATAGCAATTTGAGAAAGAGGTTGTTAAGAAATGAAAGGTAATGGTTACTTTCGACGACACTTACAAAAATGTTTACTGAGAAAATGTCAGCATATTAAAGAAAGTCGTCCAACTTTAAACTCCCCCTATCTCCGGGTCAGGCATGAAATCAAATTTCGCAGCTTTGGGGGTTTTGTGGAGTAGTTGGAAACACACTAGTATTGATGTGATACCATCACAGCCTCTTTCTCAACATACCCCTTCTTGTCTGGTAAAAATTTGTTAAGTCCAATGTAATACTGTAATGGGTGTATGGTAATTTGTCGTATGCACTTCTACACCTGTAAAATATTGGTCACCTTGGGGGTTTTTATCTGTATTTGCTATGTGCTAATCAACTTCCTGTTTTTGTAGGGTCAGGCAAAAAAATACAAAAAAACAACCTTGAATCCATGCTTGTCCAACAATGCATGTGTTTGATGAAATGGTAAAAGTATGTATAATGAAGATAGTGTACATGTTTGGAAAACTTTGCAATGTGAATTCCAGCTGATTGAAAAAACCTTTGGCCAGGTTCTGAAAAAAACAAACTAGAAATCTTGACATATAGCTAAAACTTCAAATATGGGTGTTAGTATAGCAGCAATATGTCAAAAGACTGACTCCCTACATGCGAGTTGCTGTCAAGTTTCAAGTTTACTGGCCTGCTAGTAAAACAACTTTGGCATAATAAACTGATAAAACAGGGAAATGAAAAAAGCTTTAAATATAATTTAAAAATCTCACCAAAGTGTGAATTATTTATTAATTTCTAATGAGACTAATTCTGGTGTTCTGATTAAAGGAATGAATCTGGCAATTTGCCACATATATGTACAAAGAAAACAATTTTTTCACAAAACATGTGCATTTTGAATAAACAAGCCAAAAAAATTGAAGCAAGACTAAGTTCATTCCCATTTTTCCCTGGTCCTTGGGTAGATTTAGAATTGAAGCAGAAAATTAACTGGTGGTAAAGATTCTTTTGTTTTTAATGCAAGATGCTGTTTGATTAAAATTTTCCACTTCACTTTCGGCTTCCTTTAAAAACAGTTTGATTCAATCATGTGATTTGATTTTTTGTTTTTTTCATACATAATATATTTTGTTGTGAATTTTTGTCCACTCCGCAAATTCTATCAGTTATTCATGTCCAAATTCATTTGTATCCAGAATTGCCATGATGGTTGGAATATATAAATTTTTACAAGTCTGCAGTGTTTTGAACTTTAGATGAGGCAGCTTGGTGAAAATTGTACTAAAAAATATGAAATGGTTTCTGTTGGTTTCTGTGAATTGTAACATAATTTTTCTAAATAGCTAGAAATGGGCAATAGGCAAATCAGCTTAATGCATACTCTTTCAAAACAAGTGCTCGTTAAAAAGCATGTTCCAACATTGAGATATTGCAGCAGTGATGTAAGTGTGTAATCTCATAAAACTGCGGAACATTCAATGAGAAACTTATTGGTAAAGTCACTTTGCATGAAGTGTGCCCTAGTGCATATGATGCAAATATTATTTCCACCTAGCTAGCCTGTACTTGTAGTAAGGGTGAGCAAATTACTTGCTGAGGAACCTTAAATAAATTTTCTACAAGAAGTGTTTACCTGCACCTTGCGCCTATGTGTGTCTGCTGGTGCTTTTCTCAAGGAACTTTAGAACATTGTGGGATAACTTCAGCTGTTAAATTCCAGTAATTATGAATTACCAACTCCCTCAAGATGTCCATAGTGACCTATTATTTGTTTCAATTTAAATTTTTTGCAGTGATATGAAACATTTATACCAAAGTAATTCCCATATTCTGGTATTTAGTTAGTCATGTTGTGGTGGAGTCAATGAGAATGCTGCTGAAAATCAATTCATTAATTGCTTAACAGTGGGGAGGGAGGTCATAAAGCATCTTAGGCCTGTCACAAGAGCGATACATTGGCAATCATCATAGATTATACTCTTAATGCAGACCAGCCTGGGTACTTTTGTGCCACTTCTCATACGGTGTGCATATTTTATGGCACACATTACTTTTAGTATGTCAACGTAATGCTCATATGATATTCTCTCTACGTGTTCACTGGCAAAAAGTATTATGCGTGCGTTTGAAGTATCATACCTGAGATTTTGGAGATAGCAAAAATCAAATTAAATCAAATGATTTTATATCAAAAATCCACTGAATTCACTTTAGACCTCGCGACCCAGTTGGTGCAGAGAACTGTAACCGCCTGTTGCTACTCATTACATCAAAAATCCAATCTACTCCCTATAGTTTTTTCTGACTGCCTAATGCACACATGGAGCCATGTAAAAAAAAAATCTTTGCAACTTCTGAGCATTTAAATTAAGACTCTTTGTATCAGCATCAATGATCAGGATCACAGGCCCAAAAATGTTCTCTTAAGCATATCAAAATTCAATTAATGAATTCCTGCTGCATGTAAAGAAGCTGCTACTCAGCAATGAAGCTTGTTTAGGTATAACAATTGAAACCTGAAATATGACTAAGTTGAGTGTGTCTTGTTTACATAAAGCCTATGAATTTCGAAGATGGTAAATCTTGATTCAATTATTTTGTCTATTAATTACAATATTACATAAATAGATAACTTTAGGTTCAAGGCAAAACAATGTATTAAAGAAAAAAATATACATATGTGTATATGTATAAACTTTTCAGGTGCACATTTACATTTTTTTAAATTTTGAGAAAATTCATCATGTCAAGATTTGTTAAGAAAGTGTGTGATCATTGTTCAAACATGAAATGATTCAATGTTTGGAGGTTTCTCGACTTATGTCAGAAATAATGAGATAGAATATTGGTGTTCTATCCCATATCGGATTTGAATATATATTGTTATAAAGTTTTTGAAAATCTATTGTAAATCTTCCTATGCACGAAATTCTTACTTCCATCAGACTTCCAGTAGGGCCAGCTATTCATGCTGATATTGAAACTACACGAGGTGATAAATCCCTTAGACTATGGCTGTAGAAAAGTTTTAAAACATCTAGACAGTATAATCGCTCTTGTGAAGCCATTTTGGCAAATTTTAACATAATTTTCTGGTTGAATCTTGCAAAAAAGAGCAATTATCAATTTCATTCATTCCTTCACCTCAGATATTACACATAAACTTTACCACTTTTGAATGTATGTATTAATATAAAATAATTTTTTCTTTTCGAAATCTTCAATTAAACACAGTTCAACGGCACATTCCTCTCGCCCGTATTTTCACACATGGAGGCGAAAAATTACTGAAATTTTAGAAAAATTGTACAAAATCTTATTTTAAAATCTATATTTAAGGAAGATATTTCATTGGGGGGGGGGGGGAATTCAATCTTTAATATTTCAGTTGCAGGAAAACCCTGATCAAAATGCGAACTATTGCAATTTTCGACATGCGAGTGTTTTCAGCGAAATGTGACCGAACCGTTCTCCTTAAATATCCATTCCACACTAGGAACGTCAAGCACCCCAGGTCGAGAAAAAAATTTGGGAGAAATCAGCTAATCGATTTAGCCTCTAGCCTTGACGGAGAGACACGTTTTGCCGTCATTCGATTTTTTTTTGTATCAAGGACAATATGGTCTCTGGCCACACGTGAGGCGATTTTTGTAAATTTAGCAACTGGACCCCTTTTGTGTTACTAGAAGCCTTAGTTGTTTTTTCTTTCGAAAATTACAAGTTTTCTCCTGCAGCATTACGTAACTTTCTACTCCGTAAAGTAAGTAGAAGGAACTTTTTATTTTCCAGTGTACGGAATATTATACATAGTATATGCAATGTTATGTAATGCTGCCGAAAAATGAGATTACGACGGAAGTACACTTTTGGGGTCCATTAATACCGAAAATTTTCCTTCAAATTAATTTTGTTGTCCATAATTAGTTCTTTCGTTAAGGTTATATACATTTTTTAAAAAACGTTTGGTAGTTTTCGCGCAAAGTTGCTTGCAATGTTTGCAATTTTAAAAAATTACGAAACAAGATTTTCTCCGAAAAGCGGCTCTAATTTTTTTCTTTAAACTTCTAGTAGTGATATTGCTAAATGTACTCTATGAATGACAAAAACGCCATTTTGTTTCTAAAAAAACTTTTCTCTTGCGTCGTTAATATTTATATTAGCGGCGATTAGTTCACGTATAAGTACATGTGCTTTGAATGTCATAAAGTTTCTCGTAAACAACCGTTTTCTGTGAAAACAAGCTGAAAATTTAGCATTTTCAAAAACTATTTTCTCAAAAACAGCTCCAAATGTTTTTAAAAATTTTTCAAAGGGATAGTGCAAATTGCACTATTTAATGTGACGTAAAGTTTATTTTGCAGTTTTTTTCTCTACAATTATACAAATGTAATTTTTTTGGAAGATCTCTCATGCAGTTAATATGTACATTTCCAGCAATTTATAAACGCTATTGAATTTTTGAGTTAAAGTACTTAAAATTACTTCTAAAGAAGTTTTTCGAAAATTAAAAAAAATCTATGGAAAAAAAACTTCAAATTTCGAATTTACAGCAGCTTAAAGTTTTTTAAAAACGGGTCCAAATTTTTCAAACAGAATTGCCGTTTAGGACGAGGTTTTACTGTTCTTTATTATTCATAAAATATTATTTATGTTCTATTAGGAAAACAAAATTGAAAAAATAAAAAAAAGAAAGGAAAAGAAAAAAATCTGGGCGGCGATAGATGGCAGCAGCCAATAGTGTTTGGCACGCCCAAATAGCTTGCCGAGATCAAAGAAAATAGAAGACATTCGGGAAAGTCTGGGCCATTTGTAACACCACTAGTTGTATACGTAATGTGGCTTTCAAGTTTTGTTAACAAATATGTTATAAAAGCAGAGCTAGCACAATGAATGGATGGCTCGGTGACAAAGTGTTGTTCCAGAACTGAGGGAATGGCTGTTATGATTCCCAGGTTGGATAGATTCTACCCCAAAAACCTTACCACAAAATCCTCTACATTACAACACTACATTTGGCTTGTGGATGTTATGCATAGAGCAGCCAAAATTTGTATTTGCGAACAAGGTGAATATTAGAATTCTGAAGGAATTAGATAATTGACGATTATTAAATTTCGATTAGGTAAGATGATTTCTACCAAAAATTAATGTAAAATATGACTGCTTCTAGTATTATTACAGCAGTAGTGTAACGAAATGAGTGCGGGCCCACTCGCAAAACATTTATCCGGCCCCCTTTATGAAAGTGTAAAGCTTACACAAGTAGTGTTAGTACCTTAAATCATAAATAATTTCCCCTAAAAACGGGCCCGAACGTTACGCCAGTCTTTCACGGCCTTTTTAGTGATGTATTTCTGCTTACTATAATTTCATTGTATAGAAGAGAATTGTATGAACTCATCTCGTTTGTTGACAGGTATCTATTTTCTCTCTAAGTCTCAGCCTCGCAATTTCTATTTTCCTTGACAGGTTCGATTCCCGGTGAAAACGAGATAAGAATGCAGCGTTTGCCTCTTGGCAAGAAAAGAAAATTCAAAAATTTTCTCATAACCAAACGAGAGACACCGGTTTCTGAGGCGACGTTTTTGGTTTCCTGATTAGTCATGTACCCCCTCTATTTCTTGGGGGGGGGGGGGCTAATTCGGGAAATAAAAATATTTCGTAGAAAGACAAATACCACTTTTCAGGGCTACCGTGATTTAACATGAAAATAATGATTTACATATACAAAGTACTGTAATACAGTAGTTAATTTGACAAAATTTTGCGGATAAGCGTTGCATTTTCCACCGGATTCGATCCTGCTGCATTAAGTTCCGGAAGAAATAATTCTACTACTGAGCAAAATTAATGCTTTTATATTGTACGTAATTGCTCGGATTAATTATTGTGCCTAATGTGGGCCAATGTTTGAAATTCTCCCAAAATATTTAGACATTTAATGTTGATATGTAGCGTGTCTTCATTCAAACGGAATTAAAATATGTGAGGGATTTAGAGGCTTGTTTTAATTCAACATTCTGAACCCCTTTTTTTTGTTAAGTGATTCGCTTCCCGATGTATCTTCTCTTATGTTGTCTATCCGTTCTTGATGCACAGCTTTTTTTTTTTATTTTACGAGCACGTTATTCAGTTTTGACGCTCTACGATATAAAAATAATTGTATTCGGGTATCAGTAAACAATAGCGCAATGTGTGAAAATTACTTGTCTTCGGTATTGACCCATGCATCGTGCACACGGGCAGTGTATGTATTGATTCTGAAGACTTACCTTCAAAATCTGTAGACTAAATTTAGCCAGTGAGAGGCCAGGTATTTCTTAGGGTAGTATACTCATATAATGCTTTCAAGGTTTCTGCACATTTCGTGTGTGGAATGTAATTTCGGTGAAGTGTATTTCGGCGTCGAGATTTCGACGGAAATACGCGTTTTGGGGTCCCCCGATACCTAAAAAGTGTGTTTTTTGTTTTCTCTCTCAAAAACGTCCGTCTGAATACTACTAACGCTTAAACCGTGTGTAAGATTTTTTTCTTTCTTTTCAAATTGAAGATATCTGTGTCGATCTGGCTAGAGTAGAATCATTGAGATTTTGAAGAAAAAAAACTTTACTATTTGGGGATACTTTACATGTAACATCCAGGACATTTTCAAAATTTTCTCCAAAACAGAACCATTCATTCTTTAAAGTTCTTGTAAAAATAGAGTAACATTCACTTATAAACGTGGCATAGATCCGATGTTCACTGTTAACTCTGAATTTTCGACATTTTCAAAAGCATGAATTTTTTTCGCTGTCTTCCTAGATGTCAAAAACACCACATTGTTCTATTTTGTTTTTTCAAAAATTATAAAAATATAATTTTCTAGTCGCCTCTCATGTTGTTAATATTTATATTAGGAGTAATTTGTTCAGATTATTGTATTTATGAGTACACATGCTTTAAATAATATCATAAAATTTCTCGTAAAATCTTCGGTTGTCAGTGAAAACTAACTCAAAACACCGCATTTCCAGAAACGCTCAAACGCCATTTTCTCAAAAAACGGCTCCAAATTTTTCTTCAAACATTTCGAACGGATATTGACAATTGTACTGACGTAAATATATGATGCAAAGTTTATTTCAGTGTATTTTTTTATTTAAATTACACAAATGTAATTTTTTGAAAGATCTCTCACGCCTTTGATATGCACATTTCTGTACGAAAATCTTAATGTAGCGTACCTAGAGTACTCGTAGTCAGTACGCAGTGATACTGTACGAAAAATATGCTCATTTTTATTCAAAAAACTTCATTTCATAAAAAATATGTAAGAAAAATAACAAAATAAAAAAAAGATTGTGAAAATTTAAAAATATGTAAAATATTTAATACAGTACTAAATAAGTAAAAAGATATACCGAAAAATTTCGGTATTGTGTTAGGACGGCGGTGAATCGCCAATATTACAATTTTGAGAACAGTAAATACAAAGACAAAAAATACGCAATTACATAAAAATCCGGTCTAGTCTTAAGTCATAACCAAATTTTCTCTTGGTATATCGTTTTCAGTTTTAATTTTTGTGTGGGGTTCTTGGATTACAGCCCCGCCTTGAATCCGGCCCTGGGTACCGAATGAACAGATGGGTGAAGTTCGTTTCGTTTCTTTGCTGAAACTAAACGAAAATGGTTTTGGTAAGAAACGTTATTTATTTATGTGGTTTCATTATTAATATTTTTAAGGACAAATAAACAAATTCAGTCGCGAGAAGTCCACTGACGATTTGTACTAAAGTCTATGTTTTTATACATAAGTACTGTTTTGTTTCAGGTTTTACACATTAGTGATATGTACCATTTTCTCTATCCTTTATCTAAACTCCATTATTCTTCAAATGATACATCCTGTCTTTAAAAACGCTGATTCCACTTATCTCGTGTTGACAGAGTCTTATGAAAATAGTCACATTTACTATAGCATTGAAGAAATATCTAAGACAAATGTTGAGTAGACGAGCAGTAGCGATACAAAGCACTCTTTGTATTTAAATTTCCTTGTTTTGGTCCAAAAGTGTAAACTAGTGGTGCTACAACAGCACATTCTTTCTCGCGCATTATTATTTTATATTAACGAAAACCAACGGCGGCTGTCATTATCGCCTTGTTATCAGTGCGGTTGCACAAGCAACACTGACTGCTAATTCGTATGGGAGATGGTTTGCAAATCATTCTTTACATGGATAAAAAAATGTAATGTTTATGTATGTAAACGATCTTATCCAATAACATCTGCCACAAGTTTCACACGCTTCATTTGTCGATGTTCTGGATCTTCCCGTTCTCGCGTCGTGTTTTGTGGACACTTGCACATTTATCGAATGACGGAAATGTAATTTCCACAATTCAAAATACGATATATAACAAAAATGTACGTAAAACGACATCACCGACATTTTTTCAATTTTGGGAATACGTCAAAGTATGGTGGACTCATGTCAAGGTTGTACGGTGCATGTAGTATCAACTCTCAATCACATTCATGGAAGATTTCTGTTCAAACTTTGGCCTGTGAGGGCGAGCGTTATGGAAAATGAGTGACACAAAGTGGTTTAGCTGCTGAGTTCGGATTATGTGCATTTTCAGAATTAATCATTTGATAATATTCAAAATAGGACATTATTGAAATTCGTATGGCATCAGAAATTTCTTCGCACAACGCACGACGATCTTATCCAATAACATCTGCCACAACTTTCACACTCGTTCATTTGTCGATGTTCTGGATCTTCCCGTTCTCGCGTCGTGTTTTGTGGACACTTCCACATCCATCGAATGACGGAAATGTAATTTCCACAATTCAAAATACGATATATAACAAAAATGTAAGCAATTCAAGTAAATTAATTAAAACAAAGTTAAATGAAAGTCAATATTGAAACATTACTCACTATTTAATGTTTTGCGCCGTACGTGGTTCTGGCTTTGATTTCCACTGGGCACTTAAATTGGACGCCAGCATTTTGTAACAAACACTATTGCTTCGTCGAGTCTCACATAAATTATTTTATTTCACAAATTTCAGTCCCATTTGTATTAAACATTCCACAAACACGCGTGTATTCCCACTAGCGCTCTCAAACTACTGTTCTGTACTGTTGCACTACAGAATCTGCATCTGATCTGCCTGCAGCAGGCTACTGCAGGTGGAAATAAGCATCCACCGTGAGAGATAGAAAAGGACTTCCTTCCAGGACAACCAACTTTACAGATAATTCATCAAATGTACATTTCGAATCAATTATTCTGATATCAAATTAAAACAAATATCATGAATAATGCATTAAAAGCCGTCAATAATTGACTGAACTTTTGTACTTACAATAAGTCGTGAAATTATTCATTTATTAAGTTGCAGCTAGTCAGATGAAGACAGAGTATTGCTATTCCCCTTAGACTCCCTCGTTGGCCGCGCCAGAGAGTATATATCGGGCAGTGCTCGCCCCCCTCCCATTTAATTGCGCCACCAAAGGCCTCATGCTCCATGTATTAAAAACGTGATATGAAGCAAAGGGCGAAAGAGTAAACCCAGTGAAAGAGCCAAGTGGGTGCAATACCTGGGAAGACACTAGACAACGGAGTGAGCCTGTTGGACGCTCTTTGGTTTCAAAATGATTTCATATACATCGATATTGCTGCAATAACTTGAATATTAAATGTGATTAAAAAGAAAATGTATAATCTTAAGATATTATAAGATCTTTCTCAATTATCTGGGGGTTGTGCAACCTAGACACGAGTCGCCACTGGTAAAAGATTCGATGTTTCGATTTCATTTTTTTCATAGTTGCAAAACATCTCCCTTTTGAGGCCCATTTCCACAGTAGGGAACAGCCAATAGTCTGGAAGCTAGATTCGGAGAGTATTGGTTTAGGGAAGGTAGAAATGTATTAGGACAATAATTTCTGTACACAAGCGATGTGTGGCTCGGTGTGTTATCGAGAATTTTGTTCGTATATCTGGAGAATTCAATTTTTTCCATTTCTAATTATGCTTCCAATAGGAAAGTCAAAAATTGTTTCCTTCAGTATTATCACACGATAGAGGTATTCATATTAAAGTTAGAATTTTATGACAGTAGTGAAGCATCAACAGCAATTTCTCAACATAGTAAGGATATACTCAAAAGTAACGATTTGGATATTCAAAAAGTTGCTACTGACACATCAGATAATGAAGTCGTAAATTATGGAAAGCACATATCAGTTTTTCAGCACCTGAAGAAAGAAGTTCTAATTCCAGCTTGGCCTCCTCTGCTAGTGTTTTTTTTTGTAAGGGAGACCGTGGTTCATCTATTTATAAAATGTGAGTCATTTTGCGTTGGCTCCACAGTGTAAGATATTTCTTACCGTGGTTGACTCACAAACATTCGCACCATCGATGAATGGAATAGGTGCAACGAGCTAGAATACACTATAGTATACTCTAGCTAGCTCTAATAGGTGTTGTTCCCTGATAGCACGTTGTCACAGTATAACTGTAACTTATTCTGTGACGTTGTAAATTCCTTTCCGTTGTAAAATGCTAAATTGTTTGTTGTTAGGAAGGATAAGTTCTAGGGTATTTCCAAAGATATTGAATATTTCGATCTGGGCGCTTCTGAGAGTGAAAATACATTTTATCAGCAGATTATTCCGTGTAGTTTCTTTGAAGTGTGTAAGGTGCTGTGAGCGTTTACCAGTATTTTAAATATTAGTGCAGAAGTATAATGTAAAATATATGCTCAACAGGAAATGTTCACTGAATCTTTATGTTAAGGGAAAAGAGAAAATAAATAGTTGTATCATCACGCGACATAATATACCAAAAGTTGTTGAAAACGTGATCGACGTTGGCAAGCGTGGTGCAACCATGGGTCGGGCTGCTTGAATATGTGGGAAAACAGCAGACATTTATTGCTTTTCTGTGTTGTGTGTGGCGCAGTAGGATCTTATTTATTATCTGTGTATGTTTTATTATTTGCACTTGTGGCGTGTGTTTGCATAGTCGTTAACGACTCGAAGTTATCTGGACAGGCTGTGACTGCGATCAAAAACTTCACTTTTCCAGTTCCGTGTTGGATAAAGTCTACCATCACTTTTCTAATGAATAGTTACCATCTTTCGAAACCATTGGAAACCGAATCGGGTTCACGAAGAAGTTCGCCGTATTCTCCTAATGTATCAGTACACAGGAGACCAAGTTGTCGTACTGGTCGTTTTACTTGTTTGGATGAAAATACAGACTACGCCAATCGTAGGAATGGTATTGGTCTCTGCAGTCCGAGTCCAGCTTTTAGTAACAATTATTCAAACAGTTATCATGGCTTTAGAAGGCATAGTGGGTTTAATGACTCTGAGAATTCTTCGAAAATTGAAGAATTTTCTACACCACAAACCTCACCTTGGACACGAAGACAGAATTACAGTGGTAATGAATTTAATAACGTAAGAAGAGTTCAGACAGTAGCCGGACCTCTACTGGCAACATCAGGTTTAACAAAGAGGAAATCAAATGATTTTGGGTAAGGGCATACATAATTGATTGACAAAAAGTGTTGTAAATTGTGCTGTAGAGCAATTTAAAAAATGTTCAGGGTGTCAATGATCAAAAATTTGAAATGAAACTCTTGTCTGATGTTTGAATAATTGTACCATTCTGCTGAGAGTACATATGTATATAATAAATTATAATTTTCTTCATTCTTAAGTTTTTGAAATTACTATATATATAGAAATCATATGATTTATGTTTTCATTGTAGGTTATATGTAGATGCCAATAGTCCTGGTTTGGCTAGTCGCATTGTGCAGTACAGGGAAGAAGGTGCATCAACCGGTGATGGTGTGTGGACGCACCAACCACAGTACAACAGCCCTGGACAGTTCCCAATGGTTCAACTGAGTCACTCTTCGTCCTCATTGCCTGTGCTGTCTCCACTCAGTAGTCAGAAGGCTTCAAGAAGATCAGTTAGAGTTAAAATTGCACCACCAGATCCCCTGGGGTCTAGGTACTTGACTCTTTGTAGTGTATTACTAATTGGCCTATTTAAACATATTTTTGAATGACTTGATATATTCTTTTTCTTATTTTTATTGTTTTTTTAAATATTGTTATGCATGTTTGTTTTTGTCTCTTAATATATAACAAATTTCTGTTCTAATTAGAACGTCCATTAAATTCAGTATTTGTGAATATTTGTGTTAAAAATTATGAAGTTTAAAAAATAATCAACTGATCTTCATGAAACTTTTTAATTGTAATATAAAAAGAAAAGTTGTCAAAGTGTAGAATCTAGTTGATTTTTATCCACATTATGTAATATTTACCGTTTTCTTTGTAGATTGTATCCTCTTTCAACTAAAAGTAATGCTTCATTATCGTCTACAATGCAAACAGATCAATCTATGAAGTCTGTGTTAGAAACTTTGAAGGAGATCTCTCGGAAGAGAATACATTCTCAGGTAATTAATTTATATTAATTAGTTGAGTTGCTGAATTCTTCATTAAAATTAAGTGTTAGATTATATTAGTGAAGAGAAAAGATATATTTTTGACAATTTTATGAAATGTAAGGTATTTCAGTAATTTGTACATCTGAGTGTTTTGGCACCTATTAATGATTTGCAATGGTATTTAACAGTGATATCCAACTTGAATAACCATCATTGATATTATATAATAAATATATATTTGGGCTGAAGTATACAGTTCAACCTAAGGAAGTCATTTTAACTGGCACTTCGCGCCGCTCTGGCAAAGGGGAAATCCATGGTGGAGGGGATGAGGGGTGTTTAGGGGATTATTAAGGGAATTTTTTGGTGGGGAGGGGTGGTGAGCAATATGCGTAACTTAGTACGTATATCTATATTTTTGGTTTTCTGGCGACTGGTACACCGGTTTCACCGGCGAGGGTGCCCATGCCAACGGCGTGGGAGATTTAACTACATTGTAAAAAAATTATCCTTCTGAAATAATTTTAATGGTTCATAATTGGTCACAGACGTGACGTCAGAAGTGTGGGGCGGGGGAAATTCACCCTATTATCTTTTGAAACTTCGTTACAAAATGGTGTGTGGTGGCACATATATCATGTTTTTGTCTACGTGATTTTCTGTAAGGGTAGCTGTTGAAGTTGTTGGTTACGTTGCTGTCATACACTTAAGTTTCTTTCGTTCTTCAGGTTCTTCGTGATTTGTGTTTTTTGAGTGTAGAGGGTGTGCTACGATGGTGAGAATAAATGTGAGTTTTTTTGCTCATTGCGCAAAGGATGTGTTTGGCTGTCATTGAATGGGAGCAAGAATGTAGTTTGATTGCTGCAGGATTTAAGTGTGCTGTGTGTAAGTGTTGCCAAGCCTATAAGGTTGGCGAAAGCGAAAGTAGTTTTGTGATGGTTTCAAGTGGTAGTGTAGCATGAATGGGACTACTCCTCATGTGCGTATGTATTCCGTGTAGAAGGGGCCGTGGTTTGCGAGAAGCAAGTTGAGTATAATTCAGATATTAGTAATGACCCACTTTTGGGTTATAAAACAGTCATAGAAACTGCCATAAAAATTGCCTATCGGTAAGTTTCTTACATTTCTGTCAGAGCGCTTAGCGTAATTTGAGGGAGGGCTAGAGGAGACCCATCTTCACCCTTCACCCCTCCTCACCAATCCCCCCGCCATTCCTTCCCCATTCCCCTTCTCACCACCACACTTCTCTAAGGGTGTACAGTGTACCCTGCTTTAATCTAAATTGGTAATTAGTATCTTATCCTTGTTTCTTGTGTGTGGAGACATTGCTAATTAATCTGAACAAGTGCAAAGCGCACAATCAGATTTTTTTATTTAAATATATTTTTACTTTTAACCAAAGGCGTCAAGCGAGTTATTTAACCTTAATTACTTTAAAAGCAGCAAAAAGTACATTAAAACATTTTTTAAATTTATCATTAAATTGTTGTAATTTTATGTAAAAAAGTAAAGATACTATATATTTGAGTGGTCCAGTGCAATACCCCTCCCACAAAATTTGCTCCATTAATTCATTTCACTTGGGTTTGATTACAAAATTTAACCTACCTGTGCCACTGCAACTGGCTGATGTGCCATTAAGGAATAAGCATGTTTTCTGGAAATTCTTTTTTATTCCACCCTTTCAGATTGAACGTTACTTACTTTCACTTTTATCGGCGTTTCCACTTGTCAGCGGTTGCCTCTTATTTTGCGATTCCAGCCTTCTCTATCCGACCAAAGGTCTTCGTCCATTCTTCTTTCACACATGGCTTCCATTACTCTGGTATTCCAGGTTTTGCGAGGCCTTCCTAATTTTTCTTTCTGGAGGAGGCCAGTCGAGGACATTCTTGGGCCATCTTGTATCTGACATTCTTCTCAGGGTGCCATACCGTTGTAGCATTTTACTTTCTAATCTGTCAACCACTGTTTCCGATTGCTGCATCTGTTTCCGAATTTCTACGTTTTTAATTTTTTCCATTCTAGAAATTAGGCAGCTCTTTCGTAATCCATCCATTTCTACTGCACATAATTTCTGTTTCTGGCATTCTGGCAAGACCCAAGTCTCTCCACCATAGGTTAGAATATTTTCAATAATAGTTCGTACAATAAGCTTTTTTGTTCTCACATGAATTTCCTGACTCCGTAGTACCCTATTCAGCATTCTTATAGCTCCTCTTGCCTGTTTAATGCAGTCATCAATATCCTTTTCACAATTTCAGACGTATGCAGGATTGTACCCAAATATTTGAACTGTTCAGCTAAGTTAATCCTACCTACTCCTTGTACTTCCAAATCAGTACCTTCTCCTCCTACTATCAGATACTGTTTATTAATTTTTATTATTTTTTTTTAATTATTTTTTTATATTTAATTTAAGCCCACCTGTACATAAGCCTCTACTATTTTCCGGGTCATATATTCTGCATCATCTCTATCTTGAGCCGTTATTACCAGATCATCCACAAATAGTAGTGAATGTATTGCTTGTCTGCTTACAACAATGCCCATTCCTTGACATGAAGTATTCCAACGTTTAAGGACCTCTTCTAAATAAATTTTAAAAAGAGTAGGAGACATTCCACATCTCTGCCTTTAAACCCTTTAGTAAGTTTTAAATTCCTCAGAAATTCTATTTCCGTATATTTACCACTGCTTGGTATAACACCTACATTTTCTTTATGAGTTGAAAGGAGCGATTCTAGACTTTTAAAATTTTCGTCAGTGTCCCCACAATTCATGTGTAGGACACTGAGTACTATATGGTTTCTCCAGGTCAATAAAAACCAGATTAAGCTCTGCTTCCCTTCCGACTCTATTTTTCTCACACATTTGTCTTTAATATACAAATGTTATCTGTACAGGACTTCACTTCTGTAAAACCAGCCTTATTGTTCTGAAGATTTTCATGGACACTTTAAGCCTCTAATCTTCTTACTTATTTTGCTCAAGAGTCTTCCAATTGATGCCATTACAACTCTATACACCACGATTAATTGTTCACTATCTTTCTTACTCTTCCCCTTCTTGTGAATAGCCGAAATATATGATAGATTCGCATTCAGTTTGGTTAAACCGCCATAAATAATAATTGATGACAGTTTGGTCAATACTCTTCTCACTTCTGTCACTATACTATCCACAAATCCTATCGGGAATTCCACCTGGTCCCGCGTTTACCATTTTGTGAATATTTTAGGGCCTTTCTATACTTCTTCCTAAATTTATAGTTGATTACTTTCATATAGTTACTCTTCTTCATGTCCTCCGCTTATATATTTCTACGTTAGTACGTTCCCAGTTGTTTCCACCTGAAATCTTATTTTTCGCGTCAGCCATTATCTCCTGAAAAATGCTTCTTCATTCCAGTAATGTAATCATATTCAAATTTACTTTATCACATTCTGCATTTCTTATTTTTGCTTATAGATTCTCCAGAGCTTGTCTGTTTTACTGTATCCCTCTGTATGTTTTATCCATAACATATCCTTTCCCAAGCCTCATCTTTACATTGCCTCACAATCTTTTTGGTTTTCTTTTTTAGTAAGTAATACCTATCTAAATCTTCTTGGCGCTTAGAATTCAGCCAGATCCCATAAGCTTCCTTCTTATCCTTAATTCCCACAGCGGCTTCTCCATTCATCCATTCCACTCTTCCTTTCCTATCCATTTCTATCCCAAGAGTTTCAGCAGAATGAACATAACTATTAAAATATCGACTTTATTGAATAAATTCTTGGTATTCATTCATCAATTATTCACTATTATTAATGAATTGTGCTTGTTAAATTCTGTAGTCATGACTTCTATTTAAACACTTTATAAAATTAATGAAAATGGTTCTTATTTCCTTGGGTCTCTAATGCTCTTCATCTTTCTCAGGTGCAAGTCGCTACAAAAAAATCTTCTTTCTTTGTATCTAGTTTCTCTCCAATGTCTTAATATAACCCTTTAATTGTAAAGATCTGAAAGTTCATTCGACTTTTTCACTGCAGATGGGTGCCTGCTCCTGTATACTGTCCTACAAAATATTTTTATATAATATTCATCGCTATAATGTTCATTGCTGGCAATTGGAGTCTTAGTTCCTCACTCTTCTGTGTAGCTAGTGATCCTATCTTATGAAATTGACAGATATAAATTCAACCATTAATAATCATTTCCACCCTCGTAATAATTCATGCTTGTAAGTATTCTATCTTCCCTAATTTTCTAACGTAAATCGATCAAGTTTCCCTTTGGTTGGCACAATTGACAAAAGGATCAACTAAGTCCCACTTTTCTTTTTTCTTCTGTGATAAATATTTGCTTTGCAATCTGACATCCTTGAAAATTCACAGCGGAATCAATGTCTTATTTCCTCGCGTGATCTGAGGCAAATCTCCCTCTTCCTTTTTTCTTTCATATTTTAGACTCAACTGACACAATCTGTCATGCATATTTCAAACGGCCTTGCTCAGTAGCCCCTTCCTACTTCTGACGTCATCTTGTTTGTTTTACCTTGCCTGTGTCCCCATAGATACATATTAGTACAGGTTCATGTACCTGTGGTATATTCCCAGTATAATGAGTGTTCCCCTTATTGTCCCAAATATTCTGGCAATTTTCAGTATGTCACATATTTTGCACTAAAGAACATCTCATCAAATTGTATTTTGTACACAAACTTGAAAATATTTGGGGTCATTAGGTCTGAGATTACCTAGGACACAAGAAAAGATAATTGATATTTTCTTTGATAAGAATAGAGTACAAATATTTTGTGAAGGATTGTGGTACACTGCCAATATATAACTTTCAATTAAAAAAATTTACAAGTACAAATATTGTAAATGGAATAATCACGTTTACTGTGAACGTAAAGGGTCAACTAAAACTAAGAGTGACAGTGATGAAAAACGGTCAATGTTGGATGTTGGACAATGGTTATGGAATTGGGAAACCAAATGACTTCAGTTACAAATCTATGTATAAAATAAAATTTTTGATTTAACATTTTAATTCCTGTTTGACATATTTGCTATTTCTCATCACTATAACATATATCACATACTCCAGCCACCTTTTGTTGGCTAATGTTTGCTTCAAAACATATAATAGACTTCATCCACAAATATTTACTAATGAAAACCTTAACCAGCTATTTCTGGAATTAGCAAGAATCGCACCATATTGCAAAGTGGATATTTGCCACTTACTTCTATCAGTTTGATATTCGGCATTGCCTTTTGAAGCACTTCCTCTCACAAATACAATCTAATATATAAAAATGATTGTTTCTTGATTCGTGCTTCATGTGCTTCATTCCATTGCTATAAAATTTGGACAACTTATTGCTTGCACTTGTGGGAAGGATATAAGCATAATAGTTATTGTAACTCTCCTAGATGGCGCTGCAGTTTAAGATGACACTTTATTTAAATGTTATTCCCAATACACCTGAACTTCATTGTTTCTGTGAGACGTGGTTCAACACAGAGAAGGACTGGAGGAGTGAGCAGCGCAAGAATGAGATAGGCAAAAGGAAAATAGAGAGGGAAAGGAAAAGTGAGACAGAGAAAATTAGTTAACTGTCCAATAAAAAAAAGATTACTCTTTCAAATGTCAAACGATATTTCCACAACTATTTCTTCTGCTGCAGCAATGCGCCATTTAAACGTGCCATGTACCAGCTAGTAATCAATACAAACCATTGGAAATGTACATATTAACGGTGAGAGAGAGAGATTTCAAAGAAAATACATTTGTATAATTTTTGAAAAAACAAAGGATTACAACAAAATGGCTTTTGTGTTATCTTACAGTGCATTGCACGCCATCCACGCAAAAAGTTTGAAGAAAAAATATGGAGTTGTTTTTGAGAAAATGGCTTTGAACGTTTCTGAAAATGCAGAAATTTTAGTTCATTTTCACAGAATAGTTAAGTTTTCTAGAAACTCTACATGGCATTACTTAAAACACGTACTCGTAAATATAATAATCTTATCAAATCACCACTAATGTAAAAATTAACAATGAGAGAAAGTGAAAAAAATACATTCATGTAATTTTTACAAAAACAAAACAATTGAACAAAATGGTCTTTGTCATCTTATGAAGAACATGTGGCACTATCCTATGTCATAAATTTAAAGGAAAAATTTGGAAAGCTTATTTGAAAAATTCTTGTTTTTTCAATTTCGTAATATTGCACATATTTCATGCAATATTGCACAAAAAGGACTAAATTTGCAGGAAAATGTACACGACATTAATGAAAGAACTAATTTTCGAGAAAAAATTTCCTTTAAAAAAAATCTATCTTCAATTTTGTAATTGTAGGAAAATGCCAAAAAAAAAGAAATTTGAAATTTAAAACAATTCTCACTTAGTATTGAAAATCGAACCTATGTTACTTTTATAAGTATATTTTACTGTAATGTTATTCAAAATCACAAGAGTTTTGAGTGGAGTCAGATTGACAGAGGAATATCAATTTTTTTAAAAATTCAATGAATAGTTTAGGTTCTAGTGTTGTTCACTGACAGTTGGACAGACAGACGAACATACATTTAGGAGAAAAACACTTTTCTGTATCGAGGGACCCCAAAACATGTATTTCTGTTGAAGTCTTGAAATTGATTTTTCTGTACTACGTTTATATTCTGTATATGCATAGCTTTCTGTGTACGTTTATATTCTGTATATGCTTAATATATTACTCGAATATGCATAAAATAAAGTAAAAAGGAAGGGGGCAAAAATGGTTTATTGGGCCTCCTGGAATTAGCACAGGATCTGGGAGGTCGAAAACTTGGGTTTTTTAGTAGGGCTTGGGTACATACAACATATTCAAAGAAAATGTTTTTATCATCTTTTTTCACATAAATTGTACTTACTGACTGAACTGTTATACAAGCTTGATATTTTTTTGCTTGTTACATAATCTGCAATATGGTTCAATTGCTTTATCGCCTTTCTAAAGACATGTGAATATACTTTTCATTCAAATTGAAAAGTTCATAAGTTAATCTGGTCAACAATATTTGGAAGTTATTTTTCACTATTTTAAGATTGTTCTTCAAGTAACTGCAGCGTTGATACAAGTTGATAATGTAATGGAAATAAGAGTGACAAGCAATCTGTCAACTTTGTGTGTCAGGAAATGCTGTACAGAGGAATTAATTGTGTAAAAATAATACTGATACAAATTAAAACTCGACTCTTTTTCAGCTGGAGGATAATGACGATGATGCTGCAAAGAGGCAGAAACGATGTGGGCCTCCTGATGTGTTAGGAACGCAAACAGATGATAATGATGGTGATGGGGAAAATCTGTAAGTGACCTTTGGCTGTGTGGTCATTGAAAGTGATTTATTACTCTCAGTATAATGGCAGTAATTGCAGGAATGGTCAGAATCTTGTTTCGATGCCTAATGAAAACTAGATCTGTTATTGATGTGTATGAGTAGCAACTTTGTTTCAGATTATAGAGAAAGAAATAGATAAAAGCTTTTAGTGAAGGAAACTGTTGTTAAAAGCTATACCTACGGTTTTAAATATTTTCTTAATATTTCATTTCATTTTCAGTTTGACAAATTCAAATACTCTAAACTAAAAACTATCAATAATATGTGATTTCATGTACTGATAAGTAATAGTAATTGTACCAAATAATTTATTAAGAATGTTGAGCTTTTTGTACATGAAGGATTTTGTCTGTAGAGCGAAGCGTTTGAGAGAAGAGTCCCCTCGTCAACAGGAGCTGTCACCACCCACTCGACCAGCTAAGAGAATCCGCAATAATGAAATATTAAGCTCTCTGAGTTCCAGCCGCAAACTCCTCCAGGGAGGAATTAAACGGAAGACGCACAGCTGTAAGTAAAATTTTTATTTTATATTACCTTTAGTTGTTTAAAAAGGTATATTGATTTAATTGTGGTGTAATTAAAAATAGCTATTTTGACATTCACCAATGGATGATTTAAAAAATCGTTAATGAGATCTTTATTTAATTACTGTTTTATTTTTAATTAAATATTTAACTATTTTGATTTTCACCAATTGTAATGAATAATATTATTAATAGTAAAAAGAGTTTTGATTCGTTAAATAGATAATGAAGGAAGGGGAAATTTTTGGATGAAAAATGTGGCCACATATGCAATGACAGGAATTCAGGAAATTTTTGAGGAAATGGTGTTTAACCATTTCTGAAAATGCGGAAATTTTAGCCAGTTTACACAGAAAATACTTTTTTATACGAGTTTTCTGTAATATCAATTTTTTAAAAAACAAAAGAATTTAGTAATATGGCGTTGCTGCCATCTCATAAAGTACATTTAGCACTATTTCTACCAGAAGATTAAAAAAAAAGGAATTGTTTTTGAAAAAATCTTGTTTTTGTAATTTTTCAAAATTGCAAGCATTGCACAAAAACTACTAAAAGTTTCAAAAAAATGTACATGACTTTAATTAAAGAACTAATAAAGAACATCAAATTTTATATGAAGGAAGACCTTATCTTCAATTTTGTAGTTGTAGGTAGATGAAGGAAAAAATGTAAACTTTTGCAATTTTCAAAAATTCAGAGTTAACCCTGAAATGTGGACCTACGCCACCTTCATAATTGTATTTGACTCTATTCTTACTAGAAATAAAAATAGAAAAAATTGTAGCAGTTTTTGAGAAAATTTTGAAAATATCAGGGGACCTCCATGTAAAGAATCCCCGAATTTTGAAGAAAGTATTTCAAAATCACGGCGCTTCGAATGGAGCCAGATTGACCAATGAATATCGATTTTGGAAAAAATTGTTCGTATAGTTTAGACGTAGTGCTGCTTACAGACTGATGGACGGATGAACGTTTTGCCATCAATTGGTTTTTCAGATTTCACATTTACAGTAATGCTGTGAAAACAGTTTTCTTAAAACGGCTCAAAATTTTGTAACAAAAATTTTCTTATAGGACAAAGTTTTACTCTTCTATAGTATTCTTAACACATTCAATCCTGAGGGATATGCCATGTGGTTAACTCCTCTGTCCTGGGCAATATATCTATTATTCAAAATGTTGTAAAACAAAACTATCATACGCATTCGTTTGAAATTGATAAAATTTTGTAGTATTGTATTTTCTCTTTTGTCTGTGTGTATTTTGTTATTATTTGATTGTAAGACAGTAATGAGAATGGAATTCAAAGAAACACACATTGTCGATTTTATATTTTTGCATAAAGTAACAATGTTACAAATTATGGCGGGAAACGCAATAAACTTCATGCATCAACAATACTCAGGAACTATAATTATATTTTGTTGAAGTTCCGATATAGTTCCATTTGCATATCTTTTTATTTCTGCCTTTATTTTTTGAGATATGTACTAAAACAATGATGAAAAATAGTCTAGTTCAGTTGTCTTAATTTACAGGAAATTTTATTTCACTGGTTTTCTCAAACGCCGGTAATTCATATTCTTTATCAATTTCACAGCATTCTAAAGGAAATGAAAATTTGAGAATACTCACCATAAAATCTTTTACATCATTATTACTCTCCTCGATATAATTTTTGTTGTTCAAAGTAGACAACAGTCTAGGAAAAAATCAATGACCTCATCAGAAGAATCCATTATTCATCCGATCCATTATTCAAAAACGCGTAAACTTCTTATGTTGAGTCACTGTGAATTTTACAACTGTGTCTTCTAAACATCTGTATATTTCACATGACCTCTAGTTACAAAGAAAGACATTCTGAACGTATTTGACAGTGCTTGCAAGTATAAGTATCCAATCACCACCTGAAAAAATTCCAAATAATTGCACAAAATAGAAGTGCACATTGACAATTGTTTTGAGACTATTTAATAATATTAAAAAGCATATTCTATGTGCATACAAACGTCCAAAAGAAGTTTATTGCCTGTCAAAAATGTTAAATTTAGAAGGATGTATGCCATATATCCACAGGACACAGCAGTAAAATGAAGATGGCGTATCAAATACATTTGTAGTATTGGAAGTGTTAAAGTAATATTCCAGTTTTACCATCAGGAAACTGAAAAAAAACCTTGTGTGGCAATATATAACTACTGGCAAAAGTATGTAGCAGGACTGAAAAGCTAGCTGAGACCAAAACAAATAGAAAACTGATAAGTATGAGAAAGTCTGTGCCATTCTAAACCCCCAGTAGTTTAAATTTACATTTACTTGAAAAGTTCTTTAGACGAGCTCTTAGACTAAATTGCCAAACATTTCCTATGAAAAACTAAAACTGACTCTGGATGGTTGATCAATTTCTTTATGAATTTATTGAAATATCATGTAGGTGTGTCTGTTAGAAGAAGTTAATTTGGAAGTAAAGTACACTACTTTCATAACTATGTTAAATGATGAAACATTTTTTAATGTTCTGAATTTGTTCAGTTTTCTGATCTGCGACTCTATGTTCATGACTTTGAAATGTTTAATCTCGCCTAATAAATTTTAAGGGAAAAGATGATAGCCTTACTGGCACATATATCGGGAGACAAATGATATTTTAATTAGAAGGGATTTTGTTAAATTTGTTTTTGGCCTCAATGTTACAGTGGATTGGTCAAGGTGTAGCACTCCAGTTCTTGGGAAACAACAGAAAACTGTTAATGAGGACATCTTATCTTCACCTTCCCTTGGACCTATAGGAACACAACGTTCGACATCAGGTGCCCAGACTCTCCTGGCTGATGATGGCAAGAAGGCTAGTCACCCTTCTAATAGTGGTGTATGTTTTTTTCTTTTCACTTCCTTGACTGTGTAGTGTAGAAGAGGTTGTATAATGTTGCAAAATATTGATCTTGAGATTTTGCCAGAAATACATTTTTAAGAGACCTTGATAACTTTTCACCTCCAAGTATATTTTAATGTCCTTTGAAAACTTGTGCTCAAACTGAACCTAAAATTTTTTCCAAACTTCATATTCTTTTAATGTTATTGGATCAAGGTGTGAGACCTTGCAACTTTTACCATGTAGGAGACCTTTAAATGAAGCTCACCAATTTTCTGAACTTTCTTAAAACTGGTTTTATATAGAAGGATTTTGATAATGAATAACTTCTAAATAAAAATTTCTTTCACAAATAATATGTATGTTTCCAGAAAAATATAAAGACACCATTAGAAAATGAGAGAAGAAATGTAAACAGCCTTTCATCAGGAAATCTTTCAAATTCTGTGAAAGAAAGTCAGAAGAATCCGTTACAAACAACACCGGTTGTTCCAAAAGCTACGAAGATAAGTTCCCCTGTTGATGATACTCCGTGGCAAAAAGATTCTCCTTTTGTCTCAGTATCATCTCCTGATGATATTATAGATGATGTTTCAGCACTGGAAGAAAAGAGAGAAGAAGATCGAAGGTCTCGGCTAATGGCAATGATGACTGTAATCAGTGGAGGAGGTAAGCGTGAAAAGATTTTCCATGAGTTACATGTGGTAACAATGTAATAATTTCGTTTAAGTTTGAAAATGTTCATAGTTTTAAATTAATTTATCTGTGCAATGTTCTAGATTCATTGCATGATATTTTCCTCATTTGCAGAGCCCCCAGTGAAAAGTGCTGTAAATCCTGGCAATGCAGGTGCAGGAACTGATGCATCATCAACCTTCAGCCTGGGTGGTTCTTTTACTGTTCCTCCTGTCTCAAATGCCCACCTACTTGGTGTGTCATCTGAGAAGCCTTTACTTGTGTCATCATCGCCCAGTGGTTGGTCTGCAACTGCTACGTGTTCTACTGCTTCAACTGTTGCAAGTGTAGCTCCTATTTCCACTCCAAGCACAGAGCCCCTTGTTAATAAGTCAGTAGCAGAGAACACCAGTTCACCAGGTCTTTTGAGCAATGTTTCCACAAGCTCTTCGATGTTTGCATTTGGCAATACTACAACACCTCTTGCAAATACTTCAGTTGCATCTAATAATGATATTCAGAATGCTCCTGTCACTTCTAGTAATCAGCTACCAGTAGCTCCTGTCTTTGGATCATCACCTGCATCAGTGACCAGTCAATCCGGTATATCTGTTTCTTCACCAATGGTTTTTGGCTCTGCACCATTATTATTTGGATCAAAGGTTCCTGTGAATACAGAGAATTCCCTTTCTTCAAATAGTCAGAATCAACCAGCAGTCAGTTCCACTGTTCTCACCACTTCTGAAAATATTTCATTTGGCAACACTAAGCAAGTCTCATTTGGAGTTGCCCCGCCTTCAACTACTTCCACTGTAACCTCTCCTGTAACAAGTTCTTCTGTATTTCAGCTGCGTCCTGCAGCGAGTGGTATTGGACAAGACAATTCTGTATTGTCATCTTCTATTGGTTTTAGCTCGGCAGCACCTGTTATAGCTGCTGCTACTTCTCCTAGTCAGACAAATGTTTCAAAGGCACTTCCGTTTGGAAATGTGGAAAAATCTGCACAGAACTCGAATATAACAGTGACTTCTGGTACATCATTGTTTGGAATGCCAGCAAATCCATCTGCCACCTCTACTTCACCTCCAACATCGTCTTTTGTATTTGGAAGTTCTGGCACATCAGCACCAGCAACTGGATCACAAATAAAGCCAGGGCTTTTCTCTTTTGGTAACACTGCTGTTTCTACCCCTAGCACACTAACAGCTTCAAACTCCAACACTAAATCTATATTTGGCAGTGCCTCGGGAAGCTTTGGTCAAGCTGTGGAAGCTTCAGGTACAAATTCTGCAGCGCCAAATCAGTCTTCAAATGCTCAAATTGCAGGCAATAAGATAGGTGGATTCGCATTTGATTTGGCATCTGAAAAGACCCCTGTAGGCACAACACCATCTAGCACAACTACTAATGTGTTTGGCAACCCCAGTTCTCTACCCATTAGTAGTGAATCGAAACCATTTACATTTGGTTCTGGCAAGCCAATAGAGAATCCTTTTGCATTGAATACATCTCGAACTGATACTTCTGGTAAAGTCTCCCAGGCACAACCTTCTGCAAATCCCTTTGGAACACCTACTTCATTGCAGAAACCATCTGAGATAGAGAAGCCCAAAGAAAATCCCTTTTCCTTTGGTGGAAATTCAACTGCTTCTCCAGGATTCTCAGCCCCACAGACTGGTTTCTCTTCCCAGCCTGCTGCCACATCTACAGCAAATAATGGACTTTCCTTCTCCTCTACGAGAGGGTTCTCTCAATCACAGCCTGGTGGTGGAGGGTTTTCTTTACAAACTGCTGCCACACCAACTGCCACATTTGGTTCACCAGTCACAACATCTGTTGCAGCTAATTCTGCTTTTAGTTTTGCTAGCAGTGTATCGAATCCAGCTCCACAGTCGAGTTTGTTTGCTTTTGGTAACAGTTCAGGAACATCAGATCCTCAGCCTGGTGGTATATTCCCGTTTGGTGGTGGAAGTACTAGTAATAATAGTAGTGGCGGTAGTGGAACAGGCACTGGAGGTTTGTTTGGGCAACAAACTGCTCCTACCGGTCCTATTCAGCCTCAAGCTGTGCAAACACCTGCAGCCGCAGCTGCTCCAACACCAGCCTCAGGCTTTCAGTTTGGGGCTTCAAGTGCCTCCCAAACTCAAGTGTCAGGTGAGAATTTTTTTTCTATTTACTGAGGATGTTTATGATATTCTAATATAATGACAAAATGTAATACAAAGACTGTATTGCTATAAACCTTTAGTTCTATTGTTTTATTGTGGCTAGATGTTAATATATCTTTGCTTTTCTGGAATAACATTGTAATCCCCTGTTCCTTCAGTCTCCCAAGAGAAAGAAAGGGAGTAAAAATTGAGATTTTTAAGGTGAATTGGTTCAAAAAAGAAAAGAGACAAAAAAGTAGGAAAATTATATTGTGCTCTCTTGTTTAAAACAGGGTTTTGGCTTTAAAACAGTGTTCTGGGAAAATAATGAAGTGAAAGTGTGTTTTAAGTCTGCAAAGTGAATGTTTCATCTCGTGTATTGGCAAACCTTTTTGGATTTTTCAATGCAGGAGATAAAAGTTTGTTATGATGTCCAGATAATAGGTGATTGTATCCCAATAGTTTAAACTATGCATGTGGTTGAATGCTACCAAACATTGGCTTTTTGAAGAGTGTAATAGTCTTGCATATTGTTGCAATATTTCATATCACAAAATTCAATATTTTACTGCACCTTCAAAATATGATATTGTATTTTTGAAAGGTGTCTGCTAAATTAATTGAAAAATTCAGATGAGTTATACAAATTGTGGAGCTTTTTCCAAAGTGTTTTCCAAAGTCGGTAAACGCAGTTACGCATTCCCTCTTATTCTGAATATGATTATTGTGATAGAGTTTAATAATTTACACTAATTTATTTGGATTTCTAATAACTTCATTATAGATTCTGAATGTATTAAAAATTCATTTTTATTCAATTACAATTATAGGGGCATTCAGTTTTGGGTCAACTACAAACCCTACGCCTGCGCCTGCACCAGCGGCAGCACAAGCACCTGCATTTCCGACTGGATCGTTCCAGATGAATGCTGGTGGATTTGGAAGTGGACCTGCAATGTTTAGCATTGGTTCCGGTTCCACTGCTCCTAGGGCGCGTAGTGCACGGGCAAGGAGGACCAAGTGATATCTGAGATCCACATGTACACACTGATCTGTGTCAAGTGAATTTTGATTGTATAAAGAAACTGTGGACAGTGTTAAAGGTGTGTGTGCAGAACATGTGTTGAAAATAAATAAGGGGATCTTTGTTTTCAAGTATTCAATTTTTGTATGACTAGACTTGCTTAAAGTGAGTGCGTAGAGGATTGATGATTTGAGTTTATAATCTTACATTATATGTAGATTTTTTAAGCATATTCCCAGAATACTATAATGCTGTTGAATTTATTTTGTGCGAATGGCTGTTTGATATTTTTTTATGTTGCTTCTGGATTCATGAATCCTTTAAAAAATTAAAAGAAAAATAATAAATTAGTTATAATAGTTTATCTCGAATGTGGTTTTGCAAGCTGCTAACCTTGCATAATCAAATACCCATGATGCAAATAAAATAAAATATATTAAAACTATTTTTTTTTGTATTATGAACAAGTTGAAGTAGAATGAGCAATGGCATTTTTCCATTGGAGTAGTTTCTTCCAGAGAATCTAGCATAAGATACTAATGTTAAACACATTTAACCCTGTGACAATCCCTAGAAAATACCTTGAATCCTAGAAGAGATTTTAAAATGTCTATAATGGAATTAATAATACTCTTATGTGAAACTGTTGTATATTTTTAGTTAACTATCCTTTTTTTTCTATTGTACGATAATCTTTCTATTGAAAATCCCTCCTCCAAAACAAAAAATAAAACAAAGTACTTCAATGTATATCATTATTTTTATTAATAATAAAATTTTCAATGATAGTGAGAATCTAAAGCAACAATTATTTACTGCTGTTTTTACATTATTTATGTCCTTTTTGTTACTGGAATTAGTGTTTTCAGTGAAACACTACAGTACCTCTAAACTAATTTGCATTGGAATTTAGAGTGCCAATGAAATTTCAAAAAACACAGCATGTATTGTGTATATACTGTATTTACCTGGAATATAAGACAAATCATGTAGACACCTTGAAATTTTGGGGAAAAAATACACCCCAATATAAGACGACCCTTGTTTTATAACTTATATCAGCTTCCTACTAGGTAATGAAACTTGGAGAAAAAAAAAAAACATCTCTATTACTTGTTTATTAACATTATGCATAAATTATTTTGTCCCTATACAATCCTCTCTGCTGTAATAGGACTCCCAGTAAACTGCTGCAAGCAAGAAATTATTAAGCTTTCAATCATCCACCCAGATTCATTGCATTTAAAATTATTCCACTTGTTAGTTTTTCTTTGGGCAAATGTTTCCTTTTCAAGATAGCAAGTAGTGGTAGCTTCTGCCATCTACCAACACTCCCAGCATGACCTTAACATGCATTTTTTTTCGTTTCTAGATGTTTGTATCATATTAGAATTTACACCCTTTTGTAGCCATTGTATTGTTACAAGGCAGGTCGAAGTACACGAGGGTCTTATCAGCATTCCCCATTTGAGTCAACAAATGGTTGTGTTGATGGCGCAATTGTATAATGTACTTTTGGTACTCCAGACGTTTTTCTTCATAATCTGCAGACGGCTTTTGCGATAGGAAGTTCTACGCACACTGAACCCTTTCCTTTTCATAAACCGTATGCACCAGCCGACACTCTCATTGAATTCCTGTCTGGAAATGTTTCACCTTCTTGCTCCTAATGCTTTGACGCTAATGCTGTTTATAGGAAATCCGAACCCTTGTTACGATTTATTACGAATTCGACAACTTCGTCGATTTTGGGATGGTGCCTCACTTGTCCACAGAAACATTTCCTTGTGGAATTACAATATTTCAGGCGTTCCTTCGTACCTCTCCAACGCCTTGCAGCTTTACTATTGTTTGTTTGTTCAGCGAGATGAATTACTCGCAATTTAAAGTTTGCATCTTAACTTTTAGACATTAAGACAACTTAACTTTTTTCTACATTTCTGTTAAATTCTATACTTTTTCTTTTCTCCAAGTGGTTGGCCATTGTCACACTAATGTATCAGCACACAGCTACACAACACAACCACCAAGCACGAGCACGACTACTAAAGTCGCGGTACTCAACGACGCGAATGGGGAAGGAAGGTTCGTGGCCTACGAGTCTCTCTCGGTGGCCACAAGGAAGGCTTTCGCGACATCACAGCTGTGCTAACTGCCGCTATGAAAAACTTAAATCCTATCTAACACTTCTGTGTAACGGCTGGGGAAATTATTCTATATCTTATTACTTCAATTATAAACTCATCCAATAATAATAAAAAAGAGGAATTTAGTATTACAAATGACTTTTCTTTGTGAAGATAACGTGCATTATACCAGGAACAACATAATACTGTTGATATTGCGTTTTCTTCATACGCGAATATAAGACTCCTGATTTTTAAAGGATGAAAACGGGAAAAAGTTCTCTATGACAAGGATTTACTAGGTAAATACGGAACACTCCCCGTTGTGTACGTCAATCTCCATGTGTTTTTCATTATTGATATTTTGAAGGGTATTATTTTGGCCATGACAATTCTTGATTGTACTTGCTCAGTCTGTAAAGAGAGCTGCAACTAGACTAACTTTCAATACCCTATGTGCCTATAATTATGTGTAAATTTGTCTGTCTGCCAACTCAAAAGTTACAATTAATTATGTAAGGTGTTTTTTGCTTCTTTCTTCCCCCCCCCCTCCGCCCGGTAGGAATATAGGCAACAGTAACCAGTTGGTAATATTCTGATTTTGTGCATACATCTTCCTAATATATTTATAACAATTTTGATAGCCATTATCACAAAGTATGGGTGTAAAGATTATACAATTTTTAAAGGATGCAAGATGCTGTGGTAAAAGTTTTGGGAATGCCAATCCACTAATCTGTTACCCAGTCAATTTATCATAGTATATAGCAGATACTTTCCTAATGATATGCCACATTTCCTTTAGTAGATTTTCCCTTAAATGAAATTGAGTGATTGAAAAAATACTTGGTCATTGAACATTCAAAGATTTTTAAATTGCTTTTCCTTCTCTAGAAACTCAAACTAACATAACAATAAGCAATAAAGGTAGAATAATATTTCCAACAAGTGCTAAAACAGCACATACTTTCTCCCCCGTATATTCATGCAAAATTTCGCAAAACAAAATATTTTCGAAAAATTGTACATGGCCTTATTTAAAAATTATCTTTAAGGAACATATTCCTGTAAGGGGTAAAATCACCATCTTTAATATTTCAGTTGTTGGAAGACTGAAAAAATTGAACTTTTGCAATTTTCGAGAAATCAAAGTTTTTAACGAACATGAAACTTGCACCATTCTGTTGAACTTCTTCATACTATCCAACAACAAAATTTAATAAAAAACAAAGGATGCTATTTTTTCGAAAATCTGGAAAATGACCCAGCGGCTTCGTGTAAAGTACCCCAAAGATTGAAATATTGGTTTCAAATTTAGAGGCCGCGACAATCAGATCGATTGGGGAATATCCATTCTGGAGAAAATCGGCTGAATGGTTAAGCCGCTTGTGTTGTTCCCACACGGACATAAATTGTTCCGTTAATCCATTTTTCGGTATCAAGGATTCTCAAAACATTGATTCTGGTAACACCATGTGATTGAGGATTTTTTTCTTTTAAATGTAGCTACTGAATTTATCTACTTTTTCGTTGCCAGAGCCCTGTAAAAAGAGTTTTTCTGGCGAAAATACGCCATTTTTTCGGGCAGCATTCCATAACTTTCTATCTAACTTGACTTTTGTGAAATTTTTGAAAAACCAAAATAATTCATCACGTTTATCACGCTATTCAGTACTACCTGCCTAACTAATGGGACTAAAACAGCATGTACTTTCTCACACATACATTGTACTAGTAACGGATACGTATCATTATAATACAGCAATTGCTGCCCTTATTAACATATCTCGGTCGTTCTCAAGGCTGTTGGACCTTCAGGGCCTGCGATTTTTCTCTACCCAGTGTGGGTGAGTGACGCTAGTGGGTAGCATACGGAAAGGGAAGTGGGAAGGAATCTCTTGCTACCCCGTACGTGACGTTCGAAGGGATGGAGAGAAGTGGGGGAATTCATGAGGGTTGTTTCAGCAAGGTGAAATTTGGAGCGAGCATTTTATGGCCGTCGGTGGGCGGAGGAAGTTTTAAGATAACAGAAGGGCGTGGAAAACGTCTTTTGTGGAAGGGTGGATCGTGGAAAACATTTTGGTGATGTCTGGTTTGTAGAAAGGCAGTAAAGTGGGTTTTCTTAAGAGCGTTGTCAACGTCTTTGTATGCCGTGTCGTATATGTCTTTGTCAATCGGAGTTAGTTTGAGTGTTTGTCGGAGTCTTGTAATTATTCAGCGGAGAGGGTCGAAACGAAATGCGTAAAAAGCGGTTTTCAGTTTTAATGATTTTTAGTAGCTTGTCTTTGATGTCATTGCCCAGGTCGCACAGTTGTATGTCAGTATAGGATTTACGTACGTCTTGTAGATGTAAAGTCTTAGTGGGTGTGTCATTATAGGTGTTCAGTCGTCTGTTGGCTTTTTGCGTAATTTTGTCAACGTGTTTATTCCATAGTAGTTTATGGGCAAGAGTAATGCCAAGATATTTGGTGCCGTAGGTCCAGTCGATGGCAGTGTTGTCTAAAGTAACTGGGGTTGGAGTTGGGTGCGTCAGTGGATCACTTGTAAATCATTACAAACCGTAAAAAAAGGTACGAAAACTAATCCTTGTAAAGCTAATATATCAACCCAAATTTGATAATTAAATGCGTATTTTTCCTTTAAAGAATTGGAATTTCATTACGCAACCCGACTTTGGCAGTTGTTGACTACAATTCGTTGCGACCAGACCGGTCTTCTCATAGCATCAATTGAATTGCAACTAATTATTATTGAATATTAAATACTTAACTTATTCTAGGAATGTAAAATACCCTAATTAGTTAACGACTAAATAATTACCTAAAGACTATAAAATTAAACAAAATTATATCAACATCAGAAATATAAAATTTAAATCCACTATTTACATCCTCGTCGTCGATACCACCTTCTTTCACAATAAACACTCATCTAGAAACACTGCCCGGCAATGAGAGTGTTTCTGTGATCTTCACGCCGCATCGCGTCATTCCTAGTGTTAAATTGTATGTCCAGATAGCTGAAATGTGAATTTCAAATTATCGGACATATAATGAAAGTTTGTACAAAATTATCTTACTCAATATTTTTAAATTTTCTTTCATACTACATTTATATATTTTTAAAAGAGAAAACCTTAGAAAACCAAAAAAATAGAAAGTTCTATTTTTGATGAACACAGTTCATAGTAAAATATGATCGTCGTAATAGTAATTGTACAAAGACGCCAACAACATTTTGAATTTTTGAAAAATTATAATTTTCTACGCAAATGAGACCTACGCCATTCTTTTAAACGTCCTCAACACTATCCAACAACAATATTTTTCTGCTCCCAATGTATAATTCTATCATTTGACGGCTGCAAGAACTTGCGTGATGGTTCTCATTATGATACAGGTTTCGTTATGATACAGGTTGTTGATCAATCACAGAGAAGTTTACAAACTAAGTATTGACACTTAACCATTGAGAATCGTTTTAGTAAATGTTATGTTCGACTGGGTACATTAAAATTGTATTAAAAAATATTATGATTGACAGTTTTAATATTTTTAGTATTTTTTATGTGGATTTTTTATAACTGGATCGTAATTTCACTTAGATCCTATCTGACTAGGGCAATCTCCCTCAGGCGGACTAGTAAAGCAACCTGCGACATAATATGGCAGTTATCCGCTAGGT